GGTTATCAAATAAAGAAAACATGGAAGTATTTTTCCTACTTCTCTACTACTATCAAACCTTGACATTTTGTGAAAACTTGTTTCCATGCAACCTTTTTTTAAAACAACCCCATCAACCACAATTATTTCTGTTATTAAACTTACGAAACAAACACATAAAATCATCAACAGATGCATATCACCAAGTAGATATTGCTGAATTGATCTTTATTTTACCATTTTTCGTGTAATTATTTTTGGTAAACCTGTTATCTATCGTAAATACAGCACATTTGACAATGTTGTAGTGTGACTATTTTAGCCTCACATTTTTGATATTTGTAGTTAGAGCTATTGGGGCTCTGTCAAACAAAGTTACATACAAAATATTGGCTGTAAATTGCAAAACATGATCATGTTGTTGGAATAACTTGGCATTTTACCACCCGTATATCATTCATCGTTGAGAATACTAATAAAATCATAAAATTTAAAAATCCGTTTTCGTGAAATTTTTGTTGTAGCTGAATTCCAGGGACAGCATGGCAACAGGCAAGAGGAGCACGGTCGCCTCTTTTAGTTTATGACAGGGTTTCTTAAAAGGGGACACATACACAAGGGTTGGAAGGGGGAAGGGGGGTTCTTGGAAAGGGAGGGGGAGGGGGGAGGGAGAACACAGCATCGACATCATTATTAGGCGATATTTGTTTGGCCTATACTAAAATAAAACTATTGGCAGAATTAATCAACTTTTACAATTAACTTTTAATTAGAATTAAAAATTACAGTTGAATGGCGGTGCTTTCTTTCTACAATCAGGAATTGTATGACAAACAGAGCGTTTTACTCATTATGTATAGTAAAACTTACAAGCCACATCGTTTGACAAGCCTCTGTTTGGTGGTGTTAATCATCTACAAAGACTTCAATCTGCTACCCAATTTCCAAAATGGCATAAATAAGAGATTATTGTCAGTGAAAAAAACTTTGCTTAAAATGTGCGCTTCCCATGAACATCTCGTGAAGTTAATTCCCATTTTTATTTGATAACAGAATTTCTGACGAATATATATGCATATAATTTTTACTTTTATTAATGATTGTGAAATGATGTTACATTTTCTTTAACGATGTGTGATATATCCCAGAGTACTCTTTTTTTGTGTACAAATTCGAATATACCAAAATTTGTAGGAGTATTTGACAAGCTAAAAAGGTCTTTTTGACTCTCCTATGCTGGTACCATTACTGCTGCGGTCCTATATTCAAAATTGCCTGAAAATGAAACATTCGTTTGTTACTAACAAAAATTTTTTTTTTCCCCATAATATGCTGTTTACATTTGGCTATCCCATATGCCATATTTATGATGTATCCTCTCGAACACTGCACATACACATGCACATACATTTTTGTTTTTATCACTGATCGTATAAATCTGTTGCATTTTTCCTTACGAATGTGTTATAGATCCCAAAACATTTCCATATAATATTGCTGTCTAATTTGGCCATCCATTTGCCCATATTCTATCGATGAATATGATAAATCACCTCGGACATGTGACTTCACCAAATGTATGGCACAGAGTTTATTTTAATTAATGAATTGGCGATAATGACGTTACATTTCCCTTTACGACTGTGTTATATAACCTGGAGTGGTCTTTTTCATTCAAATTCGAATATACCTCAATCTTAGGGTGTGTTTTGGACAAGCCACTAATTTGTTGATTACCAATCTTTCGACTCTCTATACTGTTAGCAAATACTGCTACCCAAATACAAACACAAAGTTTTTTATTTTATCACTGATAGTAAAATGATGTTCAATTTTCCTTTGCCATTGCCTTCCAGAGTAGTCTTATTTCGTGTACAAATTAGAATACCTAAATAGTGTATGATGTTGGTTTTGAAACGGGGGAGTTACAGATATTTTTATTCCTGATTGTAAAATTGAGTGTTACATAATTCCTTAACGATGTGTTAATTAATCTCCCAGTGTAACTCGTGTACAAATTCGAATATACCAAAATTTGTATGGTGTGTTTGACAAGCCAAAAGAGACTTTTTGACTCTCCATGCTGGTAGTATTACTGCTGCGGTCCTATATTCAAAATTGCCTGAAATGAAACATTCGTTTGGCACGGAAAACAAAATTTTTTCTATAATATGCAATCACACATGCCATATTCATGATGAATCACTTCGGACACTGATGTGAAATTTTGCTTCACCTTGCGATTTGTACTTTGATTATTTGATAACTAACTTTTTAACGAAGCCTACCAAAATATATGCACATAGTTTTTGTTTTCATCACCGATTGTATAAATCTATTGCATTTTCCTTACCAATGTGTTATAGCTCCCAAAACATTTTTTCTATAATATGCTGTCTCCACGACCAAAATTTGTCGTGATTCTTATTTGATAACAATTTTTCTAACGAATCCTACCCAAATGTATGCACACAGTTTTCATTTTTATTAATGATTGGTAAACGATGTGTTATATATTCCGGAGTAGTCTTTTTCATTTACAAATTCGAATATACCTAAATTTGTAGGGTAGGTTTGACAAGCCACTATTTTTGATTGCCAATATTTTTGACAATGAACAGAGTTTTCATTTTTATCACTGATAGTGAAATGATGTTCAAATTCATTTGCCATGCCTCCCAGAATAGTCTTTTTTCGTGTACAAATTTGAGTATACCTAAATTTGTAGATTGTTTGTTTGACAAGCCACTATTTGCAGTTGCCAATCTCTTTGACTTTCCGTGCTGACTCTATTTGGCTATCTCATCTTCATAATTCATAATTAATAAAAAATCACCTCTGACAGTGACTAGTAATGTCATTGTCGAAATTTTGCTTCCACATTGCAATTTGTACTTCTATGACCACAATTCGTCTTGAATCTAATTTAATTACCATTTTGCAGACGGATCCTATCCAAATATATGTACAGGGTCTATATTTTTATTACGGATTGTGGAATTATGTCATATATCCCTTACCGATGTGTTATATTTCATAGAGTAATCTTTGTTCGTGTACAAATTTGAATATACCTTAATTTGTGGGGTGTGTTTGACAAGCCACTATTTGTTGGTTGCCAATCTTTTTGACTCTTCATGCTGGTAGCATTGCTGCTGCGGTCCTTTATTTCAAATTGCCTAATATAGGAAATTTCGTTTAGTACTCAAATTAAATTTTTTTTTTATAATATGCTGTCTCCATTTGGCTTTTCCATTCGTCATATTCATGATGAATGATAAATCACCTTGGACAGTGACTAGTAATGTCTTTTTTTCAAATTTTGCTCAACGTTGCGTTTTGTACTTCCATGACCAAAATTCGTCGTGATTCTAATTTAATTACCATTTTCTGACGAATCCTATCCAAATATATGCACAGAGTTTATATTTTTATTACTGATTGTGAAATGATATTAAATTTCCTTTACCGATGTGTTATATCTCTCAGACTAGTCTTTTTCATCTCCAATCAAATTCGAATATACCTAAATTTGTAGGGTGTGTTGAACAAGTCACTATTGTATGGTTGTCAATCTTTTCGTGTATCCATGCTTCTCTATTGCTAATTTCCTGCTTGAAAAATTGCCTTAAATATTTATTCGTTTGGTACTAAAAGAATGGCATAGGGCGTTTTCGAATTTTCTGGAGCGCGATAGGACCCCATCGACAAGTCCTAACGAGTGGTTAAACCGGCACCTCCTGGGTCCACATGCAAAGCCCGGTAGAATATTTAGTCAAATTTTATTAGAAAGCAATTTTATATACAAATTAGTTTTAATTTGTTGAAATGCTCAATGTTGACTACTGATTTTTTTGTAAAAAGAATAAATATTTTTTTCATAGAAAAATGATTTGTTTTCTTTGTTCGAATTTGAAAGTATCCAATCTATATCGAAATGACACATCAACTTGCATCCTCCTTACTCAGTTGAACTATCCGTATTATACAGCTGCATTAAACAGTGCTGAATTAGACATTGAGCAAAAAAGAAGGTGCTCGGGGGCACCAAAGAAAGTGAGTCACTACAGAATTTTTTGCAGACGACCTACAATTCAATCCCAAAGAATGCATTTATTTCAGTAGCATAGAAGAGAGATTAACTATAGCGTACTTTGCTTTGATTTGCTTATTAATCATCATAATCCGGGGGAAGATGATGGGTGACATTGACGTGCTTTCAGAATGAATAGAAAGATACATCACACTCGTAATATAATGCGTTTAATCTTTAGTGGATGCGGTTGAATCTATAAAAGAGCATAACGCCGCATTAATTTCAATATTTCTTCAGAGGTGTTTTGAAAATTAGAAATCTGTGAACCAGAGATAAGACGGTCAGTTTGCACGGGAGATAAAATTGAGCTTAATGAGCTTTGATCATATGAGTTTAGAATTGTATGAATATTAAATTCTTGATTTTGAGAAATTTCGAAATATGCGAATTTGCAAATTGTTGATTTTGAGAATTTAATTTGGCACCAACCAAGTAGGGCCAAGCATGGGTTCATCAGATCCATGTAAATAAAATTCGAAAACAAAATGTTTTTCGCCTTCGTTGTTTTTAACTGAATGAGAATTTTCGATAACCGAATTACACATAAATGCAAACACTATTACCTATCAACTCAAATAGGGGGATGCTAAGTTTCAATGAAATAAATCTCCTCAATAGTAATGTTGTAGTTTGAGAATTGCGAAATTTCACGTTTTTTCGCCTATGGCGATTTTGACCAAGTTGGACGTTTTCAGTTGCGGATTGCATATTAATGCAAAATTTTGTTCCGAACAACTCATTTCCGAAGTTATCTACGCATTATTCTTTGTCAATTATTTTGAACTTTTCACTTGGTCTCACACAAATGTCATCGTGCAACTAGCTACGCAGGCCTGAGTTACCCCGGCCGTCAATTCTCAGCACCCAATTCTGCAAGAAGATAAATCATGAAAATAATTCTCCCAGATAGCACAGCTACGTCGGAACAACCATGGCCGAACGTTGTTCGAACCACCGGCCCAATAATGGCGAACAACCATGTTCCAGCGAAGATTTGGCCGCTGGGCCAACGTCGGTCCATTCGCTGTAATGCAACCGTGGCAAACGGTCGGGCCAACGTAGGCGATACGTTGTACCACAATCGTGACATATGGCCGGGCCTACGTAGGCGACACGTTGTAATACAATCGTGGCATATGGTCGGGCCAAGTTAGGCGATGTGTTGTACAGACAGGGTATGGATCTATACTACATAGAAATTTCCCACTAATCTAACATTATTTATATAATAAAAAACAAAAGATAACAAAACGTCTTTATTTTACAAATATGTATACAGGTAATAAAATTAATCTGAGTTCGTTGCCAGATCATCCAGAGCTGAAAAATATAAAAATTCTGTGTTAAATTGTAGTATTAGCAAATTACAGCACCAGAGTTTAAAGCCTAGTCTGAATGACTGCATCCCAACAAATTTTCAGAGTAGGAATCTTAAGCCAATTTCTGCAGTCGCAAATGTGTGAGTGAAGCTTACATTGACAAGACAATAATAATTGAGAAATACAGAAATTCTTGATTTCGCAAGGGGGGCGCGTTGACAATGTTTTGAGGGGAATATTTGTTGGAGGGAATAATGATGATTTGAGATTTTATCTGACTAAAATGTCTTCAAATATTCCTTGTTGAAATTCATCTATCTTATTAGAAACATCATGCACCATGATTAGTCTATTTGTTTAATTGATTTACAATAAATTTATTTGTAACTTCATCATTTGCTGTTGTGCTAGGGGGAGATGATAATGTAAAAAGTACTGTAAGGGAGCGATGATACAAATAAGTTCGAAAACCACTGTTCGCCATTATGCACCGAACTCTGGCAACATTGGATTGGCAATTTGGCACTTGACTCTAACCATAATCAGCTTGGCGATATCTCCTTAATAAATATTTTTCTATACTGTCCACTTTTTGTATACAAAATCTACATTCAATTTCTTTACTGTTCAGTTGTTTACAAAATCATTATTCAATTTGACAATCATAATGATAAAAATGAATGGTGTGGCAACTGGTAAGTACATTTTGTTTACTACCCAACTTATCTAAATTTTCTCGCCTGTTTTTATTTTATTATATCTCTGTTGTTGTTGTGTGTGTGTAACTTTATTTAATTCATGAACACGATAGGCATCTTTTTGGCAAAACCTTATATTCTTTACGCTTTGATCTTAATTAAGGTTTTGTTTTCACTCCAGATTGTCAGATTCTATTTAATCAATTTTTGTTCATTTCCTTTATGAATTATCTTAAGCTGATTTGGAGCCAAAATAATCTTATACTTATAAAATAGAAGAGGGTAGAGCAGAGAAAGATGATGGTACAATATGATAAACATATTACATACCTTTGATAGCAGAAACTAAGGGCGTCCCACTCACTCCTTCTTATCCACCGCGTCCTGCACAGTTGAAAGAGCGGGAGAGTAAATTTGTTATAACCGAGCTCATGATTCTCTAAACCAGTCTTTCTTGGAGCAACCTCTGAGACTTGACAAATATCTTATCTGGAATGAGTAAATAAGCACAATTATGAGAATACATTTAATGAAAAGGTTTCCATCCGTTGCAAAAGCTCTATGTTAATTATCGCAAGTATCTACTCTAAAATATACACATATGTGTTTTGTCCACATCGCATTCGTACAAAAGTGAACAATTTTAATATTGCAATCGGATCGTATTTAGACATTTAAATATTCTTCCTTGAACACGAAGCGAAAATATGGGGCAAATTGTATTTCATACATAATTTCGAAGCACTTCATGCAGTCAAAAACAAAACGACAAAAAATAAAAGGCACTCAATAAGATGAGACCCAGCAAAGGTATTTCCACCTATTTTACTTTCATGTTCTGTTTAGCTTTCGAATTAATTATGGAGTAATCTGCAATATTTTAACATTGTACTAAAACTAAACAAATATTCTGAATCTCAGAGATTTTTACATCGTGGTCCTCATACGATGGCATGTGTTACCGGTCAGCAAACTCTTAAATTAATTTTGCTTGCCCACTGGCCGCTGGGGTAAAAAGGTTGGGAACCACTGAACTAAACAGTTAAGTACAAGTACAACCACGTTACACCAACGCCCCGCAAACTTAGTGATTTTCATCAGAATGATTAAATAGAATATTCAGAATAGAATAAATTGATTTTTAATGTTTTCTCGTTGTGGGGTCGCAAGTATCTGTAGTCTGTGATTTTACAAAAATTGGGGTCGTGGAAAAAAAAGTTTGGGAACCACCGCCGTAAAGTGTCCGTAATCAGCTTATAAAAATATTCAACTTACGAGCCATTTTTTCATCCTTGAATGTATTCTGGATCAAAATGTAATCAGACAATGAATTTCATCAATTACGGTATGTCCGAGTCCACACTATAATCAGTGGAAAGTTGCGGTTGCCGTAGCATAAGAGTTTCTACCGCCTGTCCCAACTATTTTTCCATGGACTGGATTGGAGCATGGCTTGATCTCTGAAAATCAAGTTAGTGTTACCCAATGTATAGTACATAATTGTCTTTCAGATGATAAACGTGAACGAATGGCCTATACTACTTACCAGAATATAAATTTTTCATTAATATTAATTACCGTATTTTCCAGCGAATAAGTCTACCCGGCGAATAAGACGAGGCCTGTTTTTAGGCCTGAAAAAATGGGTTTTTGCATATAATCGGCCAATAAGTCAGGGTAGTAAAATCGCATCAACGTCGGGAATCTTAAATTACCATGCAATGCCTTTCGAGCGGTCACCGCGTTTGCGCATTGGTTAAAATAGCCTCTAAATGACTTTTTCTTGTAGCGTAATATTCAATCCATATATGATAATGCAAATATGATAATCACAGCATTGAAATTCCAGATTCACAGCGCGAGCATGTCGATTTATTCAAACAGACCTGATGAGGACGTGGGGGATGCTATCGCCGAAGGTATTTTATTGTCTCGATTCAATAATAAGGCGACACAAAAATAAAAATGATCATATTCGCCTAATAAGACAACCCCCCGCCAAAATCAGGCCAAAAATTTGGGTATAGAAAAGCGACTTATTTGCCGGAAAATACGGTATTAACCACATGATGTTGTACTAGGTAATTATTCAACCGATATATCTAGCTATTGTGCAATATTTTATGGCACAGATATGCAAGGAGCTACTATCAAACTATAAAACAAAAACACCTATTTTGGGCATTGTCCGCATTGAAACATTGAGATGCTTGAAATGACACAGTGTATGATTGCGTGAAAGAGGGAATTGAAGCAGGTGAATTTTCCAGTCCATTGTCATAGGGCCTATTATAAAAATGGTATATATCATTAAACTTACAATGGTAATAGTGACACTGGACAGAATATCTAATCGGTAATAATTATTAAGAATAACCGGAAAAAAATGAATATTACACAAAATATGTCCAAATATTTATAAAAGATGTGTCGTACAATACTTCATGCTTTTAGAGTCGCTGGGCATTGCACAGTTGCATGCACATTTGGCAGTCATTGTACAGAAATACCCAATATAATTCTATTGAAATTTGAAACAAAATATTATTCAGAAATCAGTAATTTATTTCTCAACAAAGCTGAAAATATGAACTAGAGCAGGGTTGGGCAAAATTCTCGGACCGCGTGCAAAAATTTTGCGCACCTAGACTGGCGGGCCATGTCGCATCTCGCATGTGTGGCGTAAAAAGTTATACTTTAGAAACAAAATTTTATTTAAAGTGTTACAAAAACAAAAATGGAAAACAATAATCCTTGAGCTATTTTTTACCTAAAAACATCAAATTTTGGTTTCAGTTTGATTGTGGCAATTGTTAAAACATATTTTAGATTTCAGCCAATTGAGATCTCTATTTAGATTTGTTGAAATTCATCAGACAGAAGTTTCACAAATATAAACTCTTCAGATTACAGGATTAAGTCGTCCAACGGGTTGGATATGCGATTTGGGCTGCGGAAATGTTTGCACTTAGACAAATAAAAGAAAATATAAAAAATCATATCCAGGGATGAAGGACCAATACCGGTACTCGATAACGAATACTGGTAAATGAGAGATGGCAACCTCAGAAAGTTTAACATAAAATGCCAAAAGACCAAGTACGGTAACGTACCACCGGGTACCGGTACCTCATCTCGTTCTGTCGCTACCGGTACCTACGGTGTCCAGGGATAATGGATAAATATGTAACTTTTACCGGTATCTACCATAGGTACCGGTACCGTACCGGTACTCGATAACGAATACTGGTAAATGAGAGATGGCAACCTAAGAAAGTTTAACAAAAAAAGCCAAAAGACCAAGTACGGTAAAGTATTTCATCTCGTTGTCGTTACCGGTACCTACTGTGTCCAGGGATAAATATGTAACTTTTACCGGTATGGTACCGTATCACCCTTATGAACCGTGACCTGACAACGTACTTAGGGTACCGGTACCATGAGATTATCTTACACGGTTACAACTATCTCTACTTTCGCCATTCTACTATGAAAGCGTTAAAAGTTCAATTTCACTGTCTCATCCACGGAAAAAACCTCGCAACAGGATATCGATTACGAGTACCGGCAAAATGAATGGCGACCTCATGTGCTATATTCGAATCGCGCGCCCATTTCTTCGCATATTGACGTGTTTCGTTGAAGGCCAATCATGGCCTTACCATGGTAAATGGTTGTAAAACCGCGTACAACGGTTGTCGGCGGATTATAACGTTGGCCCAACGTAGTTGTGCTATCTGGGCTGTCACTAATGTAACACGATGTCATATAAATCGCGGATGTCAAGAGATCGCCGAGATGGGATTTTGGTTTATTTATTATACAAACGAATGTTCCTCGGAATTTAATTATTTATACGTTCACAAGTTTTCCCAAATTTTTCATTTCAAAATCCAATTTCGGAAAACAAAACGAGAGAGCATGCATTCAAACATATTGTTGTATTGTTTGCCGAACTACAGTCCAACTTAGATTTTGTTTATTTATTATGTATTCCCTAAACTGAAATTTTTGGAAATTTTGATATTTTTGCATTTCAACACTAGAATTCTGCCTGGGAAAATTATCGAGTAAGTATGTTTCAAACTTGCGGTAAACAACGTCGGAAAATCGCTCATGTCAACCAAAAAGGATTTTTGTTTATTTATTATATGTTCCTAAAATTAGACTATTTTTAAATTCTAATATTTTTTGTATTTCAACACTAGAGTGCTGCTTTGGAAAAATAATCAAGAAAGTATGTTTCAAACTCGCCGTAAACAACGTCCGAAAATCGCGCATGTCACCCCCAAAATGATATTTGTTATATATATGTTTCCAAAATTATAATTTTTTTGAAATTCCGATACTTTTTACACTTGAACACAAGATTCCTGCTCTATAGGCTTGCACGTAATTGACAAAAATCAATTCCGTAATTACGGCCAAATCGATTACGTAATGACCCCGTAATTGCGATATTTTTTTCACACATTTAAACCTATCATAACAACCAATTTAATCCACTTCTATTCCGAATGGGACATCGAAGTTTGGTTTTCATATTCCCGGCAGTACTACACGCCGGCGACAGATGTTAAAGACAAATATCAAGGAGTGAATTCAAAATAATTTTATTCTGATTTTTATCTTTTGTATTAGCTTTGATTTTTTTTATCCACTTTATCACCAAATTTTATGCGATCAATTTTATCATTAGCAACACTGGTAATATATTTAAGAAACGATAGTTCAGTTTTTTGAAATCGTATTAACGTATTAATACGACTTTCGTATTAGATAAAAATTCCGGGTTGCTAATTTATTAATCAACTACAAGCGTATTCTCTCGTTTGATTATACTTTCGCTTGCCTCGCGACGAAGACTTGTTATTTCACCGTTTTTTACAATATCCGACTTTACTACTTGTTAGCATTTTATAATAATTATTGATGCCGACTTATTGACGATATTCCGAATTCCATGCTTCATTTTACATTAAATCATTTCGCGGCCTAAAAGTTATAACATTATTTGCGATAAATTTAGATCAAATATTAATTATTTGCGCATTATTTAAAATACCGTACTTACCGGTATATGACATGCCTTCTCCGATAATACAAAGTTATATCGCAAAACAATGCATTTTGTGACATTTATTTTGCACTCATGAAAATATTAATTTATTTTTATAACTCAAGTCGACAATCCTATTTGCCAAGATTGACACAAGTTTGGTCGAGTGCCGGTGGTATTCGAGTCGACGACAAATCAAAATAAGTTGCCGCATTTGGTAAAGACAGGCAATCATATTTGGCCGACATATTGCGAGGCATTGTGAAAAACATATTGAGCAATGCCATGTCCGGACAGATATATAACGATAAAATCAGTAACAGAACATCAAGATTTTGTAATAGAAAATGGATCTCGCGCAAAATAAACACGTGAGATCCCGTCGTATTGTTGTTTCTCTGCGGTCTCAATCGCTTTACCGATGCCGAAAAGACTAAGTTGCGTTGGTTCTTTACGCAATTTCTCTCCGTCTTTATATTGCTGTTTGATAAGCGCGACATTAATTATCACGGCATTTACAAATAGACCATGTTTTATAAGTTGATCTCTTACATTCTTTAATCATTTCACCCGAAGAAGTTGAAACCAGGTGTGTTGACGTCCATCGGTCTCATCACAATTCTATTCCTTATCTACGGTTAATATGTACATTGGCCATCCTAGATAAGTTGATAATAGGGCAGTAAATGACGCGTTATGCCTTCCCCATCTGCCTAACAAGAGAGAGAAAAACGGCTGCGAAAAACCGGAACTCTAACTTCTTTTACTTAACTTTAATTTTTTACAATCGACGGAATTGACTGCTCTGAAGAGAGCTCGTTTACGACTTTACGTAATTCGTAACTTCGCTTCCGTAACTCGAAATAATTCCGTAATTCCGTAAATCCGTAAATTACGTGCAAGCCTACTGCTCTAGAAAAATTGGTCGAGAAAGTCAGTTTCAAAATTGACGTGAACAACGCCCGAAATCGCGTCGATGACAATATATCAAATTTTCCTGAAACTCCCTACGTCTTGCTGAGATATCGTGAATTCGTTTGAAGGTTTCGCGTTGATGTTGGTGCAGAAATTTGCAATTTCAATGAAATTGTTTCAATTCTTCGAACGTCACATATCAACCGAGCTGCCCAAATTCTTTACTCACAGAAGAGCATTACATAAAATTTTCATGTGGATATAATACAATTTCTCAACTAAAAACTCAAAATATTGCAAAAAACAATTTCACGCAGGACATGATGGAGAAGAGTCATCAGTAGTTGAAAGAGACTTCCCGATGAAACGAGTTTGACATCGCTTATAATGAGCTACATGACTCTTTCGTTCGGGAATATCAAGGTCGGCACAGGGTCCAAACCAAGAACGGGTAGGTGGAAAGAGGGAGATTGGTTGATGCGCTGGTTTAGTAGATATATCCCGTCTCACGACCGTACAATAGACTCCCAAAATTTGATTCGCCACCCAGCATTCGGCCGGGATAGGATCTTTCCCTCTGTTAGTTTCAGAATATTTTTTCAGAATAAATATATTCGCGAGATCTGGAGTGAAAACGTCAAATCAAGATACATTGTTTATTTTTTTGGACACTGTAACTGTAAATATTTGCACTCCTACACCGAAGTTTATTGACTCAGCATCTCAATTTCGGAAAAATAACAATCCTGATCCCGACCTATCGAATTTACGCTCATCGTATGTATTGCCGGGTGCTATATGAAAGAATCTGCAAAAAAACAACTACACCTGTACTAAAAGAGATTTCTCTTATAAATTCAAATAGAACGAAATGTGCAGCTCGAAGAATAGGAAATCGTCCCCACAATACTAGCAGTAGCTCAGAAGAATTGTGTCGTTGTTCAAAATGATGACACGATTGATGAAGATGAATTGTCTTCAGAAGATATCATGGAAGGTGAATGCATGATTGCAGGGGCGGAATATGCCCCTTTGGTTCCCTAAGCACTGAAGACTTTAGTGTCTCCTTATGTGTAATTCAAATTTTAAAAACAGTAAACCACATAAGTGTAATATCCAATAAAAATAATCACAACCAACAGTAAATAAAACAACTTTTAAGAACATTTTTAGGTTTTTCAAATAACCGAGGCCATTTACTGCCGATATGATATATCGGCGAACACGCAATATCAGGCCGATATATTGGTTGAGCTCTGAGGGGATGTGACAATGAAGATTCATGCGTCCAGTCTCAACTGTAGTTTGAAATTTTACCGGTACGTAATAGTCTACCTCAAGGTGGTTCAAGGTTGAAGGACCGCAAAAACTTCTCGCGGTTTGCAAGTCGGAGAAAACCTGTGGGTGATCGAAATATCGCGAGTTTATATAATTTAAATTTGATAAACGAGAGTTTACTGTTCTAATCAATCAAACAAACTGGATGACGCAGCGTTAAGTCGGCTCTGCGTTTCATCACTACATGGCCCTCGCTTGAAAACAGACGAGTGTTTTTACTAAAATAAAATCACAAAACGTTAGAAAATGGGTTTGATTTTCGGGATCCCATCCCCAGATGGAATAGCTAAAAAAAACTTCTGCTATTAGATACAAATATACGCTGAAATTGTTCTGTGGGCCGCACGAAATGTATCAGCACGACAGGGTTTGGACCACCCTGGTCTACCTTTTCAAAAAAAAAAAACGCTGACACATAACTCTTGCTCTTGTCTCTGAGTGCTGGGATGGAAGTCCGTTTTTTCTTCTGATCTAACTGATCTGGCAAATGTTATGGGTTACTATCATTTGTCCGTCGTCCCTGACCAGATTGTCACTGGGTTGAAAAGGTGTCTAATTTTCGTAGCATGAACTGCAGCACCGAGACGGTCCCGATGGTGGCATTGTAATGGACTTCTTTAATAGTCAGTTTTGTATTATTTATTGGACAAAATAAGCACGTGCTTAGAGTAAAAAGGAAAATGGGACACCACACAGATTCTCATAGATGACCTGCAATAGATTCCCAAGAAATGCAATTATGATAGAATGGAAAACTGATTGACCATAATAGCCTACTTGATTAGCTCATTATTCATCGGATTCCGAGGAAAGTTCTCGTGTGGCATAAACGTAGAATCAGAATGAATAGAAAAGTATACCGCACGCGCAATTTACTGCGGTTCGTTAGAGCCCGCGGTAGCATGTTGTACCTGTCTCTGGTTTTTAGGACATTTATGATGTTTTCGTTTTATTTTTAGTGTGTATGATATCGTTTCAATTTGTAAAAGAGCATAAGGCCCCGTCAATTTTAACCTGATATGTTTTATAAATCTAGGAACAATAAACCAAAAAAAGACGGTAGTTAGCGCAAAAGAAAAATACAGAAAGGATGAAATTGGTAAACAGCCTACCCGTCAGTGACAGTCATATATTTGTTTCGCAGAATCACTGCTTTGAATTACCTCATGCGATTTGTAGCTAATTGCATAATAACGCATTTTCTTGTAAACAGTACACTAAAATGATTCACGACAGATTCAATAGGTAAAACAGCGCACGCGACAGCCCCAGATGAACGCCTTTCATTGAGAAATGAATGCACCTGCTTCGAATCAAAGCGGTATGTTTGATGTAATTTTTTCGCGGTAATTAGCCGTCGTGGGCTGCCAAGCGTGTCGTCGTTCGTAAGTAAGATTCTGATCCTCTCGACCATCGTCAGTGGCGGTGGCGCAGTGAAAGCGTAGAGACATGGACAAACATCAGGCTAGGGGTTCGAACCTCACAGGGTAGAGGTCGAAGGAGAAAAAGTAGCCGACGATCAAGCGAGAGTAAACAAGGAGCATAGGCTGAGTTGTAGGGTAGGGCCGGCAGAAAAGACAGGCGGTCGAGGGAGAAAGAGTAGCCGACGATCAAGCGAGAGTGAACAAGGAGCATAGACTGAGGTGTAGGTAGGACCGACAGACAAGACAGGCGGTCGAGGGAGAAAGAGTAGCCGACGATCAAGCGAAAGGACCGGGCAGACAAGACAAGACAGGCGGCCGGAGAGAGAAAAAGTACGACGGTCGAGCGAGAGTGTAAACATGAGACTGAGCTGTATAGGGTATGGCCGGCATAGAGAGCCAGCCAGCATTTCTAGGAGGGACGAGCTGACCACTGACTGATAAAACACACTGATGGGGTGTGTGGGACAAGCAGACAAGACGGTCGGAGGAGAAAGAGTAGCCGACGATCAAGCGAGACTAAACTAGAATTAGAATATGGCCGGCGGAGGAGACAAACACAATCAATAAACAAATAAAATACAGACATAGAAAATAGACTGAGCTAGCCTGTCGAGGAAGGGCGAGCCTCACAGAACTGAGATGATGAAAAGGCGCTCGAGGGTGGAAAGGAGGCAAGGGGGGACAATGTCAGCCGAGGGGAAAATCAGGGCTCCGCTTATCAATCCAGGGAAATCCTGGGTAAAAGTGAAAACGAGCAGTCGGGGTAATTCAGGGCCGCCAGAGACAGGCAGGGGTCGGCAGTGGTGTGGTTAAAAAAGAGGCATCAAAAGTGTGAAAACGGAAAGAAATTCAGGGCCGCCCGCCAGTCACACACAGTAGTCAAAAAGGAAAAGGAGCGAGCCGATGATTATTAGCGAGAGCGGCAGCCCAAGGAAGAGAAAAAAAATCAGTCGAAGGAAATCTGGGCAAGGTGAAAACGGAAAGCCATTCGAGGAAGTTCAGAGCCCCCCGGGTCAGTCAAAAAGGAAAAGGAGCCGACGATTAGCGAGAGCGGCAGCCCAAGGAGAGAAAAGGCGGAAAGAAAAAAGATGCGCAAACCAAAACGAGCTTCATCAGTCATGAGAAAGAAGTGTGTCGGCGATGCGCAAAAACCAACGAGCTCATCAGTCATGAGAAGTGTGTCGGCGATGCGCAAAAACCAACGAGCTCATAAAGGACGATGTTCTTCCACAATTCCCAGTCCAAGTCCCAAGATCCAAAAGCCAAAAATAGCAAAAAATAAAGCCAAGGAGAGAAAAGGGTTGGGAAAAGAAAGTTGCGCAAACCAACGGAGCTCCCAACATCAGTCGAGGGAAATCTGGGTAAAGTGAAAACGGAAAGCCATTCGAGGAAATTCAAAGCCGGGGGATGATCCAAAAATAAAGCCAAGGAGAGAGAAAAGGCTGAAATAAAGATTCCGCAAACCAAACCAGTCGAGGGGAAATCAGGGTCGAGTAAAAACAGTCACGGTAAATAAAAAGGAAAAAGGGCGATGGTTCTTCCACAATCCAGTCCAGTCAACGACAAACAGTCCAAGGGATCCAAAAAAACGGTAAGTAAAAAAGGAAAAAAGGACGATGTTCTTTCACAATCCAGTCAGAGAGATCCAAAAAGCGGAAAGAAAGATGCGCAGTCCAAGGGATCCAAAAAATAAAGCCAAGGAGAGAGAAAAGGCTGAAATAAAGATTCCGCAAACCAAACCAGTCGAGGGAAATCAGGGTCGAGTAAAAAAACAGTCACGGTAAATAAAAAGGAAAAAGGGCGATGGTTCTTCCACAATCCAGTCCAGCCAACGACAAACAGTCCAAGGGATCCAAAAAAACGGTAAGGAAAAAAGGACGATGTTCTTCCACAATCCAGTCAGAGAGATCCAAAAAGCGGAAAGAAAGATGCGCAGTCCAAGGGGTCCAAAAAGTAAAGCCAAAGTGAGAAAAGGCGGAAAACCCACAATCCAGTCAGAGGGATCCAAAAGCCAAAAAGCGGAAAGAAAGATGCGCAGTCCAAGGGATCCAAAAAGTAAAGCCAAAGAGAGAAAAGGCGGAAAACCAACGAACTTCATCAGTCGAGAGAGTGTGTCGATGTTCTTCCGCAATCCAGTCAAAAGGAAAAAGGACGATGTTCTTCCACAATCCAGTCAGAGAGATCCAAAAGCCAAAAAGCGGAAAGAAAGATGCGCAGTCCAAGGGATCCAAAAAGTAAAGCCAAAGAGAGAAAAGGCGGAAAACCCACAATCCAGTCAGAGGGATCCAAAAGCCAAAAAGCGGAAAGAAAGATGCACAGTCCAAGGGATCCAAAAAGTAAAGCCAAAGAGAGAAAAGGCGGAAAACCAACGAACTTCATCAGTCGAGAGAGTGTGTCGATGTTCTTCCGCAATCCAGTCAACGAGTAGAGCCACAAACAGTCATGATCCAAAAATAAAGCCAAGGAGAGAAAAGGCGGAAAGAAAGATGCGCAAACCAACGAGCTCATCAGTCGAGGGACATCAGGGCCGAGTAAAAACAGTCACGGTAAATAAAAAGGAAAAAGGGCCATGTTCTTCCGCAATCCAGTCAACGAGTAGAATCCAAAAAAATAAAAAGGGCCATGTTCTTCCGCAATCCAGTCAACGAGTAGAATCCAAAAAAATAAAGCGATTGAATACGACAAAGATCAGCGGACAAGAACGGACCAGCCGATCAAACGTAGTTTTAAACCGACCACAAAAGTAGATGAAAATGATAAATGAATAAACAACTACATGTAGAGTGAAATAGAAATCCGCCAGGCTCCCCAAGGTAAGTAACAAAGTAAGTAAGATGAGAATGTAATTAGCAATGAACTGTTTTCTCAAAAATTCATGCAAAATAATTGTTGTTAGTATTGAATAGGCCTACTGAAAATTTCCTATTTAAAAATTAAGATAACATAGAAAACACCGGTTTCATTGTTATTATTATTTTTTGTATATATATATATATTTTTCGCAGTTTCACTATAAATGCTACTCGTCTCTGAATCTACGATCAGGCGTGGTTCGCAGCGGCGGTCTTCTCATTGTAATGTCTTATTATTGTCTTTAATAGAAGAGACGCAGTAAAATTCAAATTAATATTTTTATATGAACTTCATCCAATAGCCAATGCAGATATGTTAACTACTTGTAGCCGGGTAATACTCAATTACATTGAAATAAAAATTGCCGGTAAACCCGCACTTCTTTGAATTGAATGGTCCGGGTTCATCCTATCTCTGGGTGGCAGTAGAGATTCTTTACTTTGGATCACAAACATCGATAATGTGAAGTGTGTCTCGCGCGAACAATGCGCGAAAATTCTCAGATGACACTTGAAATCATTTGATAATTTACAATACAAAAGATCGGGTGCGGCTGCCTCAATACAGCTTCAACTAATCGAGTCTGATTCAGTAGTCAAAATTAGGTATGTAAAAAGAGAGAAATGCTAATGTACACATGGCTCAACTATTTAGTCTCAGGTTAGGTAATAAGAATTTGTTCATTGTGTATGCGTTTAGAAGTATAATATTGGGCTTTTTGCCGTTTTGTCGTACACGGATTCGCGAAAAGCAGAAATACATGAGATTCCATCGCAAAAGCTCAGATTTGAGGTGCAGCTCTCGAATTTATTTTGACTCCACTACATTAGAGAGTTGCGTTAGTAAAACTAATATGCCAGAGTAAAGTTCGATAGCTTCTACAATGTACGTATAAGCGGAGTACGTGTAAATGTCTGTTTGTGTAAAGCCATGGGTGTCCAGTTTTTACAACTCAATCCAGTAGTCAAGACTGGAAAGTGGTTGATTTTCCAATCACTGATGTATTGTGTATACTTGAAATGTGTATATAAATATTCATTTATTTGTGCAGTTTTTAAACTTACTACGGTTTTTTTAATTTCTTTAATATATTCTCGGCTTTGACAGTAAACATCCGCCGACAAACCGCAAATGGCGAGTTACTATATTAAAGAATGGCTCTCTCATGAAAATATAGCCGAGTGTTATAAATTTGTATTTATTATATTGGTGTTACTGGCACCGACATCACAAAGATCCACTTATTCTGTCCAAGTCGCCCAATTTTAGATGATATCTGAGTCAGATCTAAATATCCCGCGGGCGTGTTTAGATCCTGTATTATGAAAATCATAAACGAGATATATCCTGAATATCTAGTGCCGGACAATTTTATAGTCTCGTCACTTTTATATAATAAGGAAATTCGAAAAACGTCGAATAACAATCAATTTTCGGCGCACACGAAAAAGTTTTTATTTGGGAGATAATGGGTATGACTTTTTTCGAATTTTCCGCTGCCCGTCGGCAAAAGTTCGTTAGGCTAAAGATGTGTACATTAGATATTGCTAACAAAAAACAGTCAGAGTTGAGGTAAAATTATTCAAATGAAGCGAGAACTTTGAATTACTTCAAAAATTATGTTACTAATGTTTCATTGCTCTCAGATAAATCAATAATTTGTCAGAGAGGCTTTTTGACGTAGGCGACCTCACATGAATATATTTGTTTTGGCGGTTAATTTTGTGGAAAATGGGGTTTTAGAGGGAGGTCGGATGTTTTGCACTTCAATTAGCTATGTTTGTTATGTTGTTTGGATAGAATAACCGCAGATTAGTGAACTGAAAAGCCAAATCATATGAAATTTGTTTTTACTGGTTTTGCGGATTTTTTGACTTTACGCGATCAGAGCTTGATTACCTTGCGAATTTTCACTGAATTTCATCTAACAGTGTTCTTCGTTTTTAAGATCGGCGATAAACATAATATGTTATGATATTATACAAGTTTAAACAGTGTAACAGTGTAAAATGATCTCGTAGGCAGCAAATATAAACTTGACACGACAGTTTACAATTGTGCAAAAATGGTAATGTCTATGTTATGTTTTTCGTTTATTTAATATTATATATATATCACTAATCTAACTCCAACACCTCTAATAAAAATCTGCTTATGCAAGAGTAAAATTATAAATTGAACTTATTGTTTTTATTATTTGGTCATTTTTATGATATTATCCTGTCTCGGAGCATCCGTTATTATTACCAACTTGGAATTTTGCCACGAGCGAGATTATTATCATGTTTAAATACAAACTATGTATCATATATCTATTTAAAATGCTTCATCACGATTTTTTGTTGACCGTTCAGTCGCTAGCTAACGTTTTTCTTCTGTTATCTCGCGTGTTTTCGCGATACTTTACGTGACCTCAAAAGATTATGGTTGTAAAGGTCAAGGTGAAACGCTAAATATGAAAATTTAATTGAGCTTCATATAATGATTATGATGCCATATTAGCGATAATTAGAAATAGAAAATCAGTGCAGCAGTTAGAGAAACCACCTTTTAGGATCTTCTAATCTATAAAGATCTGGTGTCGGTATTAATATTTTTCAAATAAAAATCTACTTTTTTGCATGTTTTTTTTAAATTTATAACTTGACTAAAATTAGGATTGTTTGATCTTGCAATTAGCAAGAGCAACAAAAACTATTTCACATCGTCGTCATGATGAAATCAACTATTATCAAAATAACGAAATCTATATACCTGTATAAATAAAGGTTCTTGCTATAATGACTCTATATTAACGCCATAAAATGACCTATATTGATTCAACGTTTTGTTATAATTAGGGCTGGGCGTTTCGAAACAATGTTTCGAAACACTGATATGTCGAAACGGCGGCGTTTCGACCTTCGAAACGGATATTATGACGTCATAGCAAATGCAACCTGTAATTAGTGTCCAATTCGAATTTAATATCCGAATTTATTCGAATATCGTGACTCTCAAATATCGTTTTCAGTGTTTATAAGAATATTAAATATCGCGCAAACGTCCAAGCGTCGCCGTCCACGTTTTGATCTGGCCGCTGCTTTGTCATTGAGCAGAAACATTCGTGGAATTATCATTATCGTTTTATCCTCTCGAATTAGCATCCAGTGATATCCTTTTGTGGATTTAATTGTGGAAAATAGATGTCATTAAACATTAAATTCCATGGGTAATAATGGTATCATAATTCACTGTTTATGACAAACGTGTGTTTCGTTTCGTTTCGAAGGCAAAATTTCGTTTCGATTTCGAAACACCAGTGTTTCGAAAATGCCCAGCCCTAGTTATAATACACAATGCGCTATAAGCCAGTAGAACACGACAAAATATCTTTAGTCTGGTATTCAGGGAGTATTGCTGAATCAGTGTCCATATCTATACTATACCGTGTGAAAGTGGTGAATCAAGGTCATAAAGCATGCCATGTTTATCAGCACAAATGATGTTCAGAAACTTGAAATTTATATGGGAGGTTATTGTAATCCAAGCAATTTTGTTTCGTTATGCAATGTCTCAGTATTTACCGCATAGTGATAATCACGTTACGTTAGCGAAAAGATGTTTGCGGATATATCTCAACGCAACCCATGTCTTGATATTTGCCCAGGTCTAACTATTTAGGTTCAGAGATCTGAGACTGTATTTGTGTAATACATGTATGTTATTATTGAGCAAGAATCTTGATTCACAGAATATTGGTATGGATATATAGGAAACGTTGTGTTACAATCTACCGCCAAAGTGTAGAGTATATAACTCAATAAGTTTGTATATCATCATAGTTTCAGTTCAGTAGAGCTAGCGTACGCTTACGTTGTCGTTACCGACAGACGGATGTCGCAGACAGACTAACTAAGCGTTAGTAGTGTAACATTATTTATTTCGCTGTCACTTCGTCTTTTCTGCTTTAATCTTCGGCAAATGAGTTACAAATCTAACTAGTTTATATTACTGCTATTGATTTTCAATAACGTGCTTCGGACGAGGCAATAAGTCCCCATCGAGTCTTTATTGCAAAACAATCATAAGAGTAACGTTAGGGTTCGGGTAGTCAAATTCTTGTATACTTTTTAATTTTTTGATACGATTTTGATTGCGGCACTGCCCCCCCTAATTTTCACTTTTATATAATTGTGTTAAGGCCGTTGTGTTGTATTGAGTTTCATTTTAAATATATACGAAAGTATTTAGTCCGGACGATTTTGGATTCTGGCTGGAGTAAGAAATAGAAATACCGGATTTTAACAAGGCGACGAATAACATGCGATTGTTGTGGTATCGAACAATTGAATGTGACATAAACGGTTGACTGGGATATAATGGTTCGATATGTCAACACTGGAGTTATTTTAGTGGTTTTTATTTGGATATCGGTGACAAACGGACAATCCCAGTTTTCGGTCAAAGAGGAACAAGACCCTGGAACATTTGTAGGGACCATACCTGAAATAAACGTGGATTATACGTAAGTGTCGTGGACTTCTCTGTAGTACTGTAACTTTTTAAATGGACTTCAAAATATTCCTACCTTGCCTGGGTTTGTTGTTTTAAAGTGATTTACAACTAAATGTTCAATCATATAGGATTAGTTTGTTAGTTGAATTACCAATACCGTTCTAAATTAACTTTTCAATAATGTTTCACCAAACGCGAGCTATTGACTTCTCAATTGCCTCTCAAAGAAAAACGGGACTTACAATCAATAGGATAATAAAGAAAACTGCAGTCCCGGAGTTTTATTTCCCATTCAGATTTTCATATCTAGTTATTGGAATATCGTTAGTTTTCATAATATGACCTCTTCTCTACTTCGGGGTATAATGATTGGAAAAAAAAATTGCCGGCCATATTTCTATCATACAGATATAGATCGTCAGTCTCGCGAAATGGTGATTGCCCCAAATTTTAATCCTGCAACTATAATTTGAGTCCCCATTGTCCAATTGAATTCAGGATTACACTTCGTGTGGTGCTGTTATACTTTGATAATCTTCATAAATTTAGAAAATAGTTTGATGCAGCCTTGAATTTAAACTATAATTGCCAACAAAAATGTTAACTGATGTAAAAATGGTATCGCGATTTGCGACTATTTTCGTGTCAAGGTAATGAAGCTAGGAAATCACTGCACCATAGGTGACAAACCTATGTTTATTTCCAGCCAGCAAAAGGTACAGTCCCAATCGCCATTTGAATAGGTTCCTCCTTAGCGGAAATAGAGCAATCGTTAATAAGAGACATAATTTTCAGAATTAATTGACAATATTTGACTCGATATAAATCGGCACTGTACAGTATTTGACCGTTTTGAATTAACAATACAATATATCATCGCATGGTCGTAATAATTGTAATAAAGTTTATATATTCCTCCCAGGTTAACCGACACCCCCTATTTTCAACTTAACAATGGAAATCTTCTGACAAAACGGAGAATAGACAGAGAATCTTTGGATAATGACGTCATCAAACTAACTGTTGTGTCAGAAGATCCGGGAGAAGTTCCGATTGAAATTTCTGTCACAATTCTTGACGTGAATGATCATAACCCAACATTTCCAGTTTCACCACTGAATGTCAACTTTACAGAAAGTACAGATTCCAATTATAGGGTATGTTATATCTTTTTTAATGACATTACTTTGCAAAATCTTTTTAGACTCGTTGTGTTCAACTGACATCACGATAAAAGACTGTACCCAGAGTTTGGGTGGGTAAAGTGAGAACGATGGTGCCGGTATTTTAAAACCATGGTATTTCCTTATGTAACTTACCTACCATAGCTTAACTACCTTACGTAGTTGGTGCTCATTTAAAGATTTGTTTAGAAGGAAGGTGTTCGATCACCCTATAAACGTTGATATCTTTCGAAATGATTTTAAAAAGTTTCAGATTTTCCCTACCTAGAGCATTTGCCTTCATCATATTACTATTAAACTCTCCCTTGTTTAGCGCATTTTACCATTGGCTGATGATGGCGATTCTGGACAAAACGCTGAAATCACATCATATGATATCGTATCTGGAGATACCAGCGTATTTCAAGTATCTTTCGAATTAAATGGCGGACGACCTATTTTGTACTTGAACGTACTCAAGCCTTTGAATCGAGAAGTTTTGGTTAGTATTCTGAGCATTACTAATTGTGTGTTAACACATATATTGGCACATTTGATAGCTAAAACCAACTGTTTAGTAGACATATAGTCTATGACTCTATGACATTCTGATAAATTGATCTAGATTTTCCACGTGACTTTTACTCTACAAAGAGATTTTGAATGTTCAATGATTTTCCAGTGTTGCACTGATTATTCAAAATTCAATTCCTACCTTCCAATTCCTATACCCTATCTGATTTTTGATGTGTATATACCATTTAAATATATTTTCAATATTTAAGGGTCGGTATGATCTCAATATTTCCGCCGAAGATGGAGGCGCCGAACCCCGGCGAGGATATTTGCATTTGATCGTCAACGTACAAGACGTAAACGACAATGCTCCCGAATTCGTCAGAAAGCAATACAAAGAAAGTTTTCCGGAAGACACGCCAGTCGGTTCCGTGCTTTTCTCTGTCCTGGCAAATGATCTTGATTTGGTTAGTATATAATATTTTTCAACACCGATCCAACACTCTAATAAATTACAGGGCCCGCCTTTAACTATAGCGGGGACCTGTGCAAAACCGATTGCGCATGGATCAGTTTGGGTTAAGGTACGGGTAATAACTGAAATCTACGATTTTTTGAAGAAATCTACGATTTCGTGATGGAAAACGACTTCTTCTTTACCTTTTATTACGGCACCTGTCAGCTAAGTACCGCACAGAATCATGATTAAAATAACACCACAAGCTTTGCGTGCTGTACAAAATAAACACGTTGACCTTTCCTTGATAATAATTTATAACAGTTAAATTTAGTAGTTCACACCTGAAATTAGCGCGGGGCATATGGTTGTACAAGGCCACCGCGTCCCATAGATTGCAGAGGCCTTAGGCCTGCCAAGATAAAATACATTCAATTCAGAGTGTTATTTCAGTTTGGGGCCTCATTGCAACTAAAGAATTATTCGAGATCGGTCTCGTATTTTGTGGTTATGTGGGATTCACTCTTTAGAAAAATATATGATAACTCGTTTTTAACTTTTTTTCAAAATGTGTTCGTAAAATAACAGGGCGAGAATGGACGTGTGACATATTCTATTGAAGAAAATGATGGAACCTTCGGCATCAATTCTACAACTGGAGAAATAATTTTACTGAGAGCATTAGATTTTGAAAACCAGAAAACTTATTCTACAATTAAAGTTGTAGCCAGGGATGGCGGAAGCCCTAGTATGGAAAGTAGCACGTTGTTAACTATCGATGTCTCAAACGTAAATGATAATGATCCCGCAATATCGTTCACGTAAGTCTGAATTATTTTTTTGATCGTTTTAACTAACTCAAACTGGTTCGAGTTTAGCGCCAGCCGGTTTTCACTACAGTTTACATCACTTATTACACACGCTGTGCATTTATAAATTATACGGCCCACTTTTTGTTTACCACAATCGAGTACATGTCATCAAAATTAATTTATGTTATCAAATATACATCTTTCTGTAGTATTTATAAATATGATATTCAAAATCTTTGTGAAAAATTGGTCAAAAATTATAAAATATCATCTTCAATAAGGAATCTAAATATTAAGTTATTAATTTGGATTCCCGAATCTTCACGTTCTCGATTTACCACACGTGATACGAACAAGTCCGAATCTAATCTTGGTTCTCGGTTGTCGAGACCTATTCATCTTCATTCGCCCATGGAAACATGTGCTCTTTATAATTGGATATAATAATATTAATTACAATTTTGATTGTGGTTAAATCGATTGTACAACACGGCTTTACATTCAATTGAAATATTGTTATTGTCAATGGCATGCTTCTAAATGCGTAGATCCAAACTTTTCAAACCATTCATTTCTATGCTATTCCTACAACTATGGTTGAGCATTTTGAAACGGCCATATACATGCCAATGATTTCACACGGAAAACATTTTCCCATGATGTATTTCAAAACATAATTCAGATAAAATTTCTTTTGATTTTCAATGATATCTCAGATCTATAGTGCTTATTACGTTGGTTGTGCGAAATGAAATTGCGTAAATGGTTTGCTGGTTAACATTTGGATGCCGAGAACTTCAAAATTAAATGTAGCTTTCCAGAAACGTAGTGCGAAGCCATGAAATGCTCAGAAGGAAATTCGAATAGTCGATTTGAATAGGAAACGAACAGTCGAGTTTTGTCAGCCCAAAACGAAAGCCTGTCTCTCAATTTGAAAGTGTGTTTAACTAATTTACTATTTATTTACTATTGATTAACTATTTATCAGATACATTCCTACAACTGCAAGCATTGCTTCAATAAACGAAAAAACTGACATTGGAACTTTGGTCGCCCTTGTCACGGTATCCGATCCAGATGAATCAGAGAGATCGAACGATGTTCCAATGGGAATTGTATCTGGAAATGATCACGGATATTTTGAATTGATTAAAGTGAAAAATTTGAACTTCGCCAAAATTCAGGTCAGTGATATGGACAATTAGTATTCGCTAGCAAAATGCCAAGCATTACAATAAATTGAATAGGCCTACACCTCTTGTTTGGAATATCCGCAAAATGTTAGAACTTGGATAATGCACGCAATTCATTCTTGTTGGAGTCAGGGCTGACTTGCATAACCAACTTTTCTGAATTTAAACATCAACATCATAAAAAACCACACTGGAAACGTTAAAGTCACCTTATAACTCGATTGGAATATATTCTTTTCAGAGCAACATTACGACATAGATGATACAATAATTTCCTATTTTTTTTAAAACAACGCCACTTCCTGCTTGAGATATAATGTTAAATACTATTCGGCTAATCAGTATCATACAGTGGTACTGATTATTTACTGTTATATGGTTCAAATACGTTATTTGGATCAAAATTACATGCAAGTTCGCTGGAGGCGTGAACGCGTTGGGAAAAAAACAACATGCGATAACAAGATTCCATTATTACAATTTATTCCTTTTCGTTATTTCGTTAACTGGCGAAATTGCATTATTGTATTCTTGATGATATGATGAATACTACAATTTTAGATGTGTGTCATTCTGACAAAGTTTTCCTGAACAATTTCAGGTTGCAAACAACGATAGCCTGAGTGATCAACCATCATACAATCTCACTATTCGTGCAAACGATTCGGATCCAGATAGCGAGAGATATTCTCTAGCAAGTATGATTATTCTTGTTAATTCTGGAGAAAACCATCCACCAAAGTTTGACAAGAAAATCTACAATGTCACGATATCAGAACTCACAACAATTGGAAGCATCGTGACAAGTGTTCACGCACAAGATACTGACATAGGATTAAATGGTAGACTCGTGTACAGGTAACAATTATTCTTATTGAGACATATTTTTATAGCCATTTCAAAGCTAACTAGATATTGAACTATAAATTAAATTTAGTCAAAGTTAGGATCGGATACATATTTATCCCGGGGGCGAAGAAAGCCGATATGACAGACGGCGGCCTAATCATTTGGCGAACCACGGCCTCTCGTCCGCTTATCAGTTCATGTCGGGTATGGCATTAGTTAGCCGGTTATATGTATTTAGAAGCATGGACTTGATGATGATGGGTAAAGTCGTAACCACCCTAAACATAAATATTCCCCAAAAAATGTCCAAAACTATTGTGAAAGATGTTTAAATATAATTTTAGGTATTGTAAACGTTTCAAGGGACTCCAAAATTGATATACAATTTCTCTTGTGGTATCGTTTCGTTTTAGACTCACTTTTAAATTTGTAAACAAATTATAAAATATTCATCATACTAAGTTTGTTAGTTTTTATTTCAAAATATTCATGGCCCACGTTCAATTTGTAGAAAATTATTCAATGTATAATGACTACCTTCTAGACTGATATCATGTGGTTCATCATCAAGTATTGAATTCCAGTGTAACATTTCATCAAGTCTCGTAAAATGTAATATAATTCTGATCACATATAACCTAATTTTTACATACTTATATTACATCAGTTACTTGTGTACTATCCTATGTGTGCTTGTATGGTGACCAAGGATGGTTCAATTTTTACCATAAGTGTCTAACCCGTAACAATTTGCTAAAATGTATGCTATTGCAAGTTCCAAGTTCTGGAATACTGATGGACTTACAGTATTGACTGTATTGTTGTTTCCATAATATGTCATTGTAATTGTAATTATGGAATTTTTATTTTAGCCAGTAATTAGGTGGTACTGGGCATGAAGTTGACCTATTGACCTCTTTGCTAAATTGTTATTAGTGTTGTTTTTGGGAAAAAATCGCTTTTCTTTGCAACTAATAGACCAATTTGTTTCAAATTTTCAGTATCAACGATTAAAGAAGACTTGAAAGCTATTTATATTTTCATGGATTCCGATGTTTGATCTAAAATTTCACTGTTTCATTTAAATTGGTTGGAACACTTTTTATTTCGTATTGCTCTACCACTTCCGCCGATCTTTTCAGAAATTCGACGCATGTGTTTATTGTACCAGTACGATGTGCGGTACTCCGTAGTATGTGTACCGGGTTAGGGGTAGGCCATAATTTTATTCCGATTTTCCTTATTTTAGTTTTATTACTAGTTCCGGACTGTCTATGTTAGCCAAGTGAATATACCCCTTGCCCATAGATTTCAGTCCCTTTACACAACTTGATGTTACAGTAGGCGAACAAAATTATTTATACCTCCATATTGGTACACATACATATGGACCGCCCGATTTGCGACCTTCATGATTTTTGTACGCTAAACTAATTTGTGAATGGGCGCCACAACTTTATTCTTCATTCTGCTAACATTTCTATTACAGCATCGAAGAGGGCAATGATCTGGGGTGGTTCAAGATAGACAAAGGCAGTGGACTCATGACAACAATAAAGAAATTGAGATTTGAGCAAACCTTAACGAATGGGAGTATAAACCTAAAAATCAGTGCAAAGGATGAAACCTCCTATCCACTTTCTGATACTGCCGATGTGGGAATAATCATTATTGACGAAAACGATAATTTTCCGACTTTTGAAGAAACTAGTTACTCGTTTTCAATAAAGGAAAATACAAATGGTTTTGTGGGAAAAGTGGATGCTCGAGATAACGATTATGGAAAGAATGGGGACTTTGAATTCCGCCTAAAAGAGGTGAAATCGCCAAGAAATTCAAAAGGTTTAAATGACTTGATTTCCCATTTCACGATTGATAAATATAGTGGACGTATCAATGTCGTTAAACCTTTGGATAGAGAAAAGGTTGAAGCGTACATTCTGACTTTGTCAGTTACCGACTTGGGAGAGTCACCTTTGACCTCAGTTGTGGATGTGACTGTAGAAGTGTTGGACGTTAATGATAATCAACCTATGTTTTATCCGAATGCTTATTTTGCCAATGTCAATTCAAATACCAAGCAAGGCACTGTAATAGGATCAGTTCATGCGACAGATAAAGACAGTTCTGATGCGGATCGTATTACTTATCATTTCGTTGAAGATATTGGATCGAGGACGCAGTATTATAACGTTAATGCTAAAACTGGTGAAATTTCATTGGCTCAAAGTGTCGTTCACAGAAACGAACAAAGTGACGTCCTAAAGGTTTTTGCTTTGGATGGTGACAATAAAGCATCAACCGATAATGCCACATTTTCTGTGGCAATAGGTTCGTCTCTACCTGAAAGCGTCTTCAAAAAGGAAAATTACAATTTATACATGTTGGAAAACTCACCAGATAATTATGTAGTTGGTCGAGTGAAAGTTTTACCAACCACCAAACAACTGAGATTTTATTTAACAAATGGTAACGAAGACGGTACTTTTAAAATCGATTCAATTACTGGCAATATTGTAGTGGCAAATTCCTCATTAATTGACGCAGAATCTACCACAATCTACAATTTAACAATCACAGCAGAAATCATCAAATCGTCATCATCTGTTACTGTCGGATATACAACATCTTCATATCTAATTCACGTTATCGATGTAAATGATAATTATCCCATATTTCTATATACATCGGAAACGTCAAAATGGGATGGCATGTACACAGTTTCAGATGCAGTTACTGTAGAACTGGACGATGAATACTTGAGCACGGTAATATACAACGCTGGAGCGCATGATTCAGATTCTGCAGAAAATGGGAAAATAGAATATTCCATTATAAGCTCGTATTCCAATATAAAAATTGATTCAATAACAGGTTTAATTTCTGTTAAACCTCCAATTATTTCAATATCAACATGTCCAGAGAGTCAAACTGACTTCAAAGCTGAAATAACGGCTTGTGATGAAGGATCACCACGTCTTTGTTCGGTGCTGCATCTAGATGTTAAGATTATTCTTCTAGACCAGATACTAGATAAACCAATGCAAAATTTCTATATTTCACTGCCTGAAGATACCGATATGAATTACCTTGTTGCTAACTATGCAGAATTATCGTCGAATTATGTTGGAATAATGGATACCAAAGACATTACTTATTCTCTGAATCCCAATAGCCAATTTAATGTCTACCCAAGTGGGGAAGTTTTGCTTGCTCAAATTTTGGATTTTGAAATTACATCAGGCTATGAAGCTTTACTGACAGCGGATTTCGCAACTTCTAGGAACACTTGGAAAGGAACTTCACAACTTTCTGTGTCTGTGAAAGATGTGAACGATAACATACCTCAAGCTGGTTTGAAAAAGCATATGTTTGTTGTAACTGAAAACGCTAGTCCCGGCGATTTTATTGGCTCGGTCAGAGCGATAGACTACGATAGCGGAATATATGGTTCGCTCGTATACAATTTGCAATCGTCAAACTCTGTATCGTCGTTATTTTATACCGATATTACAACAGGAGACATATACGTCGGGCAATCTCCAGACAGAAATCTCCTCTCCAATTTAGGTTTGCAAAATGGGAATATATTACTGGACATGGCTGTTTCTGATCAAAATGGTATGAATGGGTCTGTCTCAGTAATCAACGTTGCGTATATACCTGTAAGGATAAATATCGAATTTGAATATCGTTTTTCGTTATACTTCGAATCTAATCGATATTTCGCAACTAAAATGGAGAATTCTCCTTCGCCTGACGTATTGACCGTACTTGCAAAAGACGGAGATGCTCCTTGGTCGTCTAAAACCATTCGATACCAAATATACAGCGCTGTTTCCAAGGAAACAAGTATTCCGTTTATCATAGACGAAGTAACAGGAAGCATACAACTGAAAGAAGGCGTTTCTTTAGACAGAGAACAAAACGAATTATATCACTTACGGCTCAAAGCTACTGATGTCGATCACGTATCGAATACCGCATTTGCTAATCTAGTAATTCAAGTATTAGACGAAATTGATACACCTCCCGTTTTCAAAGAAAAGTTTTTCCGATTCTCAATTTCTGAATTATCGCCAGTTTTGACTATGATTGGTAGAGCTGAAGCTCGAGATGGAGACTCACTTACTATAAGTACGGAAATCACTTACGAGCTTCTCACCGAGGAATCCGTTTTTGACATCGATCCTGCTACTGGATTTATATTTTTAATAGGAACCGTGGATTATGAGATTCAAAGGCGATATAATATAACAGTCAGAGCTACTGACAATAGTGAAATGTCCACAAATACTTATGTTATCATCGATATTTTAGATGAGAATGATAATGCTCCGAAATTCACGCGAGTCGCGTCGCTTCCTCTCAGAGAGAAATTTTACGGCAGTCCTACTATTGTTGGTACCGTGAAAGCTGAGGATGCCGACTCGGATGATTATGGCCGGGTACGTTATTCACTGGTACACAAAGATGATACCGACTCAACAAGCAGATCGTCAACCTCAAATTCTGTAGTTGAAATTGATCCCATAAGCGGCAGAATCACGGTTCGCGGAATGGTAGATCGAGAAGAAACACCAACATTGAATCTCATTATTAGAGCAACCGATCAAGCAAAGCCAGTATCTTTACGGAAATTTTCAGACGCTACTCTCAAAATTGTAGTCTCGGACATCAACGATAATAAACCAGAATTTACAAGCCCTACGTCTTATGTTTTATCACCCCAATTTGCCAGGAGAAACGGCCATACTATCATGAAAATATCTGCAACAGATCGTGATGAAGGCAAAAATGGCGAAGTAACTATAGCTTTATCAAGAACTGGCATGCACTCAAACTTGTTTACATTGAATGCTGAAAACAATTTGATTCTGAAAGCTCCAATCACATCAGAGAATCTGGTTTACCCGGTACACCTGACTGCGACCGACAAAGGTACTAATTCTACCGTTTTGAATAGGTATCCTATTACTTTTCACGTTAAGTATCGTCCAAGTAATAAAACAATCAACTTGAACGCCCAGTAATCAGATCTCATCAAATTGAGTGATAATAAATGAACAAAAATTTAACAATTTCGATGGCATTACGAATATATTTTTAATTATAAGTGTTACTATTATTATTAATTATCATTTATATCAAGCACTTCCTAGTTCCTACACTGAACATTAGTTTGAATATTAGTTTGTTGCAAAGGATTTTCGAAGTCCGACACGCGGTAATAGACAGGAACAATCGTAAGCCATGCTCCGCATTCAGAAAATTTTTTGTTAACCCATGGGGTTGTTAACCCTAAATAGTCAACCTCTGATTTGAAACGTTCTATATTTTACAATATTGTCACTACGTTTTACTCCGTAGCCTAATTGCAATCATTCTTTTGAATTGTGAGAACACAAAATAACCTGAATTTATAATTAACGTAATTATGTTGCTTATATTGAATTACTGTAGATACAACAATATATTTACTATTTTTTTTATATGCTTTATTGCTAATTTTTAGGTTCTCCACCAAAATCAACTCGTATGACAGTGTATGTAATTGTAGCTGACGTTACGAAGACAGATAGTGGACCAAGAATTCGTTCGATTCCTGCAATAACACTGTCGGAACGGAGCGGTCCAGGGTTTCTTGTTACATCATTGCCTGCCGCTTCCGCAAGGGTGGGGGGATTGGTATTTTACTTTTTTACTTTTTTCATTTGTTTTTTTCCAACATATGGTGGATTCAAATAGAATATGAATATAAAAAACATTTTTGAACTAATTCAATGAAATATCGAAATTTTTAGTGATGCTTGTATATGGCTTTGTTCAAAGAGAAACGGAGCAAATAAGCGCGAAGCGAATAAATGATAAGAAATAGCGAGTGATTTACGTGTGATAAAATATTGCTCCGGTCGCTACAAATGTGTTTCAACGACGAAAACCTGCCCAATTAGGTCTTATAACTGCTAAATATGATTCGATTATTGAAAAATCCATTTTAGCTTATTGTTTTTATTCAAGTGTCCTTGAATATAACGATATTGAGTACAATATCCACCAACTTTATAATCCAGAAGATTATAGTTTGTAATTGAAAAGTCCTGCTACACACTGACACAAATGTATTTCATTGACTTTTCGTCTAATTAATGTCTGACTTTTTCAGACCAGCAGTTTACAACATGTAAGAGTCCCAGACATCCCAAATTTAAAGTTATATTCTAATTTGATTTGGAATTTAAGGTGTTCCGAAGTTTTAGAGATCTGAAATAACGTATAAAAATGATATATTTTATTTCAGTTTTCATATTTTCAGACTTCGATGACCCGATATTACCTTACAAAGTCCTCAAGATCCGATGCCAAAGAAGATAACGAGATGTTCGCAGTTAATCGGATCACAGGAGATGTCACACATGCACATGATTTAAAAGGAAAAGGAGGATTGAGTTACACATTAGAAGTCATGGCTGTGGATGAAGAATCAACAAGACAATACCCCAAAATTTCACGATCTACGGTTAGTGCAGTTTATCTTTTGTAGAAAAAATATCAAACGTTAAGAAGATAACATGTGAATGTGATTTGTGTAATTCTTTACTGCTGTATTGCTTGTAGCGTGGCGCATAAAATAACTGATGGGACACGGTAAAAGTAAAACTAGGTATTTTTTATGAAAGAGTAGAGGGCCTCATGCGCTGAGAGTCTTTAGAAATGGCCACGGACTATAAAAGTTTGAGAACCACTGTACTGAATTTTAAAAGTAAACTTGAATAATCATTTTAAATTAGTAGTTGTCATTAATTTCAATCGTTCTAAATTTCAGTATTGCCTATCTAGTGGTAGTATACATATAAAGTGTAGAATGATCGCAGTTGTCAAAGATGCCATTTTTATTTCCATTACGTCATCGAACTCAACATGGGATTGATGAAAACGCCAATTCATATGAAACTAATTACAATATTTCGGGTCGATTTTTTATATCATGAAACATCGAATTGTTTTTCTCGCTTACTATCAATTACTTATCTTCACAAATCGAAATTGATTGTGTCGTAATACGTAATAGTAAATTCGACATTCAGTGAATAACTTATTCCATTCATACACACAAACAACACAATTGTAATTAATATGACCGTACGATGTTTCCTTGGCTATATCGGATTTCCTTTTTGTGTCGTTGGTACACAATAGTTTGTATCCAACAGACACTCAATGAAAGTAAGAGTAAGAAATGAGAAATGAATATTTATATTATTTACCAAACTGCGCAAAGTACGCCGATTGAAACATTGAAAAAAGTACGATTTATACATGTGTTGTGGTGCTTGTGCACTCAAATGCTTATATGTTCAAAACTGTTATATTAAATACGAATGGGTTTAGGACAGGCCATTGATGTATTTCCTATATATATGAATAAAAATGATGATAGTTAGAGCAATGTTGTCGGTCGCTGCTTCAAGAATTGAATATACAACGTTATAAACATTTGTTGTGCACTGAAATATCTGAAATATGGCAGGACAATGCGATATTTGTTAAATAAAAATGAACGTTTTATATTTTCATTTATTGCATAAAATCAACGTTTTTTATTCTCAAAAAGTTAAGCACTTGTTTTGTTTGGTTTTTATTTTCAATATTGTTTAGTAGGATAACGAAACAATAGGTGTCAGATGCCACACGGAAGTAATGTCATCCTACATTCCGTGATTATTTTGTAAATCACACTTGGCCAAATATTATCCACAAATAAATTATTCTCTCAGCTGATTCTAAGGTAACATCCATGACTGGTCGAGCATACCTAAAATAAGTCAACTCTACTTTCGAAAAGACGTTTTGCCTTTCATAACCTATCGCCCGAAAAGACATAATCACCGTCCCACGTTAATCTCGCGCTCTATTAACAATAGGGCGTCATATGTGATTACAAGAGGCCCCATATTAACGCCGCCATCTTTTTATGAAGCAACCGACCGTGTCAGTGTGGGTTTTATTGTTAAGACCTAAAACGTGCAATTTGTTTTGATATTTTGCTTTATGTCACGATAAAATCGACCTCAGATTTTTTATATCCATTTTTTTCTTGTTAAATTCTGTAAAATTTTTGACTCTCAAGTATTGACGATGAAGCTTTTAAATGTCATTGATGTTTTTTAGAAAATATTTTTTCAAGTTTATTTTTTTGCAAGTAATAAAATTCTCTTTCCTGGTTCATCCGTTTGATATTTCACTTCTGAGATGTATTTATCAATGTTTTCGCATTTGAACTCACTGGTGTTATTTAAATTCAATCATTTACAGTTACCAGTGCATGGCAACCTCGTGATAAAATCGACTTTGTGTACATAATCTATGTAAATTTAATCACTATACTATGAAGTATATTTTTATTAATGTTGTACACCTTGACTTCAAACAAAGCTTAATTATTACAGCAGCCATTTATGGCCTAACAAACGTCGATTATGAATAGCGAATGACTTTAAACGTACATGTTTCTGACGAACATGGTTGGGTTCATAATAATGAATGAATAGCATATCATAGTATAATAAGAGAATGATGATGATGATAAAATATTTGGGTACTCCAGAAGCATGTACACCAAGATGGCGGACACAGGAATGTATTTGTACCTGAAATTATGGCCCAATCCTAACCTAGTTCACGTACTACGTTCTGGTGTCCGCCATCTTGATGCACATACTTCTGTGCCGCCAATATTCGGACACGAAAGTCTGATACCGATAAAACCGTAGCAGAGCTGACTTCTTCCATCTTAAAAACTGAAAATTTAAAATTGATGGTTTGGCGTATGTGCCTCTACAAAACACAAAACGAGACGGGATTTAAATTTAGAGAATTATGTAATTTTTCGATGAAACTTTTTTCCCGTAAAAGATTTTATCTGTGTGATGTGATTGTTTTAATATTTATTATTACAAGAAATTGCTGTCGAAATTCATTATATTATTTTCAAACATGGGGAATTGGTATAACCTATGAGCATCTTTGGTTCACGCTTACAAATGTTTAAATAAAGTCTAAATTGCATTTTCCATCATGTATTTTGTTCAACTGACTGATTATTTTTTCAATAACGATATGTACGATATGGCGTTTATCTATCGAATAGTCATCGCGTTATTTAGAGATAAACACAAAGTGCTTTTTCGTTTCCGCTTGTATAACGTACAATGGGGCTCCAGAAGTATGCGCACCAAGATGTCGCACAGCCTGAATCCTAACCGGTACACACATACTATGTTCAGGTTGCGCGCCATCTTGGTGCGCATACTTCTGGAGGTCCCGTACAATTTATGGTACTCCCGCAGTGTGTGTACCAGGTTAGGGTTAGGCCATAATTTTTATTCCTATTTTTCTTATTTTAGTTCTATACCGAGTTTTGGGACTGTCTGTGTTAGCCAAGTGAATATACCCCCTGCCCATAGTAATCAGTCCCTTTACTCAACTTGATGTGAAGTAGGCGAACAAAATTAGGGACCTCCATATTGATACACGCACTTCTGGAGCGCCCAAATTTGTATTAGACATTAAAAAATAAGTCAAAACATTATTATGGTCAAAATTTAAGTCATGATACAAAAAATGACAATAGTTAATTAGTTTATGTTACACAAGGGGCTATAGAGACATCGAGTAGATCTCAGGAAATAGTCGAGCAACTTTCAAACTAAGATTACATTCTAAACGTATATAGGATTTGGGTTTATGTGGCAAATGCTAACCAATATAAGCTAAAAAGCTCCATTAGTTACTGGCGGGCAAAAGTTCAAACGGAAAAATACAAATGTTCTTACATAAACAATGGTCAGATTCATGGGTAAATTAGTTATTACTGTCAATATCACGTATTTAAACTTAACCGTCATTAGAATCACTTTCTCCTGTTCAAATTTAGGTAGATAATTTTTACTCAAAAATGGGCGATTGATTAATTCAGGTTTGACCGAGACAAGTTATCAAGGTTTTATACTTGATCACAGCTGGACTTCCAGTTTTGTACGATTCGCTGACTAGGAAAAAAATAGCATAATATGAAAACCAGACAAAGTTGTACAAAATCCGATAAACGTGCGGTTTTTACCGAGTCCTATTTTTTATGATTATGGAAAAATAAATAAAAATAAATAAATTTCGTTTGACTGTAAATATCTGATTTTTATTGTTATGTTATGTTGTTCAAACGAAATCCGATAATTTAACTATAGATTTAAAGAAGTTTCATAAAATGCACCGGCAGCAGAATTGAAGTTGATAAAAAAGTTTTAGCCAAATCCGAAGTCTCTAAATTTTCATATTTTCTCTTTTCTACGTTACTTCATCACTAACTGATAGTCTCATGAAATATTTTTCCTAACTATATCAATTATTTCTGCTTCTGACCTTTTAAAAATGATATTCGTGATTTCAAATGATAGTACTGCATTTCATTTCTAAGCTGATAAAAACTCAAACCTCATTATACTATATTTTAAGTCCAGCATGATCCATTAACTTCGCTGAAGCTTGCGTAAAACTGTACAGAATTTTACATGGTAACGTCAATAAAGTTGCAGTGACACGTAACGTGATGAGAATTATAGAAATTGGAAGTTCATCTCACTTTGGCTCTGTTTCTGAATTTCCACTTTTAGAATATTCTCCCTATTTTTTTTAGTGGAAAATGATCATTTTATGGTATTTTTTATCGCCCTGAACATAATTTGATTCATGGAGATATTGAAGTGCTGTTAGATTGGCCGAAAGTATTGTCTTATCCGCCGTTGCTTTTTCTGATCGCTTCTAAGAAAAATGGTTAATCGAGAATTCATTTACTTTAAATTTTAGTCAACTTTCTTTACTTGTACAAAAAAAAAAAAAAAAATATGATCCATTTTTTAAATTTTAATTCGTTGAAAAATTTCCGATATCGATGAGAATAGGTGATTTCTATCGCGTGACTAATTCTCAATTAATAACGAGAAAAAAAAGAATCGCGAAATTCCTATATTTAAAGAAAAACAAGTTAAGCGTTACAAAGTAAACGTTTTTCCTCTTCCTGTACTTATTATGTACTGCCAAGTAAGGCTCATAGTTGATAAATACGATTTATATGAGGACCTAACACACTGTGTGTTTTTAATTCTAACATAAATATTTACAGCATATGGTGCCTTTACAAGAGTGAAAGACATGCTATTTCATTTCTGTAAATTTTGAATTTAGATAATTATCGTAAAGTCTATTAAAATAAAATTCGAATGGCTTATTCAGAAAGTATTTTAATTTACTATTTAATAGTCGAATTGAATAGTAATAGGATGTTCATGAGCAACATTTCGATATATTTCCAAGTATGTCAAACGACGCGGCATCGTTCATTGTTGTAAGTTATGTAACATTTCAAATTCACGTATCTGCAAAGCAAAATTCGTAACTATTGGGTGAAAGTTTCAGCTCACAGTTTATGCACACTCAATTTCATTTTTATCGCTGAAAATAGCTTGTTTCATTTTCAATGAGTTATGAATTTTAAAGAAGTATTTGGGTGACATTGCTAGAGGTCGCGAAGTCGAGAGTCGTGTTACATAAGTAATAAATTTGTTTCAAGACGTGTGAAAATTAACAAAAGTATTCCGTTTTTTTTTTAGATCGAAGTTGAAAAACGTTTCAAACCTAACAATTTTGTTGGAAATTATAGATTTAACGACGTAATTAACTTGATAATGGACATTTAATTTGTTTAGTTGAAATGAACGTAATGTATCATTGTTTATATAAATATCGTCCGACATATGAAAAAGAGCTATTTGGAAAAAAAAATTATATGTGATGTTGGATTTATAGAACTTGTGTATCACTACCATAATTGAATTTTATTGGAGGCCCACTAGAAAATGCTCGAAGGCCCACAATTGGGCCGCTGCCCACAGTTTGCCGACCACTGACCAATATGTTTGAGTGCTATCTAATATTGTTCACGATTTCCTAGAAAAATTTATTTTTCAAAAAAGGCGGTTACATAAAGCGTTACAATGAAGGACTTTACATCACGCAAATCCGGGATTAATTCTTGCTACAAGTCGGTAAGAAATTTACATGGTAGCGACAAACCTGCTATGATATTAGATGTTGATAATCAAAACAATGTGGAAGCCTCAGGTGGATTGGACCGCAAACACAGGGTATATCAATCTATAGAAATTTAAGGCTAGAAATATCTGGAATTATGGGAAAGCATTGTTTTAGAACGTTTACATAAACTACTAAATTGCAAGCATTGTATTGACGACGAGTGACATCCTTCTACCATTTGCGCACGCGACATAGTAAAGGCTAAAAATATCTGAAATTATGGGAAAGTATTGTGGTCAAAAGCTTTTTATTTTTCATATTGACATGTAACAATTTCTAAATAGCCGCCCAGAATTGACGCAAGGTGGTGGGCTGGAAATCCAGTTCACAGCCAATGCGCACATTTACCCACGTTTACGTTTGTATTATGGCCGCCAAAAAAAAAAAAAATTTATTTTTAAATTGATTCAACAGCTATCTGCGGAACCATTAGAGAAAAAATATGAGCTACGACGTATGTTTGTGAGGGCGCGATGCTGTAGTATGGTCAAAAACGTGTTTTTCTACTTTTATATTGTGACGTCACGGACTCGGAGGATTCGATTCGAGTCCTGGACCTATTACTCGGAATCGTCGAATCTCTGTGGAGCTATGGACTATTTTACTACATAACGGCCAAATATTAGAACTAACGATTTCTGGCATACGATACCATGACTATACGGTCGTTAATTAATGTGCAATAGGGATTGGTGAGCTTTGTAAGAGAATCACTGAAATGTGAGATCGCTTGTAGATAAGCATTTCATAGCGATGCTTTACACGCACGTCTCCACTCCATACGTACAAGAAAGAACTTCGTATTTCTTCAAATTTATATCATATCTAGAAAAGTCTTGAATTTCTTTCAATATTGTTTCTTTATGAAAATGACAAAAGAGTTGGAACCCAATTTTAGGACAATTTTGGTTATTCGCTTCGCCAGCGGGAAAATCCGTCACCATTATTACTATTACGTCCCTCCGTGTCATCTTCTACCATTCGCCTTATCGCCCTAGACATCTTAATCGCCAGTATTAACGCCTGGCACATATTTCAGACATTCGGGATGTTGCCTTCCTGTTAGTTTTGGTCAAGCATTAGTTGGTGTTAGCCAAGGGCCACCGATGGGTCCATTTATCTTTTTGCTTTATTGTTTTGTTTACTGTTATAGATGTACGATGGCGACAAATCAAATTCTCCTAATATCATTTTTGTTGGTATGTTTTCATTTTTAAACCATGATCGCGAGATAACTTTTCAATATATGTTCTATGACACTCAGCTCATCTTCATGGTACTCACTATTTGTAATTATATTTACATTTTTACAAGACTTATTTTTTCGAGCCTAATTAAAAAGCAAGTCTTTCAATGGGTATTTTTGCTGCGACCCTTGAAAACGCCTTAAAGGCTCTACTAATCATATATAGAAGCTTAAAAAGCATCCTGCAACTAGCAGATCATCAATAAACCCAATATATATTCTATGATATTTTATATCATTATCATTTTTGATAACGAGACTGTATCAGTAATGTACGAACTGCAGTCAAAGCGATGTCCAAAACACACTTCAAATAAAATACATGACTAAAGACGCGCAAAATTTATGATGAATTGAAAAGGGTTGAGAACAGTGTTTTGCTATTTAATGATCATTAAGTGTGTTAAACTACTTGAGAAATCTGTTATCTGTTACGAAATGTTTCTAATCCACAACGTTCGTCGCCAATTCCTAATTAAAATTGGATTTTGCCCTCAACATCTATCGCACCGCGCACAAGTCTCGCGAAAAAAGTCTCATAGTGGAATTACTCAATCTTGTATTTATTACTTTTGGACCGAGCATAGATCAAACTGTTCAAACACAGTTTATAGTAGAATCAACATTATTCAAGCATTACACTGGCGAGAATTTCATTCGCAGTGACACCCTTGATAAAGCGTATTTGATTATTTACAATACCCGGTTGCTATTGTACGATGTAGCTTATCCTTGGTCACGACGATTCAGTATCGTGACTAGGATAGCCTTACGAGCCCATGGAAGTTTACAATAGGCGATTCCCAATCACCTGCTCGTTTGCAAATAGAAATCGACTCTACCGAGCGTTGTTACAAGTGCCATCAACCACTTCAAATCAGGCTTGCGTCTACTCCAACTACGCTTCTCGAATCAAAAATTTAGTTTTTCTTTGTTTTGGAGATTTTGAAGGCGAAAAGAATAACATTATTCTTTTTGGACCATTGTTTATATACGGAAAAGACTAGTGGGAAACTCGAACCTGGCGCTTCTGTAAATATTGCTAACCACCATTTATCATTTGTATGAAAAAGGCGGGGTTTTCGATTGAAACTGTCAATCAAAAACGTATACTTTCAATTGTAGAGCCACTGTCAATCATTATATTCAAATCGTGATTTTCTTATTGCTTATGACTATGGTATGATGAAATGTCCAATTTAGTTAGTAGAGACTATTTAATAACCTTGATATTGTTGAGGGGAAAAAACGGAAAATGCTCCATATTTATAAAAATTCCAACGATTTATTTAGAAAATTAAAGCAAATATTCAGAATTATCGTTTGTCTTAGTGTTAAGAAATCACGATTCTTTGTCATAGTTCAGAAATAAATGTTGCAAAAATATTTATGATTCAATGGATAAAAACAACCTAAATACGATATAAAATGTATCCTAATCATGCAAATAAAAAAAATGTAAAATTCCCTTCTGTATGATGGGTTTTTCATTAACCATTATCCAACCACACAATGGATGCCGCAAGCACCACAAGAACGCAGATAAACATCTATAAACAGATGTTAATTTATCACATTATGGTATAACTGCATGTTACATTTTTGTAAAATTTTGTCATCTTAACTTAAGGAAAGGTCACAAGTTCTTTCCTAGAAATGGATGTACTTATTTGCGTGCATTAAATTTGGAGCTAGAAAAAATGGAAACGATTGGAAATACGGAATACTTTCATAAATACACAGTTGAAATAGAAAGATTTAATACAATATTTTTAAGTGGAACTCGACATTTTTGATGCATTTTTTTTGTATCTAATTGCCTTTGTTGTAGCGTGGTAATGGAAACTGATTAATTACTATTATAATTCATATCTGTAACTTCTGAATTTACTGACAACCCGTCTTAATATAGAAGTGATTAAATCTCAACCATGTAATGTGATAAATTAGTAAAGCCCGGAAGTTGATACTTGGATCTGAGTTGTAAGACGGGTTAGGTTTGCAAGTCAGTAACAAAACACATCGCATATTTTGCATTTGATACTGAACGCTATTTCAATAGTTGACCCCATAATTGAGGATTTCAAATTTTACTACTTTAGGGCCGGGCATTTTCATTTTCGCCTTTTCGTTAAGTTCGGCCCTCATAAAGTAAGCCCGTTTTAACTCGGATATAATATTGTACAATATAATATTAAATTATACAAAAAACGTGCCTTTCGAATAAAAAAGTAAAAAACATTCCGCGAAACTTCCGAGTTGTAACAGTTTTATATAATACTCATTGGTTGAAAAAGATGGCCATATTTAAATATTCTATATGACTCCGTCATGTAATTAATTTTCTGTTCAAATTATCGAAAATTTATTTACTTTGCATAACATCGAGGTTTTCAAATCTGCGATAACGTGTAATATGCAGCTAGTCTGCACTGTCAGGTCTGTCACATATGCGGTTTATATTTAGACATTGCGTAAATAAAGCATAACGGCGAATCTTTCAAACAATAGACGAGATAAAAATCTGAGCTAACATCGCTGTTGTCTTGTTTATGCAAATGATTGATAGCATTTTTATAGAGCGTCTACTTGTTTTAATTGCAATTTAAATAAAAATAAAGCAGTTTTGCGCTAGCAGTTTTAGAGGAATTCAGAAAGAGTGACTTATTTGAGTGCCAAAGAACTCTCGCATATGCACTCATTCAAAAATGAATGGAAACTCATCTTGAAGAGAAGTTATGGGCAATCACTGGAATGCCAAGAACTACCGGGACAATAAAGAATTATACCCGGGAAAAACGCATTATTAAACTTGAAGCTGTTTCAGGTCAATTGGATTGAAAAAAAAAATGCATAATGTGACCAAAATAGCTTAACAATTTCAAAAAATATTTTTTTTTATCTTCGAAACATTAAAACAAATGTACAAAATACTTTCAGTACCATGTTTCTTATATTTATGTTTTCCAGATCACCATCAAAATTACAGATGAGAATGACCATGCGCCCATATTCGATAGCGCCACCCAGCGACTAGAGATTTTAGAATCGCTTGCACCAGGAACAGAAGTTACTAAAATAACTGCTACAGATGGTGACGTCAACAATGAAGTTATTTATTCTTTACAAACAAAATCTGACCAAACTGAAACAGATTTTGTGATCAATCCTAAAACGGCAGAGATTTCAGTTGGACCAAATGGATTAGACAAAGAAAGAGTTCCGTTGTATGAGTTACAAGGTGACTAATTGGAACTTTCTTCAATGACAATCGTGTGCGGACCGTCGACGCTCGGCTTATGATAATTTGACTTCCGCAATAAACAGTTTTTAAAATCGACCGTTAATGGCATTTCTTATTTGATGTGTTCTTTATTTAGTTGAGAATTCGACGCACGAAATTCATTGATTGAGCATTTATTCTATTGGTCCTGACTGTACCATTGTATCTATCATCTCTAGTTCAAGGTTATTTCACTCATAGGTGAAAATATCCCAGTCATTTCAGACAGGGTTGCTCATCACCAATACCAATATTTAACAAAAACTTTGATTTAAATAAGAATTCATTACTCATTATTTAATTAAATTCATATTACCTGAAATGAATAATTGGATGATAAAAAGATACTTTATCACGCCGATATCCAATATATATATAAACATTCCAATTTTCAACCAGCTTATACTGATATCAAAATCATAAAAATACAATACAAATTTAATTGAACAAAATTGAAGAAATCTTGTTTCTTGAGTATTGAAGAACAAACTCTATATTTTACCTAAAATATAATAATGAATTCTCATCTGAGGTTCAAGTTCCATGCCTCCATCTCACCCAGAGTGTAATAAATTGGGTGGGGAAATGCCAAACCGAAAAGATTCCGATCCTCCCAAAAATATTAGCTTCTAACCTATATGCCTATATATCGCTAGCTGCTTGAACACGGCCTTGTTCCGAGCGAAATGCGCGAAACAGCGTTGCATATAAAATAGAATAATAAAAAAATGACATTAATTTTCATAAACTTATAATACCTGTCTTTATTTTCTTACAGTGATCGCATCTGACGGCATTCATCGTTCATCAACGGAACTCATCATTGAGGTCGATGACGTCAGTGACAGTCCGCCAAAGTTCAACGAATCAACGGTTTGTTTCGATCTCGCTGAAAACAATCCTTCTGGTACTTACGTCGGCAGGGTGTCTGCTAAAGATGAAGATTTGACTTCACGAGTTACTTATTCCCTAATAAATGGTAAGCAATTTCATGATATTAGGTTTTAAAAATGCACCCAAATACATATTGTATATATCCGTGAAATAGATTCGACAAAAATAGGGTGTAAATCTTCATGGCATGGCATTATTCAAAATATTAGCCGCAGATTTCATAAGTGATAAAAGCTCGGATCTGTTTTTTTTTCCAGCTATTGAATTGAAATATTAAAACTTAATATTAACTTCCTGCGTCTTGTTCAACCCATTCATAAAGCCATTGGATAATATAGTATACATTTAGCATCAATATAAATATTGATTTTCCTTATATTTTATTTAAAAAGAATGTGATAAAGGGTTCAAAAAATAAAAATAACTTCACTAAAGTAAAGTGATTATAATATTCAAACATACACAAATCATTTTTCTTTGAATACATTTGCCTAATGAGCGTTTATGTTTTTTAGATTCATATTCTGGCATGTTCCGAGTACAACAATTATATGGAATAATCACGTTTGAAGGAAATCCAGAAATATTGAACAGAGAATACGAAGATTTTTATATCTTACATATCAGAGCTATTGATGAAACCGGTGAAATAAAAATGTTACTATATCGAATTTCAAAGTTTGTTCAGAAACGGTTCTTGTTTATATTTCCACTTTTAATAACTGACAATCGATATATATTAATTATCTCAAAAGTGACGTGGCCACAAATTTTTTTCACTTGTCTCAATTATATAAATATCACTTCATATGTATACCCTGAACTCCAGCAGTCAAAATATTGTATCTATTTTAACCCAGAGCACATCGTGAATGACGACACATAATATGTATTCTCCAGCTTTCTACCGGTATTATACCTGTTCTTATCCAGAATATAGCATTCCACTTCATATGAATACTCTGAAATTCTACCAAAGTGTTATTTATCCCAACCCAAAAGATAGCATGGATTGCATCTTATATGATTATTCCAAGCATTTGCCCATAATATAATATCTATCCCAACTAAGATCAGTTGGACAAATGTGCGAAAAGCGATACAAACGTGCTAAAAATGGGGCAAGTGTGGGAAAAAAATTGCACACACACTAAAATATCAAATTGGATACATTGTATACACTGCCAGCTATGACTATAATTACCTTTTTATGTTTTAGGTTTGTTCTCAGACATCAGAGTTTTTATATTTGTGAGTGACGTCAACGACAATCCACCCATATTTGATTCATCTGATACAAACGAAATTGTTAGTTTATCAGAAATTGCAAATGTTGGATCTTACGTTACCACAGTGAAAGCAACAGATAATGACATCGGTGAGAATATTATTCAAGAATGACTAAAATATTCATAGGGGAGAAAATTGTCAAGTTATGGAATAACTTACCAAATGAACAATAATGTCTTGGGCGGGATTAAAGGATGCTAAATCTCACTAACACATACATAAATTCTACTAAAGCCTACCAAAATAGATCAAAAACGCAGGAAAACTCACTAAAACGCACTGCGCAACCTCCTTCTACACTCTGAACGAGGTCTACAAAACTGAACGAAGTCTCGCCTACTGATCTAAGGCTTTTCTTGTTCGACCAGAACCCTACACGACCGACTTACAGCTCTCCAATAGTAACGTTTGTCAAATAAATTAAATATACATTTTGTATATAAAAAAATGAATTTTGTATATATTTAGAGAAATTTTCTTAACTTTTTCCAAGAGCATGAGGCCCACATTGCCCATCCCCTTTTGCTATCGTATTTCTCTTTTTTTACAATTCATGCCCAATCCATGTTAAGTTTAAATAAATATATTACAATGTTTGCAACATGAACTAAGCGAAGTTGGGAATTTTTTCTAACGATTTTGAGTAATCAATTGCTCCGATCTTTATTTAGGATTGAATGCAGAAATTTACTACAGCATTATCAGTGGGGATCCTAATCACAAATTCAGAATAGATAGTGATACTGGAAAATTACGAACTATTTCTGCTCTTGACCGCGAAGAACAAGAATCCTATACTTTAAAAATCATAGCATGGAACAAGTACGCAGAAGGAGCCGAGCAACAATTCTCTTTCAAAACTGTTGTTGTGAATGTATACGATGAAAATGATAATCCACCTATGTTAATGCTACCAAAAGAAATGTGAGTCTGAAATTCCATGATTATTTACATTTTTACGTTGTTGCTCCGAAAAAGTATCCGGAAACATTTAGAATCGGCGGTATTCTTACCGTTCAACATAGTCCGCACAAATTATTGATTCATTTTGAGTTTGGTCGAAACTTGAGAATTCCTCAAATTTGAGAATTTACCCAAGCAACCAATAACCCCAGCCATGCTGGAATTAAAAACGGCTTTAGTGTAGTCGCATCCAAAACATCTGACTCAATTTTAATTAGAGTCGTATCAACTTCATATTGCGTTCAATATTTTCAGTTCATTGAAAGAAAATGCTGAAAACGGAAACATAGTTTTAAAAGTTGACATCATTGATTTGGACACGGGAATTATTAATAAAAATAAAATTGCTTTGGTACAAACAACTCCGGATGACGGAATATTTGAAATTGATTCGAGATCTCAGAATATCATCGTGAAAGATGTATCAAAATTAGATTTTGAAACAACAACTCGATACAATCTTACACTTGCTGCATATGATGAAGGTAAATAGCTCTACTCTCCAGTCTTGGTCTCGCATGCTATTTCTATGATTTCCAAATTTGAGCAAAATAAATATTACTTTCTAAAATCCGAAATATTTCTGCTTCAATTTCACATGTTTTTTGAATAATTCATATTACCTTTTCAAACACAGCTTCAGATTATTAGCTATTTCAGACAAGCTAGAACTCAGATTAACATAAGGTTCTAAATTAGCAGTTTATCTTTTAATACTTGATCCATATTAAACGCTGTTGTGATTTATGGTGTAATAATCCCCATATGTAATACAGTAATGTATAATACACTGATTGTGTCATTTCGTGTATTTTGCATTGAAGCAATGTTCCCCAACCTATGGGTCGCGACTCCAAACATGATCCTGAAAATACTCTTGGGCCGCTTGTTGTTTTTTCAACATAATCTTGAAAGTTTCTAATTTTTTTTTTCGCAAATTTTCATCGCTTATTTTATATTTAGTATTAAGGTACTGCTCAATAGTAATTGTATAGGGTAAAAACTCGGCAGAATCTAATTTGCTCAAGTAAAGCTACGTCACAGCTATCTCACTTTGAAGTGATTTCTGGAAAAATAAATGTTATGTGACAATTGTTTTATATTAGTGATTGATTTTGCGACCATAAAAGAACTACATGTCGTTTAGTATTTGAGCATATCCTAGCGTCGCAAGATCTTGCAAATTTTTTTTCTTTAAATTTGGGTTGTTTTAAACTTAGTGTATAAAATAGGAAAAAATAACACGTTTTCGAACACGAAGTGGAAACAAATGGAAGCGTTCTCATTTTACACTGATCATCCGACCATCTCCGTATTGCTTGTCCGCCGATGTTTTCAGCACTACCGTACCGGCACCAACCATTGTGTCCATTGCTTTTTTTTGCTAGAATATATAATCATAAAAAACTTTGTATTTTAGGTGATCCTGACCTGTCATCTGTTACAAATGTTATGATTCGAATTATGAATATAAACGAACATAGTCCGAAATTTGTCAAAACTACATATTCAAGAAGTTTGTCCGAAAATTCTCCGTTGGGATCTTTCATAACAAACGTCCATGCTGATGATTTGGACGCAGGTTTTGAAGGAGAAGTTCAATACAATATTGTGCCATCGACCAATTCAAAGTACTTTTACATCGATAGATTTACAGGTGATAGAATGTTATGAAATTTAAAAGTTGATTCTAAACTAAAATAAATAATTCAATTAGTCAAATTAATTAGCTTTAGTTGACTTTACTTGATTTTTCTTCGCGTTTTATATTTGTTGTGATTTCCCATATTTAGATAAATTATGAGTGAAATAACAAAAATTAGCTAACAATTTTACACGAAAAACAGTATTTCTAATGCATTTATTTTTAAAATAGATATAATTTACCATACTTATTTCTATGCAACGTCTCAGTTAGGGACATAATCAGCCGCAAAAGTTATTTATGTGTTTGCTCTATATTAATATAGAAGGTAGCGAACTCATCGAACGCTCTATGGATTGAGTATGATTCGTTGCTATTGATTACAATTTAAACCTAATTTCGTTTAATATTTAATCGTTAATAATATATATTGCAAAATATGGCATGTTTTCTTAAAAATGGACACCGTAGTATTAGCTGAATACTGTAAGACTGCAGTATTGGCTGAATACGACTAAATTGTCTTTTAATAGCAGAGAATAAAGGTGCGAACGAATAAAATACATCATGGAATGTTTAATCCAATCTACTCCATTTCAGGAAATATTTTTCTTGCCAATTTCTTGGATTACGAAAAACAGGATAAAATTTCAATCGAAATCGAAGCAGTCGACGGCGGAGCGAACTCACTTGTTAGCACGGTTCCTGTTTTCATCAATGTCCTGGACGAAAATGACTGTGGACCCGTGGTTACACCCGCGTATTCTGTTGTGCACGTCAGGGAAAATACTAATAATGGTGCCGTCCTGTTAAAGGTATTTAACTATTTACTGAAAAATAAAATTATATTTACCTTCAATTGGGCTTATGCGAGACTAACTACCTATCTTTCCTCAATGCTTTCGCACTGGCGCATCTGTATCTATGTATATATATAACGCAAGGATGCTGTAGCAAGGATAAAGATGACTATTCTATGGGATCTAAGATTATTGCTCAACACTAACACAAACGTATTCCTTTAACATTTCATCTGATCAGACGAGGAATAGTGTTCATGCATAGCAAGACTCTCGAAACAAACAAAATTCATGAAAACAACTTCATTTATTTACTGTCTATTTTTAATACCCGCGTATCCCTTTTGACTTTTATATACGTCGTACTTTTACGCCTTTTGCTACGAAGAAGATTCCGCACAAGCAGCATCTGCTAGATAAGGAGATACTATAGTTTAGATTCGGAATCTTTCCGATTCGGCATTGTAGATCCAATTTATTACACCCTGAGATGGTGGTGAGCCTGAGATTAACCTGCGATGAAATTATAGTTAACTATATCACTTTATTCATTTGACTTCCGTGCGCTCGTATCTTTTTTAACCGTAAATAGTATTCAATAATAGCAAATCACACAACACCTTATCATTTTCATTGTGACACAGCTCTCAGCAATTGATCAAGACGCTGGAAATAACGGGATGGTTCGTTTTCAAAACAATGTAATGACAGTTCCTGATACCGATGCTTTTATTTTATCTCATAATTCTGATGGTACTACAAATTTGATTCTGAGAGAAGCTATTGATCGGGAATTGTACTCTCAAATTGAAGTAACTGTAACTTCTGTAGACAGTGGTAAGTGAATTTAATAACTTTTTGCAAATGAGAGTAGGAGGAAAGGGGTGAACATTGGTTGGCGCTTGATTTGCTAACGAACAGCTAGTTGAAAGTTAATTTTACCAGGTAACGAATTTATTTGCAGCTTAAAATTGTTGCGGGCTGAAATTAAACTCTCAAAGGCAAAATATTACATACTATAAATTACTAGGTGATATTACCATATGTCATTTCAACAGGATCTCCGCCAATTAAAGGCAGCGCTACAATTTTAATTATTGTTGATGATGAGAATGATAATGTACCAGAATTTGAACAAAAACAATATTACGTTGCTGTACCAGAAGACGTCCTACCAGGAAGCAAAATTCATTCTGTGAAAGCTCGAGATGACGACGCCTCTGCTATTATGTATGTATAATGTTAATAGCAACGAAGTGGAGATATTTGCTGAATTGTTGTTAAGTTTATGCCCAATGTTCTTTCCGAAAATTTATGCGAGATTATCTACTTTATAGCTGTCTTCCTGATTCATGAGATGTTTTAAGTCCCGCGTCAATCGGTATACATTTCTCCTACTTTACCTTTTCTGTAAACTGGAATGCTTCTCTAATCCCTAATACTTATTTTATTACACATTCCAACAAAATTGCCTCCGCTAGGATTTTTTTCGATAATTTCTGTGTTATTCTCAATATATGTTTACCGTGACGACTTTTGCCCAGTCAATAGTTGTAACTAGCATAATATGTAGTTACTTTTACATTAAACCTTTAACGGCGTTACTGATGTCGCTGTTTGAAGACCCCACGAGATACGTCGCGACTCCTGCCATACAAATAACGATACTTAGATATTTATTTTCTGCATTATTTCTGTGCACTTGTTTTTTGTGATGACAATAAACGATTGACTGACTTACTACTAATGCACAATTCCATAATCAGTCATAGTCTCCGTAGCCCTTAGTGGTTACCCGTTACATCACTCAGTGATCTCTTCGATTTCTGAGTGAGTGCCGTGACATGGCTTCCAGCAAATGTCTCCCCGAGAAAAAAAAATCACTTGTCATTTCAAATTTCTAATTTGCAGTGGTTAAAATTGAAGGGTCTTCCAAAACCTATTTTTCAAGTTTTCTCCAATTTTGATTATATCGTTAAATTGCGCCACAATTTCACCATCGTGCCCATATTTTTGAGCATTACTTGCGTGGTAAGAGCCTTTCTACATATCGCCAAAAGTAGTGTCATACATTGATTGATTACGATCTATGGAATACAATTTTCCACATGTATTGCTTAATACTCGATTTACAATAAATTCATATCCAATCCCCGACGCGAAATGACCATACCGACATACACTTCGGTAATTTTTTTCATAAACGTTCTCATTTTCAACTTTTGCTTTGAACATGGCCGTGTACAAATAGCCGCCGATATCTAACAACATGTTAGGAGATATTATTTTATTTTCACTTATTTCTCATCTTAATATATATATACCGGTATACTGTACTACATTGTCTATCAAATAACACAACTCATCTTCAGTAAATCCTTAAAAAAATGCTGCATATAAAATATCATAATGAACCTACAATTTTATGATTTCATTTAGGTATAAACTGGATGGAGATAGTGAAGTTTATCCATTTTATATTGATCCAGCCACAGGAGAAATATTTACACGAGATACTCTTGACAGAGAGACTATGAATTCGTATAATATTACGATACTGGCAATCGATGGCAGAGGTAAAATTTGGAGTTTACGTGTAGAAATTTTATCGAAACTATTTTGGAATCAAAACAATACGAATTCGAATAATAATCGATATTTTGTTTTTTTGCTTATTTATTGCGACAATATTTTACGAAATATTACCCACGTTAGACATATAATTAAAATTTATTTTAAAAATTTTATTGTTCTTGGCTCGCAATATGTGATATGATCCACATACATTCAGATTTTTAATTTTAAAATTCTAACGTGTTGTAAACCAGGAACGTTAATACTAAAATATTTCCACAAATATCAAGTACTCGTATTTCATATTCATTTTGTATAATGATTAAAATATTATATTTCAGATTTTGCTGGAACCCAACACTCAGTATCAGTGAATTTGTTGATCGAGTTATCTGATATAAATGATAATTCACCTTCGTTTACAAATCAACAGAAGAACGTCTACGTCAATCAAAAGAATTCAAGTATGCTATAGCGTTAGAAATGAAAATAATGATAAATGAAATTAATATATTACTGAATGCTGTAGCAAGAATAAAGACGACTATTCTTTGTGATTCAAAATTCTTGCTGAACACTAACACAAATGTATTTCTGTAACGTTTCATCTGATCAGACGAATTGTGTTCATGTGCAGCGATACTCATAAAATTGATTTCAGTTCACCAATTCCTACACACTTTTCTTGTAAGTATTTCGCAAATTTTTCTGTTTTTCCCCGTCAATTACGTTTATTTTAGCGACAGAATGTTGAGTAAAATTTATGAAATTATTTTTGTTTTAGTTGGAACTATTTTTGTTGCTGAAGCATTTGACCCAGACAGTGGTGAAAATGGAAGAATACGGTACAGCATGGATGGGAATTCATTCTTTAGAATTGATCAGAATACTGGACAAATTGAAGCGACAAATTCATTAACGTCCTCTCACACACTAAAGGTAAAAAATACATCGTCTATCGACCACGCGAACAATACAAAGATGCCAGGACGCAAAAGTGACGCTAAGGACTTCCCTTCATAATTTTTTTAGCAACTTTTAATAACAATATGAAGGCAAAATATATAAATAAAACTTGTTTTACTGTATTGTTGACTATCAAGCAGCAGAAAGTTCAAGTTGATATAATCATTATCTAAAACATACGTGCTCTCGTGCGTTTACACCCAATTTGTCTTCCGTCAGAGAAGTTGTTACGTTAAACATTTTTCTGATAATGCATATTCATTTATCCCCTTTTTTGTCTTGTTCCCTGATCTTCGTTGTTGACGTTGTTCTTGCTGACTTCTGTAATACGTGTACAGACGTACAAATGGTGTCTAAAAAATGTCATATGCCACTTGCCCCACTTTTGTCCCATAAATGTCCTTTTTAGCACATTTATCCCATTTTCTATACCTATTTCACTTAAATCACACTTGTCCCACATGTCACACACACACGCGAATCTGTTTTGAGTAAACGTAGTTATTTATATTGTGGGGCAATGGGCTGAAGTAAGCATATGAAACGGAATTCATGCTATGTTCTGGGTTAGGTAGCAGGTTAGAATTAGAGTATCCATATTGAGAGGAGATTCATACAATTCGGACAAGTGGGACGCGGAATCATACAAGCTTTTATCAAACGTTACCTCAATCGACCATTTGTATTTTGTTACCTACTTTTCTCTAACTGTACAATATATTTCACAGATATATGCCTTCGATCATGGATCGCCATCAAAATCTACCACCATGGACGTCTTAGTTTATCTTACGAATAAGAGTCCACCAACAATAACTCACGACGTTAACAATCCAGTAAGATTATTTGAAACGACGCCTCCAAATAGATTTATCAAAAACTTTGACGCATCGTCAACACGAAGCGATGCAGGAAATCTGAAATTCTATTTGAGAGGTAATAAATACAGAGATACGCAACGTTATGCCATATGACACTGATGTGAAGTTATTCTATCTCCGTTATTATATCGTTTTGCTAGAGAGTTTTAGTTGTGATTTTTTATACGAATTGAATATTTACCTTTCGCTAGGAACAAGGCTCTGTACGGAAATAGCTAATTGAGTTTATATTCGAAAGGGATTCCGCATTGCTTGTACTATTCGTTAGACCTTGGTGGGCATATGATTTGAGACCGTGCTTTCACAATATTCAGATTTCGTTTTTAATTTGTCAACTATTCCGAGCTTCATTTGTTCTTCAACGTTTGCTTCTTAACCAGTTTTGCATTACCATGAATATGCCTGGCGACAGGTACTCGCTATTCCTAGCTTTTTTCAATGAAGTTAATCCAAAAACGTTCATTTTTGATCTAGTTAAAAGTAAAGAAATACATTTATTTTTGTATGTTGCAGGAGACAGATTTGATTGGTTTTCCATTGATCAAACGACGGGAAATCTAAAAACAATCGGTCAAATTGATCATGAAATCTCATCAACTTTGACAATGTGGATTGAAGTAAAAGATTCTGGTTCGCCACAGCTGTCAAGCTATGTAAAAATAATCATTGAGGTAAGGTTGGTCTAGAAAAATATTTTACTAACATGTTTATCATTATTAAACATTGATTACATTCAACGCGATGGCTTTAATCAAAAATTGGTTTAAAGTGGAAAATAATGTTCTGGTAAAATGGGGAAAACGTTAATTTCGAATGTTAAAATTTTGCAACTTTTTAATTTGATAATTATTGCTTCAATTTAATATTGGATACCACAAATGCATTATTTTTGCAGATATTGAGAAATCATAAGAAGAATCAAAATTATTTTAAATATTAAAAATTTATTAAATATTTTGAATTCTAATATTTGCCCTTTAACATTACCATGGCTTTATTTATTGAACTTTATGAACACACTGTATATTTTAAACTAGATTGAGGATGTGAATGACAATCCGCCAACCTTCGATCAAGATTCTTACATAGGTCATGTTAGAGAAGACCAGACACGGAAAATATTATCTTTATCTGCCACTGATCCTGATAACGGTTTGATATTTATATTTCATTTTTAATTTTTCGGATTCACTGGGATTCGAACCCAAAATTTTTGAAAACTTATTTTTATGTTCAGGTGAGAATGGCAAGGTTTCATATTCAATAGTGAACGACCAAAGCGAAAGTCCAGAAAAATTTAAAGTTGCGTTCTCTAGTGGTGTTTTGAGAAATAAAGTCAAGTTGGACCGGGAAATAAAATCGAGGTATTGTGCTTCTAGTTATAAAAGTAATATCCATGTAGATTGCTCAAAGCAAGATCATAAGCATTTTACAATAGTTGAAAACTATAAGTACTGTATGGAAAGCAAAAATTCAAAATGTTTAAAAATGCAGTTGCACATACAGATCTTCTTTGACTAGCGCATAAGATAAGCGCAGTAAAATGATTTTTTAAATGCAAATTTGATCTTACTATATTTTTATTCTTATTGCGCACTCAAGGTGATAACAATTTGATTCGATTTTTTTTTTAAATTTTAATATTTGGAGATAATTGCTATTTTAATAAATCATATCATTGATGTTATTCTATTTTATAATTATTTAAATTTATTCAGCTATAAATTGGTTATTCGAGCAACTGACGGGGGTTCCATACCTTTACATCGTGATATCGTTGTGTATATTATCGTCGATGATGTGAATGATAATCCACCAAAGTTCACAAGATTGTTCAGCGCTTCTATACTGGAGGATGCAAAAATTGGAGATTATGTGTTACAGGTTAGCTTTAAAACAATATAAATGTGCAGTAGGCGGAAATGTAAATATGTACCGATATCATCCTTCGGAAAGTCGACGTGAACTCCGAGTTGCAAATTATTGGATGCGACTCCAGACTCCGGATAGAAAAAATATAGACTCCTACTTCCACTCCAGCTCCGGAATGCGAGAAAATCAAATTTTGATTATAAAAACTTTGTCGTAAGCCTTTGTCCGGAAAAATTGAAAATACGACTCCGGTTACTAATTAAGTGAAAACGTGTCAAACTCCGACTCCACTTTCCTTGTTGCCAACAGTTGATATTTGCAATTTTCATTGATTTCTCCAAGATCTTTCAATTCAGTTCTGGAATGAATGACTCGTGAGGCGATTTTCATTTTATATTTCATGTTTGGTAAATTTATACAATATAAACCAGGGGAATCCCACGGGCCACAACCGCGCCCGTTAAGTTATTTAGTGTGGCCCTTGTTAACACGAAAATTCTCCACCCCGAGCATAAAATCCGAATCCGACAGTTTATGTATAAAAAGCCACTCACGTAGGTAAAAATACATAATACTCTTTGCTCTTGTCGCTGTGTTGAATGTTTCGTCGTTTTGTCCGATGTCTTTATTACTGCGAGGCTAAGCAATAGCCGCATTCTCTTCTCTCGCCTTCCCCATATGGGTAAACTAAATATTTTGTGTGTCCCGGCTAGATGTCGGAAGTTGGTTATATGGCCCACAAACAAAAAGTGTTGCACACCTCTGATCTAAACTATCGATCCCCCAACCTTGCTGATCTGATACCGATAAGCGCCTGCGATATACGGTTATATCTTATATTTATAGACCAACACGGTAGATAGTTTATCATAGGTTCCATTACTATATATAAACAAATATTTTTCCCATATCCTAATAGGTTACTTCGACGGATGCCGACTTTATTTCCAATCATACGTACAGTCTTGTTGATAATTCTGATGGATACTTCAATATCGATAAAAACGGAATTGTGACTTTAGCAAAGAGACTCGACAGAGAAAATGCCGAAACGTGAGTTATCAGTAAATGCCATGTTTCATCATATTTCCAACGAATATGTCAATTTTACGAAATACTTGATAGAACAGTCACAGATGGAGGTTTTCGTTGTTTTCTAGGCACACACTGGAAGTAGAATCTACAGATGACATGTGGACAACACATACTACTGTCACTGTGAGAGTGGAAGACGTAAATGACAATCCACCGATGTAAGTTTCTCCATTAAATTAAAAGAAATAACGAAAAAATAAACACAGTCGATTAACTTTGTATCTTTAGAGCATCTTTGCTCGCGGCCCTCAGAGCTACGTGCTCGAATTTACATCTTATTAATGTAATATTAGAAACGTTAGTGTCGCTGCTTGATAACCAACTTGGATTCTTTGCGGCTTTCCTTCGCCAGTGTACTCGTGTATTCACGTAATTTTGTATGCGATAGTTTTTACTAGCTTTAAAAACTATTGATTATTTTCGCCTGAATTACCTTTACACAGTTTGTCTGCATTATGCTCACTAGATTTTTTACTTGGCATTTCTTGCTGATTTTAGAACTACTGCTTGCTACACCTATTAATTATATTATCCTGCAGAATAGACAATTTTAAAATAATATAATGAACAACAAATAGCGGCGCGGTCTCTAGCGCGTTTTAACACTAAGTTAATAAATGTGACACTATTTGTGATTAATATATACCTATGATAAGGATAATTATTCAACTCCTATTATGGCAATTTTTTAGGTTTCATTCTTCAAAGTATTCCGCATCGGTTGCTGTGAACACTAATATTGGAGCAATGGTGTTGAAAATAAATTCAAGCGATCCCGACGAAGGCAGAAACGGAAAGGTAAAAAAGTTGTCCAAAGGTGTTGCATCAAAATTTAACTCTGTGACGTGTAAAATTTCTCAGTCAAGCAAGGTCAAAGTAAGGAACATTGACGTGGTTCAATAAATGTACAGAAATTACAGAAAGCGAGATTGTTCAAAATCGAATTTCTTAAAATAATTAACAAAGATTTTCAGAACCTGCCGATAATCCTTTGAAAATAAAATACTTATCCAGTGTTGTTTTTCTATCATTGTTGTATTTCATGATTTGCAGATAAGTTACAGAATATCCGGAGGAAACAGGTACTTTGACATCAATGAGGTTGGCGAAATTGTGACTTTGAGAGAACTAACTTGCAAATCGGGATTCACTTTCGGTAAAAAATTCTTTTACAATTAAATTTGAATTAAAAAATATTGCGAAATTTTCTACACTATAGCTCCAAACAAGGCTCAAGGCAAGTACTTATCCATATTTATCACACCCTGGATGGGCATGTAACTCGAATCCGAGATTATGGTACCAACCCATACAAATCCTCTAATGGAGTAATTCTACTAGAATCTACTAGAATGTCTACTAGACACGACACATAATTTATGGATGTGAGAAGGGCAAGTTGCTAATAATTCAATATTTCGAACAATCTAGATTGTCCAGTCGAACACTCGTTCAATGTACTTGCTTGTGATAGTGGATCACCGAATTCTTTATGCAGTTCATGTTCCGTCAAAATAGGTGTAAAATCTGTGAATCTTCACTCGCCTGTATTCATTGAAAACAACATTAGGATTGCTGTTCTGCAATCTGCTGAAGTTGGAACTAAGGTACGACAATTTACTTACAACTATTTTATTTGGAACTACACATGTATTGCATATGTGAATTTCAGCTTTGTATTCCAAATATCTTCATCTCATATTTAAGCCTTATTTCCACATTCCGTTGTTTTGTAAAAGTTCTCTTCCAGCTTGTTCTAGCTTGAGAAATTTATTTTGTCAAAGACAAGAACTAAGATTGATAAAGTTTGCTATCTCATATTAAAAAATATTTTCGAAGGTTTATACTGTTACTGCAACTGACGAAGACGTTGGAACGAAACTACAATATGAAATATCGAGTCGAAACACCGCTCCTTATTTCACTTTTGGGAATGGTGGTGATATTATTTTGAAGCAAAATGTTTCCAATTTTTCTCTTGGACAAACTTTGCCTATCGTTGTAAAAGTATCGGATGACGGAGTGCCACCCAGGTCTTCTAATATGAATATCGTCGTTGAAGTTACTGGTGCGAATATGCACAGGTAATGGGATGGTAACAGTTTATATTGCTTATGCTTTTCAACTAGGGTTCCGTGTGTTTTAGGAGGTCGGTAGGAATGGATGACAGTTTCTCTTTGAGTGGACAGTGTCGATTATGTCTAAATATTCCTATTTGTATAAAAAAAAAAGTATTTTCTGCTTTAAACACTGAGAAATAAAAACAGTAGTCGCCGCTCAAGTAGTGCTTACAAATTTCATTGCGCAACAGATTTTATAGTTTGTGGGTCGCAAAAGGGTAGTTGAACGTCTTGTATTTTATCTTCTGTAATAACTTTTTATTGTTATTGTTGGATTACCTAACACAGAAGTGTTCGACTTTCTTACTTTTATGGGTGTTTTATAATAATTGGTAATAGGAGTTATGAGCCCAGTAGCATATCAGGGGTTCTATATAGATAAAAAGCATTAATGTAGCTAAAAATGACTCATTTTACCAAATCACTTACCGTATTGACTTCGTAAGTATATGCATCTAAAAATATAACTGATTAACTTCTTCCATTCCCGACATCTTGGAATTTGTTTCTTACATAATTAATAACTATCAAACCTAGAAGCCATTTATATATGTATATGTAATATCTAAATAGAAGTCAAAAAATTTTCAGCATAGAAAAAACTTAAATCTCTAACGCACTTAAAAATATTTTCAGTCCAACATTTAAACGATCTTCTTATGAATCAAATCCAATACCAGAGAATTCCACTCGTGAAATCAGAATAATAGATATTGAAGCATATGATGATGATATTGGAATAAATGGAAAGGTATGTTGCAAAAATATTAAGAAGGTAAAACCACACAGTACAGTATATACCAACAGACAAATACAGTGGGCAAATCGTCACCAACATGGTTTGGTTGGAAGTGTAATAAAACAGGGAAATTGGGGTCACGGCTACCTAGTGATTTGATTGTAAGACTTAACTATGGTAGTTGAAATCTGAAAAGTAATTTTGTTAGGCTTACCATCTTACTCAGGGGTTTAATGAACAATGCCGAGCCGAGGAAACTCCTGTTCGTCCTAAGCAAGAGGCATACAAATCCGTCGTATACGAAAATTGCTCACAGCGAACCCCTAGTATGTCTGCACTATTTGTTTTTCATCAACTTAACCCAACAACTAAAAAATAGGCACTACGGATTCCAACATCACAGTGTATACTATATGTGTTCTTTCTGTTATAGGTGAGATATGAGATTATAGAAGGGAACATTCAATCTGCATTCATCATTGGCAAAGAATCTGGAATCATCGTTCTCGACGGAACATTGGACTATGAGACTACACCTATATATAATATTGTGATAAAAGGTATTTTAGAGTGAACCATAATAGTATATATAAAATTATGAATCATACGATACCATCGTGTGCCCATGAGCAATATAATTCACTCAGTAGTAGTATGATACAAAATGGAACATGTCAGCAACAGCAAGTAATAAAGCGTGTTAAACTACTTGATTGGGTGCCCAATTCAATATATTCAATAAAATTCAAACTATATATCAGTATAAAACATTCGAGTGTAGTCGAGTCACGGTTCATGCGAATCCAAAGTCAGAGTCAATCACTGAGCCAAGTATCACCGCCGGTTAGTTTAAATGACTCGACTTACTTTGACGTACTTTTATAATGGTAACTCGAGTCCAACTGAGGTCGAGTCAATGAACGCCATTTGTACGAATATATTATTCACAATTTCGGTGTTCATTTTTTGTTTTTGTATACTAGCAACCGACTACGCTGTGAACAGCAGATCCACAACAGTAAATGTCAAAATTCCTGTGGGAGATGTCAATGACAATGCACCATATTTCAATGAATCTTATTTTGAGATTCGTGTAATCGAATCAACGCCGACAGGGAAGATTATATCCAGGTAATTTTAATATCTTATAAGTTGAAACAACACTTGAAACGCACAAAAAATTTTTTGTGAAAAATATTCCATTGGAACAAAATTTTATTTACAGTATAGCATTCATTATTTTGTTTCAGACTTACAGCTGAAGACAAGGATAGTGATGAGAATGCTTTGATCAAATATTACGTTGATAATTTTAATACGATCGGAATACAATCATCAACTGGTGACATATACCTAACACAAATGGTAGATTTTGAGACCAAATCGACATATACCTTGAATGTTAGTATATTTTTCTTGGATGACATAAATCGTAATTGTATTGTTGATTAAATCCGAAATGTGAACTATTTTAATTTTAATAATAAACTGCCAAGACTAAGAAAGTAAAAAGTTAATTTCGAAATTTCGACTAAAACTTATGGCCACAATTTTTCAAATAAAATTTTTTTTCGAAGATGGCTGGCATTACCTGTAAAATACTTATAAGATTCTACTGCTCATTTTTTAAACATTTTAAACGTATTTTTGTCACAAAAATATAGATATTTCAGTAAAAAATGATCTATATGACTTACATGCATTGTCGCGTTTTTGTAATTCTAAATATACTTACCATATTTTCAAGGTCATGGCTGAAAATGAAAAAGGGAACGAAAAAGCAGAATCAGAATTGTCAGTTGTAGTGTTAGGCAGTAATGAATTTCCTCCAGAGTTTCTTCAGAATACTTATGAGTTCAATATTCCACACTCGGTTGGAAGAGGTATTACATTCGATATTTATTGTTTACAATGCAATGCAGTGACTCAAAAATCATCGGTTGGGATTTGAAAAACACAGATAGTAGTTTTATTATTAGTGTTTTCGTTGCTGAATAATAATGATACTATAGCACAAATATATGTTTGTACAGTTTCATATGAATGAAGTCAGTCCTACTCACACAAGTATAATTTACTATAAAAAAAGCTTTATCATGCACACATGAAAATAACATGTATATCGAAATGACATAACATACATAATAACTGAAATAACTTTGTGAAATGAGACAAAGTTGTTGGACACGCAGAATCAGGACAAACATAGTTCGTTTATAGATTTTTATTATTGCGAACGAATATTTATTATTACTTATACTTACTGAAATTTGTTCAAATCTAGGTACAGTCGTTGGATTTGTGAATGCAACAGACGATGATTCAGGAACTGATGGTTTTATTGAATATATTCTAGAACCAGTCGATAATGACAATTTCAGCATGGACAAAACATCTGGTGAGTTTGAATTGTTTTTGCTAGTTTCTATTTTCACTCGAATACCACAAGCTTAAATTAAATTCTAATATAACAAATTGTGTAGTACATCTACTCTTTATTATTTCATTTCAACTGTTATTTCGGTGGGCGGTCGCCTCTTTCAGTACCGCCTTAATCCGACCGTGATAAACATCGTTACACCACACATATAAATGATTTATTCCAACTATATATCGACGAAAACAAACTAAACAATTATAGTTTAGTTTAATTATCGAAAAAATACCAAGCAGTGCTTAAATATATGAGAACGAGAGGTCGCGCACTGATGACGGTAAAGACTCATCTGAAAAGTTTGCTGAAAATATCGACAACGTCGCGAATAAGATGTTATTGTACGACCTAAAGTGTTCGTATGACATAAAACAGCAAGAATTAGAGTGAAATATTGGGTCCCATACTGGGAAAAGATTTGAGGAATAGAAATGGTATTAGCCTTCTATCGCGGCTTCAAACCTCTTCAAGTACTGACGATCCATATGTAGACTTCATATTAAATAAAAGTGTTAATGTTTCAGGACTCATTACGGCCGTTGACAGTTCTCTTTACTCAATCGGTGACGTCATACTCTTCACCATAATTGCTAAAAATCCGACATCATCATCTGAAGTTTGTTTGTACGACACTGCACAGTTACGAATCAACATCATTTCAAACGAATGTCATCTAACGTTATGTGAGAATGGAGCTACGTGTGTCGATGGCTTGACTGAGGCCATTTGCTATTGTCTACCTGGTAAGTAATAGATTCACACGTTTTCGAACCTTTTTCGGTAAATTCTTCCCTTCGCTTATCTTGGAACTCTTTATTCCTCTCTCATTATTCATTTAAACTACCTCATTTATTCAATCTTCAATGAATCATAAACTAGTTTCATGCCTTATGCGCAAATCGTACTTCCGCTTTTTTATAGTTCAAATATTTTATAATGTGTTCATAAATAGGTATTATAGTGATAATAAAGAACTAAAGAAAATTAGTACAACTACCGCAAATACGAATCAAAATGTCTCCCTAATAATGTAAAAATTCATCCTCGGTTGGGGAACGTAAAAGCAATTACGTGAGGTGGCACCCGATCATTTTACATACTGCAATTCGACTTAAAATTTCAATATCTGATTATTTTTAAGAATTGTACAGCTAGAAAATATTATAAGTGAGGGGTTTTAAATTAGTATTTACTTCGCCTTAGGATTCACAGGCGAACTTTGTGAAACGAACATCGACGATTGTGTCGGCCAGCCATGTAAACGGGGAACGTGTGAAGACCAAGTGAACACTTATCAATGTTCTTGTGATGAAGGATATACAGGATATAATTGTGACGTCATAATCAATCATTGTGAAAACCAACCATGCGAAAATGGCGGAACATGCCTAAGTAGGTTTAATCATTTTTGGAATATGATTCCGTACGTAAATCTGGTATAAAGTCTAAGTAAGATCTACCATGTGCTGAATTGTTCTATGTTATATCTTAAGAGGATATTGTTTCGACCCGAACGTGGCCATACACAAGCAACCACTGATCATACGACCACCACCGCACCTCTGGTTACCAGGCGCGGGTTCACAGGTTCGAATCTCATGTGGGATAATTATGTACAAGACGATTGCTGGTTTACGTAATGGCTGGTCGATTACGGCTTCCCCATCAACAAGTCCATGCATCTAAAATAACCGGCTAACTAATTACATATCCGAAATTGATTGGTACTTGGACGAGAGGCCATGGTTCGCCATATAATTAAGCCATCTTATCGGCTTTCCTCTCCCTGGGATACATATGTTAACCCTATGCTTTATGTTTGATGGTATTTCTATTTGGAGGAACCGAAATCTTTGTGGTGTGGTGTTTGAAACCGAAATGTGTAATCTGGGCCAACACGATTAATTTACAGTGTATACTACAATGCAATAAAAATTGGGATACCATATTATTCTTAGGTAATATAATCGAATCAGAATAGCTTTCATAAGTCTATATTTTATTTCGTATCACAGATACACCAACCTCGTTCAAATGCAATTGTCCTTTTGGTGCAAGTGGATTGACATGCAATATACAAAGTATCAACTTTCCTGCGCAATCGTACATTATTGTAGACGGATTTGATGAAGAAATTTATTTCGAGTTTTCGACTGGTAAGATATGTAGATGACTTTTTATATACATTAGGGCGAAATGTTATGGGTTAGTTTATCCAAAACGCTTTTTATTTCAAACGAGTTATTGGAAGATTCGAGTGGGAAAAAATCCGGAAGAGTTTACTAGAATTTAATGGTAATTTGGTAGATTGTTTCTGTAAACAAATAATTTTAAACGTTACGTGTTTTGATGATTTTATGCACACAATTTTAATTTTGTGACTAATTCTTAATTTTTGCTCTTAAATGCAGTTTCATCATCAGCACTTTTATTGTATTCATCTCTCAATTCTGAATCCTATATTACTTTGGAGATTATTGAGAAGAAGATTGTGATGAAAATAAAAACATCCATAGAAAGGTAAGAAAGAGTATTTCAAGACCTATTCAATTATATATATAAAAAAAAAATGGAAAGAAGAAGTGAATTCAGATAATAAACACATTTACCAAAATCAAGAAATAACTGTATAAAAAACGTGTTAATGAAATTGTGGTCTTTCTAAAATGTCGTGTATCACTCGACCCCATTTTTTAGCCCATTTTTTTACTACCCATTTGTAGTACTTCATGATACGTTTAGCATTAGAAACAAACAAAAAATATATTAAAACACACAGTGACCTGGTACAAGTTACTTTGGAAAAAGTGGTGAACGATGGTGGATGGCACAATATACAAATCAATTTTGGAAGTTCAAGCTCTGGCACTTTGTTGTTGGACGATTGTTCTTCTGATGAAACTAATTTATGTTTTGGAACATTTAACATGATTCAAGATGTCGATTTTACGTCGAGTCCAATAACCATCGGTGGGATTCAAGGCATAGCGGATTTGAATAGTGGAAAGGTATTCCAGATTTTTTATTTTTTACATTCCTATACGTGATTTATGGCTATAAAATGCAACCAAAAAGCGGTGTCGTGGAGGGAAAGAATTCAGATCTGCGTATATCACATTGATCTACTGAATTTTCGAGGCAGGCATTTTTTACGCCCAATTTACGGCGTAACTACCGGATTGAACGCGACGGGTTTTAAAGCAATACCGGTACTGGTTTTGAGTGTATACAATAGCCACTACCTGATCCATACATTAGGCGAACTGGCTTATAAGGCACACGGTCAATATTTTTGATCACAGTCTGTCTGTAGCCGGACGACTTTCTGAATTGTCTAGAGTCGCGAATCGGAATAGCACACTTTCAATGACAATAAAACGAGTCAAAACTTCCTACTAAAACTTAACTTAGCTTTCATAACAATCTTTTGAAGAAGGTTTCCTTCGTCAAAGTTTTCCTTATCAAAATTCATTTTACTCAGAGTTTGGAGCTGCAGTCGAAGTCTCCCGGACTCCCGGAGGCGGAGTCAAAAATTTTCTTAACACGTGACCGTAGTCAACATTTTATGCCTTCACCAAACCGTAGTCGTAGTCGACTGTAAATTTTCCCCGATCCGAAAGCCCTGATCTGCATTGATCTCTATTATTATAATAATGGCTGGTATTATTTTCAGCTGTCATCTCACGACTATGTTGGTTGTCTGCGTTCCCTGAGTATCGATTCAAACAACATTTCATCTGCTTCTTCCGATTTAATCCGTAAGAAGCATTTGATTTCAAACGGTTGTGACAAAACCACTTCTACGGGAGCATGTGGCGCCAACGTATGCGGTAATGGCACCTGTACAGACTTATGGTTGAATGCTCAATGCGATTGTGATGATAGATATATGGGCGCTAACTGCGAATCAAGAAAGGTGAGCAGTTGTGCTATTTTTATTGCTTTTAGAGTTTGAAATGCGAAGGATTACATTCTGTTTCGTGATACTTGATTAGCTGCAAACTTTCGCTTATGATGACGAATATTCCCACCGTTCGCTTTGAACATGGGCCTCTAAAAGCTTCCACTAATATACGGCGATCAAAGTTTTATTTTTTTTTTCAGATATATTTCTCGTTAAAAATTTATGATTGCTTTCATGTTTTGTCTCTTCTGTTTTATCGTTCCAACAAGCAGCGGGTCAAATGTACTTTGTGTTATGCACTTAACAAATCTTGTTGAGCAATGGTTTTGTGTCTAAAAAGCATTTATCTGAACTATGTTAGTATCACAGGCAAAAAATCTCGGCAGTTAAACTCGACACCTTACACAGGATGTTTAATAAATTAAAATCCGGCCCTTTCAATTATAGTAGCCCCTTACGTATCAGTGGATTCTTGTAAAGAGCTTCGTTTAGATAAAATGCATGAAAACGTAATAGGGAAAAGAAACGTCGAGTCTTATTTCCAGTGGTCACTCTAAATTTTGCTTCAAGTTAATTTTCATACTAAACAAGATCATGCTATTTATCATTTAATCATAGGTTTACTTCTCTGATGAATATATCAATACATCGTTATACAATGTCCATAATCTTGTTGAAACTTTTTTTAAAGCTATAAAAAAAATCTACATGCAAGCACGTAGCGCGAGTGACGAATTCCTCAATGAATGTTCTTGTGTACCAATGATAGAACAGTGGTTCCCAAACTATTTTATACATTCCTTTTTTTTTTAATTTTGAATTTTAATTTAATGCTAATTTAATTGTTCATTCCCCCTCGCTATGAAAAAAAATGTTTCTTTTGTTGTTTGATTTATATAATATATTGGATCAGTGGTTAGTGATTTGCGCAATATGTAATTTGGCTGTTGTGCGGTTTGAATACTTTATAATTCGTGCATATCGCCGCAGTGAAAACAAAGTAGCTCATGATACATTCTCTAGAATTAGACTTTTTTGATCTTCTGTCATATTGAGTCAACTGTTTTTTGTGTTTCAAAGTTGTACTATAGTTTTAATTTAAATTTTACGTAGAAGTCCCATACGTCCATTATTAAGTTTGGTTGTACAAATCTGAAAATTGAAAAATGCGATTGTCTCAAAGCCTGAGAGGTTTCACAGACTATGTAATACCCCAAAAGGTCGTATCGTTGCCTCCCAGATTCCCCACCGGCTGGAGAATTCTAGATTAGAATATTTTCAATAAAATCTTACTCAAATCTATAGTAATGTGCACCTGTGTTATATCTATTCCAGGTCGGACAGACGTTTACTGGCAAGGGTTTTGCTGAAATTAAATTCACGGAATCATTTGTACGAGATTCAATTTTACAAGAGGTTACATCGTCTGCTGGTAATCGAAGGAGACGCCGTAATGTCGGTAGCTCTTCAACATTCGAAATCCAGTTTCGAACTTTAGAAAAAGAATCACTAATTGCGGTTTTTGTGGATGTAACTGGAGAAAACTACGCTGCTTTAATGGTAAGATCCAAGTTAATTTTGGATTTATGTTTGATAGTTTTGTAGAGAAGAAAGGAAAGAGTTTCCAAATTTCATAGGACGTTTTTCCAAGAATGAAAATGGAACAGCAAAGTTTTTGGTCAAATGTAGCACCGACAGAAAATTCGATAAAAATATTTCACCACAAAATGCGGTTACCATGGTTACCCCGCCTGTCGTGTCTGGAGTCGTTCTTTTCCATCAACAAGGGTGACACCAAGATATCGGGTCGCTTAAATGTATTTCAATTGTCAAAGTCCGGCTTTTGTTATTATTCTATGTTCGATCTTTTTTTCATCAGTATGATTTAATGTTAGACTCATTCCCTCATAGACGACGCTGCTCGATAACCATCATTGGTTTATCGCGTCTCCCCCACACTGAAATGCACTTTTTTATCTTACTTAATTATGTTTGTACAATGTATACTTTCGGCAAGGGATAAAATAAACTACTGACTGACTGAATCCTTTGTGTGTATGTAATACATAAATGGGATGCAGACGTTGCAGTGAGTACACTTTAGTGAGTAGCTCCTTAAACGCGGGCTTCATGTTCTGATTAAAAGTTTAAATCTTTGTCCTGGGATCGTTATTTATTGCATGTGGAGGAAAAACCTTAGCATGAATATATACATTTTTTTTCAGGTAATTGACGGGAAATTGAACTATCATCACAAGACTGAATCTGGAATAGCAGTAGTCAAATTAACAGATGACATATCTGGTGGTAACTGGCATACTGCTGAGGTTACAATATCAGGTTTTGAGGATAATTCTGCTGAAATTACGCTCTCTATGAAGGATTCGATCGCGCAGAAAACAACTTTTACAACTGGAATTGGAGTTATAAGCAATTTTGCGGATCCATTACAAGTGAAGGTGACAAGTAATCATTTATTTTTCTCCCCTAAGACACTTGTAAAAATGAAACTGTGGAATCTGCTAATGTTGTAAGCAAGTTCGATACCGCACAGAGCACAAGACAACAGTAGAAAACCCAAATCCGATCCGAATTTAAGATTTCCTATACATATACATAAATCATACATTTTACAGCGTTTGTCTAGTTTGGGATGGATTTTTTAAAAATAGATGTAAAACAAGGTATACAAGCATTATGCTTATAGTTTTTTAAACCGGACTAATTCTAATTCAAATGCATGCTCGAAACCAGCTTGAAAATTCCAATGCGCAACCATAATCAAACATAAGTTTATGAACTATATAGCTATCCTATGACCTATTTCAATTATTGAAATAATATTAAAGTCATCAATTCGACCAGTAATTTGTTTGTATCAAGCCATCGGCTGTTTTTACGTATTTTCCGCATTTTTATTTGCCTCCCGCGTTAAATTTCGTTCCATGAATTGTGTAAATCTAAAAAATGCCGTTATATAATCACAAGTATACATAATCACCTTTTGTAGTATTTGAGATCGTAAACCTATGACACACAGATCGTTAAACAGACCATTTTATAACTATTTATTTTATGATTTCAGACAATATATCTTGGAGGAATACCAAGCTCAACTTCACTTTCTCTTCCCACAAAAACCAGTTTTAAAGGCTGCGTGTTTAATTTTAAATTGAATGGTATTACGTACCAATTAAATTCTGATGCGACCAATTATGCAGTCACTGTATCTTTAAGTGAGGCAGGAATATCCACAGGCTGTGACGGAGCTGGACTAACATGCGATCTTGTAACTTGTACGAATGGTAAGTAGACATTTCCGAAAATACCGAATTTCAAAAATTTTATGCAATGGTGATCTTCATTGTGAAGCTAACATGAGCGGTAGGAAAAAACACTTCTGATTATCCTTCGTGGGTTCGAATCCCGTATGGAATAATTATGTACGAAAAGATTGCAGGACTATTGGGGGCTTTTGGTAATTCACGAAACCGCTGGTTGAGTCCCTGTTTCTGATACGAATAACTGGTAAACCATTCTTCCCTAACTGCATTACTGGTAGCCGGACAAAAATTCGTGGTTTGCAATATGATAAAACCGTATTTTGGCTTTTTCGCCACCTCTGGATAAGTATGAAAATCTATAAACACATTTGCTGCATGGATCAATATCTCCGAGTTCATCAAGAAGTACAAAGCGCGAAAAAAATGTTCCGCAGATTTATGGAAAAAAGTATTCAAATCATTAGTTTTCTTTGGTTTATATGCCAAACGAACCGGATGTCGAGTAAAAGGGTCAGAATAAAATATTGTGACCTTTTAGTTTGGTGATGATTAGTGTTGTAACAGGATGTAGATCGCAAGCTATCCCAGAAATATGTGAATCACACCGACACCAACTTGTTCCTTGTCGTATGAGGGCCATACAGATGTTTGAAAGTATACCTTAATGAATCTAAAGTATACATAGATATCAAAGAAAATGTCCAGATGGTCTTCGAAAATTCATTGTTGTTGGTACCCTACGACTGCACTTTCTTACTGTTAAATGTTTTACTATTAGTATCTATGATTTACGTTATTTTACAACTTGGTATATACTTTTTACAGGTCGTATTTGTGTTCCGGATGGCGTCAGTGTTTCAAAGTGTGTGTGTCAAGACGGATATGTCGAATCGAATGGCGATTGCGCAATGATTTCAACTGCAGGATTTGATTGGTGGATAATTGTTGTCGTTGTTGTTCTATCAGTGTTTATAGTCGGCGGAATTTCGATATTTGCCGTCTGTTTCAGGAGAAGAAAGGTTAGTTATCAATAGCGAAATTTGGGGAACTTATCGTGTTTTTAGTGCATTTGTTCTCGTAAAGTCGACTCTAAACCCGGAGGTGCGGTGACACTATGTCGAATATCCCTACACACTTATCTTATAAATTGGCTGCAATTGCATACAAGCTTGCTGATATGCTAATTTTGTTATGATATAGAACAAACGAAAATCAGCACTGGCTCCAACCGAAAATCGAACAGCAAGTTATGAATTTCAAGACAGAAGTAATAATGCATATGTAACCCCTGACCTTTTACCAAATGATGCACAAATAAGCGAAAACGAACTTGAAAAACAGGTAACGAATAAAGTATAAAATATCTAATATTATAACTTTATATGGTAAATTTATTTTTTGAACTATACTTTAAAACTGATTTTTTACCATAAACGGATTTCTTCCACGTAAGTTATAGGTGAACTGAAACTCAATGGCGAGCGAGGTACACGATATCTAACGATATGTATGAAGTGACTATTCTTGAAAAAACTAGAATTACACTCTCCAATTTGGTATTTGGTACTAACCCTATTTATTATATATAATTTGAAAATGAATTACTGGAGTAAATGTTAGAAGATTATAGCCAAATCTCGCGTGGTATGGCATTGACATGGTTGACTTTCGTGAGCGAATGATATTTTGAAAATATTACGGTTACCTAATTTAAAAATTCACTTATAACGGTCAGAAATATTGGTCATAACCTTTGTTTTACCTATCTCGGCTGTGACTCATGTACGAGATTCAATTTAGAATCCCAGCCAAGAAGTAACAATCGTGAAGTCTTCTTCAAATGGTACAATCATATCACATACAAATGGAACAACGGAACACAAACATGTTTCACAGCAAAATGAATCTTTGTACAAAGCCTACGATCCTATTATAATGAGTGGAAGGCAATCGACAACCGATTTTATTAAAAATGAGAACTTGAAACTGACACAGAGACCAGCATCTGCTCAGCCAAATTTGGCACCGGTGCCTTCTCCACTTACAATTTCCTCGGACGGGTATTACGCAACTCCCAGGCGGAAATACCAAAACCAATTTCATATAAACCAAGCTAAGACTTTGCCTAGGAAGTCTACTAATGGAAGTCAAGATTATATTTCCGATCGTATACAGTCCACTCCACTTAGATCTATATCTCGGAATTCAGCCAAACTGAACTCTGAACCACGAACTTATAGAGAAAAAAGAAGGCACAATAGAAAATCAAGGGAATCTGAAACTCTAGAAGGAATGATGAGAGTAAGTTATTAATGAGGTTTCTAACTATATACGGTGTTTAAAACTAAATTCCTGGGTACGGTAGACTAATAGGGGTTAAAGCATTGGACTTAACTATGTTGACAACACTGGTTCAAATCTCATGGCTTTAACTGCATACAATAGATTCGGTAAGCAATACCGAGCTGAATTCTGGTCCTTACAACTATATTAAGTTTACCTAGCAGTGGCTGCTTGGCAGAGCCATGTCCGGAGCGAATGTCGTTTAAATACGTCGTATATAAAAATGAATTCTAATACCTGATCTGTCATCAGTCTGTATTACAAGTATCTATTTAAAACGGGACTGATTCAAAGTTAATCTATATCTTCGGGAATAATATGAAAAAAACAGAAATCATCTAATATCTAAAACTATACGAAGCTACTGATTTCGGTGCTCGTTGCAATAGATTATATGCGAGTATTTCTATGAAACAACTATTTTCACAAATTTTAAATGAAATTTGTCAAAATAACTTTTTTAGACAGAAGTGATAAGGTTATATGAGCGTTGGTATTATATTTATCTTTTTCGTTGAATTGGAAGCTAGAAAAACTTCTAGTCACAGATTTGTCAAAATTAGTACGCTTGCTTTGGAATGTCATGGTTCAATTACATCACGTAGTGCAAGGCTGCCCAACCTGCGGCCCGCGGGCCGCATGCGGCCCGCCCTATAAAGTTTGTAAGCAGATGTTAGCAGATTTTATGTTTTTACCATGTTATATATAAAATATAAAGGCTAAATTATGTTTCGTGATTTTGGGGCAAATATTCGTGCCATCTATCTACATTCAAATGCCGGTCCTTGTTATTACGTATGTGTCAAGGCTTTCACCCTAGTGGACATCAACGTTGATTTTCTTTCGTTGATTTTATTTCTTACAAAACTGAGCGTTCTGTTCGACGAACTCGAAAGATATTGTGCGATCATTGAGGACGAATGCTGAGTGCAATTATAGGAATGAATTTGGAATCTAAATTTGCAAATTAATTTCATTCTGATTGTTTCTTACGTGTCTGCTTTGATCGTATTTATCGACAACGTAAAATTAAAAGTCAACAATATCTTTGGTACTGGTCCCTGGACTCGTCATTTTATGTTTGTTTGTTTTTATTTAATTTTTGGGTTAAATAAGATTTCGGAAATGTCGTCACGGCGTATCCGTCAATAATTCTGATGAAATTGATTTAATGGCATTGCTGCATATTGGTCACAAATCAGTATATATGGACTATTCATGCAGAAATCTTTGTAATGTTACTTCGTTGAATACTTGTATAGGTGTTTCAAGTTTTACGAAACGACCCACTTAAACTTGATATTCCTACGACATTGTCGCACATTATGCTCATTTAAACATTGAGTCACTATCATAGCTACTGAAAGATGAATGAATAAAAACACTATAATGCAAATATAACAATCAATTTCGTCGTGATGTGTATGTTCTCGTGTGGTCGTCAAAAACACAAGTGTCATGTCCACGCCCCGCGTTACCAGATATTCGAATAGTAAACTGCTATTCTAATATTCGACTTGATATTCGAATAATTTGCCAGCCCTACTCAGTAACCAGAGAGCAATTAATAAATTGATTGATTTCATGTAAACTTGCCTTTTACGTTTTATGTAAATTACCTACACCGAAATCAGGACTTAGCTGGTATTAATGTTTGGTACAAACGTTTGCGGCCCGCAACGAATTTTGTCACGTGAAAGTGGCCCGCGAGACGGAAAAGGTTGGGCAGGCCTGACGTAGTGGTATAGGGTTTCTAAAAATTGTCAATATATTTTCAGGAGTTGTCAGATATTGTTGGGCTCACTAACGAAGAAATGGATCTACTTCATGCTGGAGCGATAGCTCTCGGGCAAGATGCTATATATGATGACGGATCGAGCGTTTCAACTTCTAGTCTCACTGACATGAGTATGCACTCAAGAACGACATCTTCTTCAGTGAGAGTGAGAAGTTTTGTAAGATCGGTTTCACCTCACAGAGACGCGCTTATGAAAGATTTAATGCCTGGTACTGTGATCAGTGACTCTGTTCAATCGTTACCTAAATCAACCAAGAAAAAATTAGAGTTCAGAAGTGACTCATATGAAACATTAGCGGTTCTCGGTCCGTTTGAGTTTCCTCCTCCACCCTCGGAATCCGAGACAAACTCATCCACTGCATCGACTACAGAAGATGAAGTATGGGATTCTACAACAAGTGAATCGACAGTGGCTTCAACAGTTAAAAAAGGTAGTTTTTCTATCAAAATTGATTGTTTTAAAAGCAAATTTGCAGATAGTTTTTCAAACTTTTTGATTGATTTTAGTCAATTCACCGGATAACTCATCAACTAGCAGTGGCGATAAATCTGGACAACTTGATCTCAATTTTCCGACCAACCTAGGAGATTACTTCACATCACTTGTTGATGTATTTGATGACATATCTCGTCTTAATTCGGATGATAAAGAAAGGTAGGATATTCTACGAAACGCCATCAAACAGGGTCTAAACAACGAATTTAAGTTGTATTGTCAGTTGTTGGTCCAATTGATAGCATTCCAATACTGAAAAAAGTATGTAACAATTGAAAATCCGACAATCCAACGAGATATTTTAATCATTACTTTATATTCGTCAGGAAATCAATGTGATGGAAATTTGGAAATATATATTTTTAATTTTCTTGAATCTTTTAATTAATCTTTTATACTATTTCAATTTGATTTAGTTTTATAAAATGTCATATTTGGTTTGTCATAATACACTGCATCTATTTACAGCAATCTTCCACGATCTGAAGATCGTCGGCCGTCTGTCCTTCCTGGTTTTGTTGGACACGAGGTGTCTTTGTGGAGCGACATAGAAACTCTTAGTAAACGCCCCCTCAGGAAAGGCGCCCACGAAAGAAGCACACTGGAAAACATATCACAATCATCCATAAATAAAGAAGAAGGCGACGATCCAGTAACCCCAGTTAAAAAGAGGGGTAGCCGTGTCAATTCACCGTCAAGTATTATTTTAGAACAAGTTAATGGACGAGAAAGTAGAGCATCTGAAAGATCTTTAACGTCTCCGACAGAAGTAGACCCAAAAAAGAAGAAAACCGGTCGAAATACGCCTAAGTCATCATCAGGTAGAAGCAGCAGGAATTCAAAAATGAAAACAGAGTTTGAGAAATATGTCTGAATTGAATGAATTTTCACGATGAAAATGAATGAATGCAGCGGCGATTTAGAGCACTAAAAACGATAATAAAATGTGGTGTGTAAGGCGGGTTGTGCTGAAGTTCCTCTCAGTTTGCATTAAAAACTTGTAATCAATCGCATTTATTAATTTACTATCGAACTGCTAAATGTGCCAGTTGGGCACTAAAATGAGATTATTTTAGGAGAAATAATGAACTAAAGGTTTTTTAATTCAAACATTTTTTTTTCTTCTTCTTTGTTGAAACTAAGAAAATAATCATACATACAGTATAATATTTTTTTTAATAATGTTTTTGTTCATATTTAACATTTTATTACGAACCTTTTCTGTAGGTTTTATTTGTACGTTTTTTTACCTAACAATGCCTATTCATTTTTAGGACAATATTGAAGCCATTCATTGTTGTTACTTTTAAACCAACTCGCATTTCTAAAATGAATATCAAGACTTTCATGCATCTGCAAAACAACCAAATGAATACCTCAGTTTGGCCCCCAATAATGATAAGAAAAAATAAGTTAATTTTATCGATCGCAATAAGTTAAATCAATTATCGTGTTAAATATTGATACTATTGGATTACTGAAGATGATTCATTTTATGTACAAAATTTTCAAGGATACGGAGTAAAAAATTTGAATCAAATTTGGCAACAATTGTTTAAATTCGATTGAGATAGTCCATTTGTAAAACAGCACTCTTTTTTTGGCTGTGTTTGAGTTCGTGTGAAACGAAATAATAAATATATATATGCAATTTTCTTGCCTAAAAAGATATAATGTTTGCATAATTTATATTTATGTATTTCAATTGTAATGTTCCATTTAGCATCAGTCGTTTTTTATTTCCTATATAATTTCTATTTGTCACGCTCTTCAGATTCCCAAGTCCAAACAGAGCCAGCCAAATCTTGTTTATCTTTTACATCATGTCAACTTTTTATCAATCCTTTGCAAATAAGATGAATAAATTTTCCAATTGTCTACTTTATGATTGCCTTCTCAGTTTGGAGTATTTGGAGAAACAAATAGTTTATCGTTAACAGCGATATCAACTCACAATGAAGACAGTGGGTGGAGTCTGGAGTTAAAGTGCCGCAATCGTCTTGAATGAAAAATATGTGTGTTAAACCATTAATAATATGCTGTCAACTCGGCTCTGCATCGCAATCGTGAACTTATTGCAAAATAAATTGGAGTCAAATACAATAAAATTCCACACAAATATATTACCACTATATACTACCACAACATTAACAAGAACCCGCCCCCCCCCCCCCCCCCGCCAGCGGACCAGGATTTTAAAATGAACCACGGTCCCAACAAGTTTCTCATATTTGATGGGAACATGCAATCTGAAGTGAATTTTGTAAATTAGGCGCACCCGGCGGAGTTGTCAACAATCGTACATGGAAAGACTCACATCAATCGATATCCATAGTCCATACGGCACCAGGCAACAGCCAAGTAATCACCCATTGCAGCTTTGAAGGACAAGTTGATGGGGTATATATACTAGGTTTCTCAAAACCCCTCTATTCAGTTGTATCTTGTAGTAGCAACAGAAATTAGGTGCAGTAGTAAACAAGATTTCATATAGATATATGAGCAATATATTATAAAAGATCCATTATAGACCAACATTGTTTTTGACACTTATAAACTACCCTCGATACAAACTTAACACAGTTTATTATTATACAATAATCACGCAGCTTCATATTACGATATACACTATATTTAATTATTATATTACCGGTATATTGTCTAAATTAAAGACCCAGCAACTAGATAAATCCGTGTCAGTTATTCAATTCGGCAAATAAGTGAATCTATCAATAGTCAATACTAATGGCTGTTGGACACTGTATTGACCCATGTATCGGTTTGCAACACTGTTGTTATTGTTTAGACAACAACTACTATTAGGCAATCCATTTTAAACCTAACAACAACAACAACATGTCCAGTTCATTGAGGTGTCAATGGTCCAGATGCAAAAAGCTTTGTTTGGAATGAAACACACTATTCGACTCCTACCACACAAAATCCATCGTTTTTTGTTTTGATTTTTTCGAGACGCATCCTCGCTCTAGTCGGGTTCCGGATTGTAAACATTTGCACATTGTCTCTGGTAGCGTTTGCATGCACTGAGAATAGGAAAAGCGCACGGTAGTTTTAGTTGAACATCTAGGCAGCTACCGGTATCTATCAACAGATCTATGTTAAGCAATGTTCACAAACCTATAAACTTGGGATCTTAGATCCGTAGACCAGTAGACTGTTTGATAACGAAGTCGTTGGTACAACTTTCTCAATAAATAGACTACAGCAATAGCAGAATAGTCTGCATCTGATGGAGGCAGCGAATGTAGACGTTGACAAACCTATTGGATATGGAGCGTTTGGTGTAGTCTGGTATGTAAACTGCTAAATATTTTTCGTATACTTATGACACTTACCGGTATGAGTTGTTTGACTGCCAGGATACTATACTCAAAGTCGAAAGTATTTGAATTAATTAACCCAGTCAGCCAGTGAAGTTTTTGAAGAACAAGTACAGCTTGCCTGACTAAATTAAAAAGCACAAGTGTACACTAGTAGACTATTGATATCTCACACTCGGTACCGGTACGGTACCAGACTAGTGCACTACTCTAATTTTGATTTTCACTCGTGTTTTATTTTTTCGATTCCGGTGGTAAAACTTTCATTTTTTTATTCAGTTTCCTGACTATTTGATACATATGATAATTTTGTGATTGAAAAACAAAATGATTGTTTCAAATTTTCGATTCACGGTAGTCAACCACAGATTTGAAATTTCTGGTTTACCCAAATAATACTGCTTTTTTTAAGATAAATTAACAGGCTTTTGAAATTATTAGAAATAGGCTACTGCAAAAATTCCAATAATTCATATCGAAATATCGGACTTTAGCATCATAGAATAATTATCAAATCCAATATAATAATGTATTTTATTCGGATAAGGTATTTGATATAGTAAGATAAGAAAGCATGTTTGTGATTTTCATAATAAATTCGTTATGAAATATTTCAAACATTGGATTGTTGAAACATACTTTTTTTAAATTTTTATAACAACTCAAAAATTATTTTATTTGGAAGGTCGGTGAAAGATCCAAGAGATGGCAGACGAGTTGCATTGAAAAAAATACCGAATGTATTTCACAATGTTGTCACTGCTAAACGAGTTCTTCGTGAACTTAAAATATTATGTTTTGTCAATCATGAAAATGTAAGTTTTGCATATTATTATGACACAAATGAGATAAAATGTCTTTTTTTATTTTATTTTACAAGTTGCAGTAATTACATCATCAAATTGTTTACGGATGTCTCTTAATTTATTTTGAACTAAATTATCACTGATCTTGAAATGCTTCATATTTCATAACAGTGTCAAATTTTACAGTCCAGAATTGTATAGTAATTGAAAAACTAGAGATTAAACAATTGAAATTCAATATTTAATTTTTATTTTATTTTTAGATTTTATCTGCGGTAGATTTGTTACAGCCAACAGAGCGACCTTTTGATGAAATGTAGGTTGCTTTCCTATTCCTAATTTTTATGAATCAAAACCAAGTCGGAAGTCACTGTTATTAACTTAACAATTATTATCCAATTAATTAGCATAATCAATCCGATAGTTGAAGCAACCACAAAATATTTTTCTAAAATGGGATTTGTTATCTGGATTATTCAAGTTTAATTAGGTTCTTGACGAATATCAACTCGAATCATTTGGTAATATTCATCAGGAAATAAACACATTTCGTATCTCTCGATTACCACTTCTCCATACTACATCATCTTTTGTACTTCACGATTCATGCTAACAGTTGGTGTTTTAAAACTTATCCAGTCAAATTTTTGTCTTGTTGACCTAAATTTATTCACTTGCTATTCATACATGGTTTGTTACAGCTTCTGAAGCGATTACTTTACTCTGCATTTCATAATTGATCTAATTTAAATATTTCTCTATTTCCGGTAGGGTTCAATTCAATAACACAGAAATTGTTATGGATTTCAGTGGTAAATTATGTATTCCAATTTTTAAATCGACTTGTTTGTTTCAGGTATGTTATGACTCCATTGATGCATACTGATCTACACAAAATTATAGTCTCACAACAGCCTTTGACAGAAGATCATGTGAAGTTATTTCTGTACCAAATACTGAGAGGTATAATTCATATTATTATATACAAAAATAAAATTATTTTCTCCCTTCGAAGATTTTGAGGTTGGGAGTAAGGATTTGTAAAATGTTCATTATGATACGCCTCAAGCATGTCTGTTTATTAGTTAAAAATATAAATTTGAATAAAAATTTAGTAATGCTGTGTGATTTCACTATATCTCAAGGCAATCAAGTTTAGTTATCTATATGATGAATTCCCCATATACATTCAATCTAAGCCCCTTTTACCCGATGATTCATTAGAAAAATAATTACCATATACAAAAAAATTTACATTTGGAATTTGCAAAGGGGTTAATGAGATATTCATGCTTGACGAGTTGACGACGCGCACCTAACATTCTTTTGCTTCCGTGTGTTCCAGGCATGAAGTATCTACATGCAGCCAAAATATTACACAGAGATGTGAAACCAGGAAATCTCCTTGTTAACAGTGATTGCAGACTCAAAATTTGTGATTTTGGTTTAGCTCGAGTTGAAGAACCAGATGCATCAAAATATATGACACAAGAAGTTGTTACACAGTATTACAGGTTCGAAAGAATTGTTGCTTATAGTCAAGTTAATATTAATTTTAAAGAAATTTTAGCAAACTCTGAACAAAAGGGCACATTATAAACGTTTGGATAATAATTGAGACATTGGGAACCATTAACTGGAAGTATTTTCAATGTAATACACTTAGTGCTATAATTCACTCACTATTGCAGTGATTAATAATTTGCAAGGTACTATTGTGTGAGGGGATGGAGGTACATTTTTTTATATGATGCATTTCATTGCTAACTAGGTCCTGTGAAAGCACAGATTTATAAGGACATACTATTTTTTGGAAGGACTGAAATATCCCGGTACGTCTTTGCCAATTCAACTTTTTACAATCTGGGTGAAATGATGCGGCATGGGATTTGGACTTGACATAACTCATGAGTAATAATAATATAACTTGCGGGTTAGATAACTGTTTAATTAACCACTATGCCATCGCAACCATTATAACCCCAACTTCAGAGTTTGGTTCACATAACTGATGCTAGATACAGTCTTCTACAATTTAGGTATATCTCTGAATGATTTCTTCTGTTTTCTTGAGTATTTGTTTGAGAATTGTAATGAAGGCGCGAGTAATTATTATTCATTGTAGTAACCAGAATATTTATCCCATCAAATTGCTAATTTTGTTTCAAGACTGGAATTGGGAAAATTTCCTTTTCATGATTTATGCTTCAATTCTGTTCAAGCAGACTTATTATAATATATATACGTGAACAAGGTCAATATGATGCCTTTAGACTGAAAACTAATAAATAAAGGCTTTTATAATTTAGGCTAGCACATCTGGATAGAATCTATTCAAGAGTGAATTTAATCTCATCATGCATAATTTATTTACGTTTTGTTTTTCAAGAATAAATTTTGGCTAATTTTGCAATCAATCAGTTATAAATCCTTAATAATGAAGACGAGCCTACTAATCTGTACCGATTCTTAATTGATTGGTGTATATAAAAACTACTTGATTTATTTTTGAATATTTATGACTGTACTAAGAGTAGGAATAGCCATAACTTTGCAATAATCTGGATTTAAATCAAATCAAAGTATTCTTCTCATAGCAATATGATGATATACCCATTTTACTCGATAAAACTAGAAAGAAGTAGCTAGTTTCGCACAAAAATGTTTATTTTTTGGATCTTTTTCGATACAGTTCTAACAGGATTAGATCTGGTTTCGATCAGATAATCAATTTTTTTAGAAATTCTAAACAGTGATGACATCTTCGTTGACCACAGAAATTGAGTTTATACTGAGCATATGCCACAAGCAAATCAATTTCAGTTGTTTATATTATTATCTGATCCATCGGATCTTATTATTTGAATGATTCATTTTTTTCGAAGTAAATTATCCTAACTAGTTCATAAATTATGAATATGTTTTTCATTTATTTGGCTTTTTGTGCGAACGTAAACTCAGATACACACCCTGGGGGCTTGATGCTGACGCAAATACAGTCTCGCCACCTAATTTCCAAGATATTAAACTTGATTATCATCGGAAATATGCCTCAATTCTTTTGTCAGTCATAATATGAAGATGATCGATAATTTTACGCATTTAATTTTAATATTTTGGTTTAATTAAGTTCTTGTGGTATCTAAGGCATTTGATATTATATCCGTTATTTTGATCCATTTTCTTCCTGTTTATTATTATTATATTTTAATGAAAATGCTAATTTCAGAATATATTTTGTCAAATAAATTCAAATCGCAATTTTTATCAGTAACCTTATAATGAATAGCAATGCAAAATTTTGAATTTGAAAATTCAATTTTATTTAGTGTTCGATTGGCTCATCTAAAAAAATAAATAAATTTATTAGTGATGTGAGCTTTTTTGCCATTTTCGCTGGTACTATTTAGTCAACGTTGCAAACTGGTTATTTTTATCTTTCAATTTTCATTCAGAGCTCCAGAATTACTGATGGGTGCTCGTCACTATACTAGTGCTATTGATGTATGGAGTGTTGGATGCATCTTTGCTGAATTATTGAGTAGAAAAATATTATTTCAAGCAAATAGTCCAGTCACTCAGGTAAAATTATTTTTTAATACGGATTTGAATAAAATTTTATTTTTTTAAGACCCACCAGAAGATCATCATGTTACCATTGTCATGGTAACTATAACATAGTTTGGCATGGTAGTTTTGGATTGAAAATTGATTGAATAATATGATAAATCTATCTCGCTTGGTGTAAGCGAGTAATTTATTTGCATGAGAGGTTCTCTATACATAATACGAGAATAGTTTGAAATACTGTGATCAGAATGTAATTATGATTTTTCCCAAATTTTCATGATTTGTTGCCCCCCTTCCAAAGAGTCTCAACACCCCTTGACCCCCATTTTTCTTCAATAAAAGACCCATTTTTTTACATGTTTCCATCAGTTATTCTATTCGTCACCCTTAAAGTAAATAAACTAGTGTGAATGAATAAATGCATTATTGTTAAAGAATTAAAGAAATTAAAATTTGATGCACTTCAAATTAATGTACACTTCGCAAATGGTACCTTGTGAAAGCCATAATTACACAGTTAAAATGACAAATTTTATATTAAAAACAGTATCATGCAACCAGATTAATTAATTATATTAAGGTGAATTCCTAAATGCAAAATTATAATGTATTTTTAATATCCTATGCTCATTGATGTGGTTTCCACTTTTCATGAGACACAATTATGCTGTGCCCTATAATTCCTGATGGTTCTCTGTATCTCACTGACTGTCTAATAGTCTTGATGAGGCATTTAAATTTTGATATTCTGAAGTTAGTTTTTATTTGTTTAATACTAAAGTAATTTATGACTGATTAACATTAATTGATTTTTTTCAAAGATTGATATGATTATCAGCTTACTTGGTGAAAGAAATACAACATCAACAGAGCATTACATTCCTCATCCGTCGCAACAGTATTCCAGTAACACTCAGCCCACAACTGCAATGAGAGTCCCAGCCAACAGAACATCTTCTCCTGAGAATTTTTATCTTGTTGCACCAAATATGACTCATGAAGCTGCTCATTTACTTTCTAGGCTGTTAGTTTGGAATCCAGTAAGTATGAAATCTTTCAATATCTCAGACAGGGTTGTGAGTGTGGGAAAATGTACAATCAACTTCGGGTTGAAATAAATTTGACTGCAACTCCAGCTTCAAAACTCAGATTTGATTATGCAAGTCCCCTTTAATAGAATGTTGAAAGTACTGCATAGAATCTATGGGTCCTGAGTTTCTGAAGAAAGTTTTGACCTATCATCATCATTGAAAATATGAAATTCCGACTTCCGCGAATTCAAAATTTAATCCCCATTCCGATCAGTTGGAAAATTTGAATCCAACTACGACTCTAGTGAAAACTTGCCAAACTCTAACTTCTCAGATTTGATCATGCTACGAATAATCTTTCTACTTGAAACAACCAATCTCGATGTGTCTTAGCTTAGGATTTATAATGCTGTACCTAAACTTTCTCTCTATTCATGTTAAATGTACAAAATGAAAGTAAGGGATAGATCAGGGGTTCCTAAGCTTTTTTCAGGTCGACCCCAAAGACAACTTTCGAGTGTCCAGTACGACCCCAGGTCAATATATATATATTTTTATGGAACTTTAGAGCTTCTTTCACTGGACTTTTGAGATTGGTCATGTGATGTTATTAAGTAAAATAAGCTAAAACCAAACAGTGATGTCACAATAATCACCTATATTTTCTATAGCGCAAGTATAGAGCGATGCCTATGGGTCGGTTTTACAGTATGCCATGGTACAAACTGCTAAATTTAACATGGTTTGTCAAATCTTAGATGTTTTGTAAATCCATCCTCTACCATACCTCAGCGACCCCATGACCTGTTTGCGACCCTACCTACTTATCACTCCGACCCAATTTGGAGTCGCGATCCCTGGTTCGGGAACCCCTGGGATAGATGAATCAAGTTAAAATTTTTAACATTTTAACTTTAATGTTCCCAATAAATGCTACAGTTTTATAAATAATTTACCATTTCTAAGATTTATTTTTAAGATAGACATTTTGGCCCTCATATCTTCAACTAGATTGATGTTGCCCACGAGTTAGTTATCTTTCATTTACGTCCTGGCTAATTCCAAAATTTCATTCATGACCAAACCACAGGGTGTATTATTTTGAACAGCTTTCATTATTGAAAAAATAAAGGCCAATTGGCCATCACAAATCCAGTAGCTTAGTTCATATCAGTATCATTTTGTTAAAAGGAAATACATACATCTTTCACTTCCTCATTTATAACAATGAACTGTTTCTATTTCGATAGAAGAAACGAGTGTCATGCGCAGAAGCTTTACGGCATGTCTACTGCCGCAATGGTAGGTTGAGGTATCACACGAGTCTTTGTTTGTGTTGCCATCTGAGTGGAATAGGCACCGATGGGAGACAGAGTCTAAGAGTTGCAACTGAAGTTGAACTTGAACCTGTTCCGTCGTCAACTTTTAACGATTCTTATGAAAATGTTCTGAAGACAACGGACCAAATAAGAAGTAAGTTTAGATATAAGTCACTAGTTCATTAAGGATTTATATTTTCAGTGATGATAATTTGTTTTCTAGTTATAGAGCTTCATGGCGTAAATATGTGAGATTGCTTTCCAGAATTAGAATTTAGAAATTTTAGTATTCAGACCACTTTAATCACATGTTATATGTAAATAGATATGACAGATAAAACAGTTGTCCTTGACCTTTTTAATATATATTCCTCCCTTTGCGTATTTTGGAACTCTTTCTTCCTCGTTACACTGCGTAAAATTCAGTTTGTACAATCCTCAACCAACCATGATCTAGTGTTACACACAACTCTGTACAGTTTGTGAATAGTTTATTTGTGCATAAATATATATGATGATAATACTAAATAAGTTGAAAACAAAACAAAAAACTTACTAATCCCATACCTGACATGGTCTGGTAACCGGACGAGAGGCCGTGGTTTGCCATATGGATGAGTTGTCTTATCGGCTCTCCTCTCCCCCAGGATAAATATGTAAATACTATCCTAAGTGAGAAAAATGAGTAATACTACAAGCAAATATTTTCTTGATTTCCTGGTAAAATGTTTTTCTGGTAACAATAAAATTCTTCCAGGAAGTCATTCCTGATTGGGGAACACTGGCTAAAACATTAGTTTGAAGCAAGTAAGATAAAAAAAAACGTGTTTGATCAGAATTAAGCAATGACAATGTTTCTTTATAATATTTCTAAGTTATCTCAAAGTATTTTAATCAAAAATCGTTATTTACAATGTTGGTTTTCACTTCCAATATTTCACACATAATGATTCACTGTGATTTCTTGTTTACAGGCAGCATTGCTCAGTTTGTCAACAGTCAGCCATGTGGCAGGAAGGTACCACTGTGCATAAACACTGAAAGCTCAGTATTTTCTAAATTTATGGCTTCCACAGTCGCTCATTCACATGCAAATACTTCCTCATCTCCTTATGTGCAGTAAATCAAAATCATTGCTAACCAAACATGGTATATCAAAATATGTCTGTATAATTTGCTTTCCAATCATAATGATTATATCATGATTTTACGGAAAAGTAGATGTCACTGATTATTGAAAATTCAAATTATTTCCATTCCCGAACACCATTATATATTATATAGAGTACCGTACTTTTTGGACAGTGTTTAAAATTGTTGTGTCACACTTGTCCCAATTAAATATCACTTCATATGAATAATCTAACCTTCTGCTGAAGTTTTTATCTGTCCTAACTCGGATGTTACAATGAATTCGCTTCATATGCTTACCTGAATCATTTGTGTCTCTGTCACAATATATGTCTACATTAACTCAGAACAATGGGATAAATGTGCTAAACAGGGCGTGTGACATTTTTGATACACTGCTCTTCGGATATGAACATCTCCATACATACCTTAACATTTAACAGCTTTCTGCAAAAGTCACTTTTTCATTTATCTGAAATAATGCAGCTAACATGATGATTTTGATCTATATGAACTCATGATTTCAGTTTTATTTCTTGGATGAAAATAAATACAATTACCATGTTTGACAGATATTAATATTTTCTAAGATTCTTTAACCTTTGAATATTTCTTTTTTTGCACTATAGTACTGCAGTCATATGAACTATTCTGAAAACAGTATCGTTTTTACCTTTTTATACTTTTTTTGGTTTTAATTGTTTCTTGCCAGTTCTTATTGAATTCAGCATTTTATCTTTCATGTTATATACTGTATTGTGATACTATTCATGTGGGTGCTTGAACGTTGATAACATCATACACATTCTTTTTGTTTTTTTTTCTTGTCCTGGTGCTGCATTTTTGTTTGTAAATTTTGGTGGTTTCATCCCACGAGAGGCTTATGCTTGCATTCTATCTAGTGCAGAAGGGATTTTTTGTCATTTTTCTTCAAAACTTGATAATGAACAATTCTAGTACATGAATCACCTTTGCTTGCCATTTTTATCTTTATGTATACAAGTTTAGTTCCCACAAAAGAGTCTGTACATTTGGAATTTGTAAATATATGTGCAGTACTTGATTGCTAAATTCTGTAACTGATAACTGTTAATGTTCAGTTACTTATGAATTACCTGAGCGAGTAGTTGCCTCGTATTGGAGTTTTATATCAAGCCGTTTGTATAATTTGAGTTCAATCTTATTTATAATTGGAACAACCTTTTCCAGTACACATAAAACAGGCTTTCTATAGCTTTTCAGTGAAATTGAACTACCTGAATTACGTTACCTCTTGTATTACCAGAAGCTGGCCAATAACACAAAATTTTTACTATTTTATGATATTTTATAATAATTGTATTGCCATGTTGCTTGTTTATCAGAAAACTTATAATTGCTACTTATTGTTAAATGACTTAAATGGTAATGCTTTTGTGATCAAAATGTGTAGTCATAGTCTGTGGTGCAAAGCTTGGACACAGTAATATTTTTGATATTTTCATGATCTACACCAGGGGTCGGCAACCTTTTGTCACTCGTGGGCCAAAATTAAAGGTTGCAAGTCATTGGCGGGCCGCAGATGTTTTTAGAAAGTTATAAACCGAACGGATGGCCGATGAATCACATTTTTCCACACATATCAGAAGTTAGATTTTAAGCATCGCGCGGGGACTGACCATTTGAATATTTTCCGCGCCATTTAGCCATTTGCACTTAGCATCAACTTTTCTGCGTTTTGTTGCCATTTGTCTAATTATAATTAAATTATAGCCTCATTAAACGAGTAGTTGTGAATTATATACTTGTTAGGTTATAATATAATTTAGTTTAAACGTGTCTCGAAATAAATTCTGTTACGTAAAGAATATGATCGGCAAAACGGCAGATTTGTTACTATAATTCAATGAAGCGTCGCGGGTCGGATTATATTGCTCCGTGGGTCGTGGATTGCCGACCCCTGATCAACACTTTTAAGAGAGTTTCATTCTTATTCAACTCATTCTTGCAGTTGAAATTTCTTGACAATTTTGTTTAGAAATGGTTCGGGTCATCTACCATGTTTGTAATTAACAATAATTATGATGCAGATTGCAGACAAATCATGAATGTTCATTTCTGTCTTTTTCTTCTGTACTGGTCTTTTGTTCTAGGATACGATATTCATATGTATCCTAGGGTAGAGGAAAGCCGAACCACGGCCTCTCATCCAGTTACCAGCCCATGTCAGGTATATGATTAGTTAACCAGTAATTTGTTTCAGATGCAAGGACTCTGATGTTTATTGCTCTGCATAACTGCATTTTTTGCACTATACCCTGCTTTATTTAAACACCATGATATAAAAAATTTGATTTCGGATGAGCTCTAATTTTTATGAAAGTTTTTCCTGCTAATGTTTGAATGAGCTTTGAATGTAAACCAAATTCTTGCCAAGTGGTAGGTTTTTATCATCCCATACAAATGAGCCTTTTTCCTATTTCAACCCAGTATTCTTTACTATTAAATCATATCTAAGAAGGATCAACTGATTTTAATCAAGCAATTGCTTCTGTCCACTCAAGTCCTAAATAAATATAACACTATATTCCTCTTTGGTGCCATTTTAGGTGCAAAAACATATGTTATCTTGATACTGATGCTCTATTTTACGACCTTTGACATTGCAGTTTTATTCCTGTTTACTTTGATTTATTTTTATTATTTGTGCACTTTTTGTGAAGGTTTATTTATGTCATTGTGCAACTTATTTGATTTAGAAAAACAATAAATTTTGCACTCCCGTGAAACCCTTTTCGTTTGCTGTGATTTTCGTAGTATTTCTACCGATTCAGACTGGGGACACGGTTTGAGAAGTCAGTCGGGGAAGTTAATGTATTTACAAAATTTGGATAATCACGTTGAGGAATGTTGAGTTTCAGTCAGGATAGCATTTATATATTATATTGTTTAAATACTTTTTCACAGGCGACATGCAAATGAATGTACGCAGGTGCAAATGTTCGCGGGTGCTTAGATCTGCAGGAGCTAATGACGGCGAATGCCGAAGTATACGGGTACTGTCGCCGATAATAGTCTATACAAGGTCACTGGCTTGAAAACGGTATAACGAAACTTGGACCATGCATTACATAAATTGTAGTGTTATGCCGTTATAAATTTGAGCATATCGTCACGCTGATAATCGACTTGCGTAAGTCATTTTTAGCAGTTCTGAGAAAAACGTAAAAAACTTCCTAATGATATTGTTATGCCATTGAGAGTCAATATTTTGTGATGGTTCAATTTTTTGATCGTAGCCGGATTTAATATAATTTGTATGACGTAGTTAAGTGACGTCATAATGGCGCACTGTGACTTAGGCAGAAATGTGTCTATGACTTGGGGACACGCAATTTTGCATCTTGACTATATGCACCAGTCCTGAAAACCAAACATTCCAAAAACGAATGTAATTTTCAGTATCTACAATGTCTAATCCCCAAAATAGCTAATCAGTTTCAATTACATTATTTTTTATGTTTAAACATATATATTTCATCAATATAACACGTTCTGCACACCCACCGAAATAAGATTAAGATTAAATATAAAGAATAAAACAACAATGCATCCAATTTGAAAGCCAACCAAGGTGAATTGGACTCGGACAGTGAATATCACAAGTGCACGCCTTCCTATACTGTAGTATAAATTCAAATTAGTACGCGCTAAGCTAGAATCCGAGATGCAAAAACTCGAAAATATGTCGCCGAGGCTATTTTGCCTTTGTGACGTCACAACAGTCCCATGGTAACAAATGATAATTCATTATGACGACACAATTGCACAAATGTGCATGTCATACTTAATCTCCAATTTTATTGGTTTCGGAATTCTTAAGATAAAATCTGAGTTAACAAACAGGTGCGCAGCATTACATAAATACCTATTTTATATAAAAAAAAAACTCAAAATCGCCAAAAATGACTTACGCAATTCGGTTATTAGCGTGACGATATTCTTTTCGAGGCACGCAGTCTTAATCTATCGAGTAAGGCAATACAATTAAGATATTCGCATAGTTAATTGCCAACTTGCTTTTTGGACACACAGAACAATGATCAGTCTCATTTATCTGGGCATTACGCCGGTTCGCGTTAACAGCCATAGAAGAGATTCTCTCGCACACCAACTAATTTGAGCATCAAAAATTTGGCAATGGTTAAGTGTGGGAAAAATTTTCTTCGGGTAAACTTCCTTGATAAAGAAAAGTATGCCACTGATTTGTACCTTTAATTGGCGGTTTTAACCTGTGGTAACCGTGACTCAATTTGTTAATCAGTTTAGTCACCGTTCTACCTATTGATAATTCAAATAAGCTGCTCACAAATGACATTTGTTTATGCCAGCATAATAGCTGTTTGAGAGTAAATTAGATTCATCGGTCCCGCGTAGAAAGCTGTCGACATCGTCAGTGACCGACTGAAAGCACACGTTCCATATCCTAATATAAACAAAAAAGTTTATTTATTGTGCATCCGATTATTCGTCACCAGCCAGCGTGAGAAAATGGCAACAGTGTCGTTTACGAGACCTTCGCAACAAGCCATGCCGTCGAGACTTTGCCCCTGGCATGGAAACGTATTTATAGTTAAACTTTTCAAATGTACCACTACCCAGTCATGGCCCATGCTTATATAGTACTAGTATTACACGACACCAGCGAATGTCGTATAAAATGAGGCGTGGGAAGGGCGTCAACTTTCAAGTTCATTTCATCTGACATGTTTATTGCATATTGTATATTTTACGTAGTAACGTAGGAATAATGTAACGGTAACGTTAGATCCTAACCTTTTTCTTTGCAATTTTTGTTCTTTGACTGTGCGATTATAACAGAATCTAGTTGCATTCACTTGGTGAGCGAGCTTGATTACGAGATTTCGCTTTACTAGTAAAAGAATATGATGGAATATGCATCAGTTTGTACGACTGTCGTTTTGTTTTTGATTCTGACTGAAATTTCTGAAGGTAAACATCCAGTATTTCTAGCGTTATTATTGCAGAAGATACAGCAAGGTCTGACTGCAACTGGTTATTAGATATATATGAGCAGAAAGTTTTATTATAAATATATACATAATACATATAATGTTTTCAGTGAGAACTGCATCAACTCGAAACTTTCAATTTCTTCATTGCAAATACAGAAGAGCTCGATATTCTCGTTTCAACCCACTTGACATGTCGCGATCGGATTGCTATTTTCCCAGGAGTACACAACGAACTAGGAGAAAGCTTCCTTCAGGTAGAACAACTTTTGTGGTTCAACTCACCTCGAAATGCCCCAGCTTTGGGAAGGCTAAGAAAAATAGAACGGTCAACCCTGCTACGATTAATTGTATTAAACTAGTCTTTACACATCTTCCATCGGAATGAGATGTAGCAATCGATTGTTCTGAAAATTAGCAGAACTATTTCCGATCTGCTTAGCTTAATTACCAATGTCAAATTCGACCGCAGAAAAATAATAAAACAATTATTCGGGTACATTACTTTTCAATCACATACTGATTAAATAAATATTTGTTTAGTTCGTGCAAGTTCTGGATTGTGTATCGACATCGAGTCCGAAGCCTTGTGTGAAAAATTCAGCAACAGAGGATTTTGTCGATCCTTTGCGGTTTGGATGAATAACAACTGCGCTAGAACCTGCAAAGTTTGCTCGGATATTTCTGGTGGTATGTATTTTAGAAACTTTGATTTCAACAGACAGAGTGCAAGAAAAATTCATTATGTTATGTAGCTAAGTTGAAATGATAGGCCCATTAAAAAGGGGTGAATTATATATAAAAGGCATGTCGGTAGATAGAAATGAGTGTAGGCACAAGGCAATAGCCCATCAAAATAGAATCCGTGATTGAAAGTTCTTGTTCTGTAAATATTAGAGCATAAGATGATTACTCATTCACTAAATCAAAGGTTGGGCCCAAAAGCGATAAATATGCTAACTTGAAACTCTGACTAACTCTGTGTTATAGATAGGGCTGGGCATTTCGAATCGAATATTCGAATCGAATCGAATAGTAAATTATTCGAATCGATTCAGAGCTAAATTTCGAATCGCCGCCATCTTGTTTTTATCTTTCCGCTAATGGTCGAGGTGAATTCCCCAATTTTATTTTCATTGGAGTCATATCTTTTCAACGAAATTCTAACATATGACTATTTTCTGTAGTGAGTTATTGATAAAACGTGTTTGTTATTCTGTGTGAGCGCTCAGTAATCTATCTGGGTGATTTATTCTATCTCTTCGGTAATTCATTTGTTGAGAGGACCAATTACTATAATAAAATCGCTTACAATTATATATTTTCAAGTATTCGAGATTCGATTCGATTCGAAAAATATTATTCGATTCGATTCTGAAATCACAAGGTATTCGAAAATGCCCAGCCCTAGTTATAGAAGCAGTCAGTCAGGAACTAATCTGAGTTTCCTGTACAATTGGAATCCATTAGAAGTGCCCTTTTCAAACTAGGATATTTTGTTTTCATTAGCGATCAATATAAATATGAACTATAGTTGAATTGAAATCAAGCGCTGTTACAACTGAATTGAGGAGGGACAGTGTGTCAACACTATTTTTTCCAGAAACATAATTTTCTTTTATATTCATGGACCAAAATGTACAAGTCGTTCTTTCATTTAATTTTTTTATTTAGCTAAATGACGAAACGGATTATAAACTTGTCGCTTCTTGTACAGACAATTGATAAATACACTGCTTAGTGCTTATATATCGAATGTAGTACTGTAGTTAATTACGAAGAAACGGACTGTCGCAGGCAAAACTGATTATTAAAAGACACGTAAACGAATGATGGTAATTAAATCAATCCGTACAGAGTTTTTGCAATCCCATTTTCAACAAGTTTATTGGCACGTGCCGAACGAAATTAATTAGCTCCACAATAATTCCAAATATGGTCAAATGATAACAGATGAAAACAGCACAGATTATTTAGATGAAATTGCTATCCATCTTCAATAAAATCAAAACTTGCAAGAAAATTCTAAGATATTAGGCATCCACATTGCATTTTATTAGGTTAACTTTTTTCGAATATGGGAAGGCAGAACAGCATTACAATGCCAAAAGTACAGTTTATTTAACCATTAATCCAATCAAACGACGTAAATAACAATACCAGAGATTTAAATTGTGTTGGAGTTAAGAAAATTTTAAATTTAGGATATGTAAACTAGTCATAAAGATAACGGCTTTGACCCGATGCAGCAACCAATGAGAATAAAATTGAGACGCACTGGTGTCAGCATGATTGCGTTAGTAACAATTATAAAAAATAAAATTGAATATAATTACTCAAAAAAATTAATTTAAATACTCAGTTTTATCTCTATCTATAGATATTTCATCGCCGTTATTGAGAAACAATTGGTCTGGTTGGGGAAAGTGGTCAGAATGCTCATCAACATGCGGTTTGGCTTACATGCGGAGAAGAAGAACATGTTATTCAGTGGGTCTATCAACTTGCAGCGGTTCTACATTTCAATCTCAAAAATGCACTGTTGTTCCATGTCGAAGTATGTTTTTTTTTTATATATCTATATAAGAAAATGGAATGTGAATTTATTTACATTTAGTTATTGTGAAGTAGATCAGCGTTGATATTCAAGTATTTGCAAAGTCCACGGAATATATTTGGAATCAGAATTTAAATTTTGGGAGTCTAAAATTAAGACTTCTAAAGTAAGGAGTAGAAGGTGACATTTTTCGTGGGCTGTAATCGGAGTTCTTCCAAATTCGGAATATGAGTCGTCATTCTGAAGTCGAATTTGAAGTTGCCAAATTGCAGTGTCTCAGTGCCGGATCACTGAATCTAGTATTATTATATGGCAGTTATTTAAATAGCAACCAGTCAGATGTGATTCCGGTTATTCGCCGTTGCGGGGACTTTGAAACAATGTTGATTTATTTTGATTTTTACTTTTTGTAGTAAGGTCATACCCATTGCACAGGACGGTTGGTGACTGCGCGGACCTTCATCGCTCTTGTGAAGTTTTCAAGAAAAATCAATTCTGTAATGATAAAGTGTATCAAGATTGGATTAATACAAACTGTAAAGCAAGTTGTGGATTGTGTGGTACGTTGGACTAAAATTAAATTTATTCAAGAAAATTGCTCGAAGCATGGTCACGCGCAGAAATAAAAGAAATTTATCTTTGTGCGAAGTTGTGAGCGACTACCAAAGTGTCAAGAACGGTACTCCCGTAGTATGTGTATCAGATTAGGATTAGGCCATAATTTCATTCCGATTTTCCTCGTTTTAGTTCTATTACGAGTTCGGGGACTGTCTGTGTTAGCCAAATGAATATACCCCCATGGGCTTTCGTCCCTTTACACAACTTGATGCAAAGTAGGGGAATATATTTAGTTACCTTCATATTGGTACATACACTTCCTGGGCGTCGTCAAGAAGTACTGAGGCTGTAAATATTCAGGGTGTAGAATTATCGTGTAACGTTGAAGCGTCAAAACGATCAGGAATAACTACCTCTGTCAAACCAACCCATATATATTCATCTTTGTATTCTGGCAACAGGATTTACAGAGTGGGGATCTTGGAGTCAATGTTCAAGTACATGTGGATCAGCTACCAGAACGAGATCGCGGGAATGCAGCACAATCAGTACCGAATGTCAAGGTCCCATGAATCAACAAGATGATTGCGAGATGGATCCGTGTCCAAGTGAGCTTGCTGTAATTAACGTATAAGGAGAATATTATGTAAACTGTAACGTTATGCTGTGCTAAAATAAAGAATGGAAATCAAGTAGAAGCTTTATTTAGAATGAACATATACCACGCGATGTAGCCTTTGGGTGTGTTATATATGAACAACAAATCTGAAAGTACGTGGGACGACAAAATATATGTCGTTAGAATGTATTATAAAGACACTGGTGAACGCAATTATTGATTTCTTATGGAGCATTCAAACAAAGGCTTTTGTTTCTGTCCTTCATGTCGGGCATTTCACACTCACTCTCGAATCGTGAAAATTGATCAGTCTGAGATTGAAAACTGTTAACATGGTCATCATAAGAAGCAATGTTGATATGCCTGGTCCATGATAGTGTTAACAGAATCACAGTTGTAGAAAATCTGTATTTTCAATTCATAATATATATATATATATATTAAACTGCTGAGGGCAGAACTGCGATGCATTGTATTTATTTCAACCGTCACGATAATGTGTGGAATTTCAGAGCCTCAGTGGTCTCAATGGAGCCTATGGGGAGACTGCAGTTCAACATGCGACGAAGGAATAATGACAAGAACAAGGATCTGTTCGGATTGTAAAGACGGAGGAGTTGACAAAAGTACAGAATCTAAAGAGTGCATGATAAAAGAATGCCCCCGTGAGTTTTTAATACGTCACATCCATAATCACGAACGCATGTGTAAAATTCTGAACACATTAATCAAGTCCAACTAAACTTTAGAGTTGTCAAAATGGTCTGAGTGGTCGGAATGCACTGTCACTTGTGGTGCTGGCACACAGAAACGATCTCGAAAATGCATCAATGGACCTGGTTGCAACGGAAATATTAGAGAAACGAAGAAATGTGCAAAAGATATTTGTCCGTAAGTGATTCGGAGTCGAGGTATATAGTCAGGCTATATTTCCCCGACCAGTCAGTCTTATGTCAATAATCTTCATCTGATTAAACCAAAATTTTACACCGTCTTTGTTAGAATGAATAACTCTGAATATTTACCCATATACAACTACATTCAGTCGAGCCACATTTTAATCAAGCGGATATATCAAAGGTCAATACCATACATACAGACTGCCCATGTACAAATTGGTCTCTGCGATACCTCTGAGATTTTATTTTACCTGGTTAGGAGAGATTCTCCATTGTCGTTGCAGGCAGGTGAAAAACAAAATACTTTACTTTTTTTACAAATTACTTTTTTTGTAGGCCCGAAACAAATTGTACAGACCTACGCCCAGATTGTATCAAGTTCAAACGTTTCTGTTCGGGAATGCTGATGGATGAATACTGCAGAAAAACATGTGGTTACTGCGTTGAATGCGACTGTCTCGCAGGTTTTATTTGTTTATATAGTCTTATAGGGTTTTTCGACATTGAATTTCATTGTTGCCTAACCTAGCTTGGTTATTTTATAAAAATTTCTTGTTTGAAGATAATTATTTCATACTTGATTTGATTAATTAATTGATTGATTCTCTTGATCTTTTTCGCAGATTGGTCAAGTTGGTCAGAATGTTCGAAAAGTTGCAACGCGGGACTAAGATTTCGCACACGAAAATGTTCGACACCTTACCTGGCATGTGAGAAAGATATTGAGATGTGCAATGACTTTATTTGTCCTGGTAAGTTCTGAAAAAGCTTAGGGGAAGGTTAGGCAGAAGTTTTAGGATTTGTTAAATTTGAGATCCAATTTACTTACAACTTACAAACCAAAAGTAGCGATTTCCGCCGCTGGGTCCTCTCGGTACTTCGCAACTTTTCTGAATTGTTATACCTCGCTTTGAACATGGGTTGGCAAATCTTTTTAATGCTAGGGCTGATTCCAAATCAAATATATACAAATAAGTTCATGATTTACATTTCATGTCTAAGAATTGCCGCTGCTCCACCATGTTTTTGAGCGGAAAGTTAGCTGAGTCGTACGTATCTCTGAGCGATAGAATCGTGTGAGTCTATATTTTACATCAACGGCATTCTAACAACATAATCGCATAAAATAACTCTGGCGAATTTATAGTCAGGGTCATTTTACACGGGCGTTAAGTGTAATTACTGAACAGGTAAATAATATACGAAAAAAATGTTTTCTTCTCAGAAACTTTGTGGGGAGAATGGAGTCCTTGTTCAAAGTCATGTGGCGGCGGAACTAGAAGAAAAACCACATTTTGTACCGAAGGATTTTCGACTTGTCCAACGTTTTATCAAGATTGTGGGACTGAGCCTTGTCCATCAAGTGGGTGATTTCGAATATACAGCATACAGCTACTAAGTGTAACTGAAAAAAGTCATCACATTTGGTAAATTATGCGCGCACACTCATATCTAAACTAAAAGGTACCGTATATAAACTCGGGATTTTCATATTTTAATACATACCATTAACTTTCATTATACAATTTACGAGTTATCGTTGCCTGAAATGAAAAATTGCTTTTCAGAAATTTGTTCATGGGGAGAAATGCATCGATATAAAAGCAATTCAGAATGTTGCATATCAACGTTCGATGACACTTGTGGTAGAAAGAGCAATGGTGGACGCATCATAGGTGGAAATAGTGCGGATTCAAAACAATGGCCTTGGATGGTAGCAATTTATTATAGATTTTTTGGAAATGCAAAATCGAAACTTCAGGCGACTAGACAATCTGTTAAGTTCGGTGAACCATAATTTGTAATTACTTATACAATACTAAATCATAGTAAGTTTATTTTTGACCAGTCACAGTCACTCATTTGGATATTGAAAGAAAATAAGTCAGTATAAATTACAAACGATCCAGAAGCTTGCGCATAGGCATCTCATATTATGCTGCCACTAGCCATGAAACAACGCAAGACCTAAAGAATCTAAGTCAGGGAAAATTGGGGAAACGGCTCCATAATTAGAATTTCACAGAACTAAAAATCTTTCTATCGCTCTATGCTCGCCGTACAAGCAATGACACAAGCATTTTTATCAGCTTTGTTTTGATCTTACTTTTTTACTGACAAATTTATTTACTTTTTATGCTTTGCTTTTGCCAGGTATACATGGCAATGAAAAATATAATTGGAGATGAAGCAATATGTGGTGGAACATTAATCACGACAAAATGGGTCGTCACTGCCGGTCATTGTGTTAGGTATGTATGTAAGCAACGATAGACTTTGGGTATTAGGTTTTTTACTAGCTGTACATCAGGGCGTAGCCAGGGCAGGGGGTGGTTTTGGGGGTCGGAACCCGCCCTTTTGAAATGTAAAAAAATAAAAGCATCTTTATTTACCATACATAGCAATTTTTCGTAGCATAAAACGCTTTTTTGACCTTCAAGACTCACGAAACCACATGTTTTCCTGTGTTCGGCCGGACCCGCTTGCTGTTTCGGTCAAACTTGGCAAATAGAAATTTCAGAACCCCCCGTTGAAAATAATTACTAGCTACGCACCTGCTGCCACCTTTGATTTGAATTGACAAAAACGAAAATTTAATGCGTGTTGACCCATGTTTTGATCCGTGGTTTTTGCGAGGTTTAATATTTCTGCTTCTTTGATATACCTTTTGCCAATAATAGGATTGTGGAACTCTTGCTTTCTTAAGTATACATGCATTTTCCGGAATTAAAATGTATATTTAGTCAATTTCAAACATAAACCAATATCTTACATTCGTCCCGCACTGTGTGAGGTCATTATATACAGGAGTCAGAAATATACAGAATAGAATAATACTTTCAGTAAGACCATTTATTTTTTGGCAGAGATTTTTCTAAAGATGACATTTCCCTTACAATGGGTTTTACATCAATTGGTGACAACAAGAAAAATGTACAGAGAAGAAAAATTGCTGAAATCATAATTCATCCGCAGTTTATTATGCCTGCGAATGATATTGCTCTCATCAAGGTCAGTTTTCCTTTTTACACGACTCGTATTCACTTCTTTTGCCCGAACAGCCACTTACAACGATATCCAAGGTGCTTTACGGATTATTAATATGTACAGTATAATATTCCGAAATGGATCCAGGTTGAACTGAGAATACAAACCAAAATTTAACGATATTTCTTCTAACCATCAAAAAATCTGAAATAACCAATCAACTAAATAGCGTTCATAATCGTTGTTTGATCTGTTACAAGAAGTTGATAATTTTGAAACTGGGATCACAAGTTACTTTCTGATTTTGACTTTCTGACAATCATCAAAAAATCTGAAATAACCAATCAACTAAATAGCGTTCATAATTGCCGTGTGATCTTTTATAGGAAGTTGATAACTTTGGAATTGGGAACACAAAATACTTTCTGATTTTAAAATTCAGATGAACCTTTTTCTTCTTAGCTCTAGTACGCAGCATTGAAATTATTCAGCGATTTTGGTATTCCACAACTCCAACCAGTTGCCTACAAGTTTTCTTTACAAGATCGTCGTATTCATTTATGAATTAATAATGGCTCTCCAGATTACCACTGTTAATCCCACTCTCAGAAGTTACTTTCAATAACATATTTTTGTCAATTTCAACATTTTTTTCTGTTGAAATACGATTATTACCATATTTTGAACCCACTGCTTGATAAATAAATATAAATTGATATAGTATCAGCATAAAATAAAAATTTGTTTAATTTATAAAGATTTGCATTGATATATGTGAAAAAACTTTATGATTCGCTCACTCAGAAGATGTCAAAGACTGTAGATGGTTTTATTTGTATCCACATACGACTCTTAAATATCTTTCTTGGTAACATCCTTTGCTTGTTTTCTGTAGTTGAATGAGCCAGTAACGTACACCGAACACGTTCGTCCTATTTGTCTTCCTGGTGGAGAACAAACATCGACAGACAAACATTGTTTTGCCGCAGGCTGGGGAAAAAGTAAGAAAAAACGTTCAGTTTATCTATTATATTTATTCAAAAATTTTTCACACGAAATTTTTATCGTGATGACTCGATCGACGTAAATAATCATCAAAGTCATGATATCGCATATTTATGATATATAAAAAAAAAATGACAGCGAAAAATACAGAGTTAAATTCACTAAAAATTAGGTGTAACTGAACAAAGTATAATCAAGATTATGGAGCTGATGTAACGCACTGTCTAACTCACTAAAAATTAGGTGTAACTGAACAAAGTATAATCAAGATTATGGAGCTGATATAACGCACTGTCTCAATTCATGTATGACACATAATTGGCCAGACAAAAGTTGGTATGTAGCAGGAGTATTATGCGCATAATCGTGGTTTTATATGCAGATTATTTAGGGTAAATCTGGGTATCCTACGGCGACGTAAGTGCATACTTTCATTTTCGCAAACATTGTTTGAATATTTGTCATAAGTAATTGATGATGGTATTCACGCGTTCAAAATTCATCAGAAAACGTTATTTATCGTGATATCTGCTTCTGAAAATATATTGTTCTCAATAATAAAAGAATGAAATAGACAAAAACGTGTTTAATTACAATTTTATCTTCTACAGCAAATCCAGTGAGTGATTTCACCAGTTCAATTTTGAACGAAGTTTCTCTTCGTACACTAGACATGAAGATTTGTAAATCGGCTTACGATACCTCCGTCTATAGAAAAGGCCTAAAGGAACATGCTATGATCTGCGCTGGCAGTGTTTTAGGAGGAGTCGATACCTGTGCCGTAAGAAACGATTTAAATCTTCTCTATTTAGACGTCGGTATATAAAATCTATTGCCCAAAATATCCATCGGCCAATTCTCGATTTTTCGGAAAGTTCTTTAAGGCGATAGCATGCTATAGGCCGTATAGGTAATGGATTTATTGGCTAGGAATACTGAACTGCTAATAAGATTCACCTCTGTGATTCAACTTGACTTTGACTCGAATTTCCCGTCACTCGATTTTACTTTCGGTTTCGGGACTGCCCAACACTAGTATATATATATATATACATCACGATAACAATTTGATTTGGACTGCTTATGTAATGATTTCTGCGCCAACGGTCTGAGAAATAAACTTTACTATTAAATCTAAAATCAAATCTAAAACCCGTACCATAAATATATAATTGAAAAGAAATCCAAATTGTTATATGCAGCAGTAAGCTGTTATAAAACAGGCTAATTGAATATTGCAATTGTACGCCCCAGTATAAATATGGTTGCCCACATTTATTTGCGTAAATCGGAAATAAAACAGAATTACGTAAATTTTCTTCAAACATTCAGACTTTCTGTAATTTCAGGGTGATAGCGGGGGACCGCTGATGTGTCAAAGATGTACATCATGTTCCTGGTATTTAGCTGGTGTAACGTCATTCGGTTCTGACAACTGCGGGTTACCGAAACACCCTGGTGTGTATACCAACGTCGTAGAATACGAACCTTGGATTCGATCAATAGTGTCATCAGCGTCGAATGAGACGTACACCGGTTGCTGATGGACTTCAATCGTTTTGACTCCGATCCGAGTTGAAAAAATTGAAACTCCAAAAATCTGAAATCTGGAAAAATTGAACTATGATAACAGAAACCTTGGCAAATGCAAGCCTTCTTTGACATACTGTTAAGAATACTTTCAGTTTTAATTGCGAATACTGCTCCGAGCCCTTGGAAGATACTTAATTGATCTGTTATTAACTGTGCCATCTATCTGCCAAGATGTGTAGTAAATTTTGTTAAATATTATGAATTTATCAGTATAACCAACCAATGTATATATATTGGGAATTCATAAACACTCGAGTTGTTTACCTATAATCTATTTTTGAGGTCAAATATGCAATTCCTTGCTTTCTATGATTGAATATACAACTTGGACTGATTCATTCCGTGATCACATTCCCAACTGTGAATATCACCTGTCAAAAATATTCCCTGTTTACATAAAAATAAAAATAAAATAAATTTGGCAATAAAAATAAAACAATGGAGATAGGCGATAGGGAGTTCATCAGTCATGCATTAGATATAACTTACTTATATGATTGAAGTGCAATATTAAAAACTATGATTGTCTTTAAGTTTTTGATGCTTTTATTTAGTTTTATATCCTAATTTTATTCAAGTGTTTTTTCATATTTTTATATAATTATAAACTTTATAATACAGTATAAAGAAATGACTCAAGTGGTGTAATGCACAATGTTAGAAAACGGTTGCTAAAGTAATATCTTGGTATTGAGATATATAAGAGACACATTGATTTTTATACAGATACGGTTCTCTGGTTCGGCTAAAATGAATAAAGATTCTGGCAATGGTATTAGGAAAGTAATCATAAAAACCTACGCGTTCGTGTGATCACCCTTTGTGATCATTCGCGTTATCAAAATCGCAATCGTCACAGCAAATTTTGCGCTCCCCTTCCGAAGATTTTCTCCTCATAGTAGACGATTTAATTCCTAAAAAAGAATACAATATTTAGTACAGTACAGTATTTAGGCAGGAAGGTTCGTATCTGACAAAATAGATGTATTTTTAAAAACGTCATCTGGTGGATTGCCAACCGTATAACTGGCCTCGCCAGGCTAAGTAAAGCCATTCATAGAGTTATACCAAATAAACAGCATATTTGAGCAAAGTGATTCCTGGTTACGCCAGTGGCAAGACATCATCTCAAATCGAATAAACAGGCATGACTAAAGTAATATAAAAAAGTCATCGTATATAAAGGAATGTGGAGTAGAACAGTCGTGTAGCCACGTGACTGTCGGCCACGTCATTTTGATGGCACATTAGAAGCCGGTAATAACGATAATTATCAATGATGCGGAATTTTACATTCCCGTAGTGATTTTATAGTCACAAAACACTTTAAGTGTGGAAATCGTCACACTTATAATAGTTGGATTAGAACAACGTCCAACGGAGCTTGGTACTCACAAAGTCCTAAGTTGGAGATTATGAGAAGCCCTAAACTAAGAAAAAGGATAAAACGTAAAACACTCTGGGAACTGATCGTTGAAGTGTTCATGGGAAAAAAACACATTTTTGGTCATAGCCAATAACGGAAATGAGTGCTTTTTATACGCTTCATAGCCGCGGATATAATTCCGTCAAGTTGCTTACTCAGAAAAATATATCAATTCATTGGATTTGTATTAGTATGGTTCGTTACCAAATCAGACCCAGTTACGTTTTTAGTTCAATAAAGGTATCCTGACAAATTCTGAAACTAAAACTAACCATAATTTAAACAAATTTCTTGAAAACTCCATGCATCGTCTGAAATGTAACTAACTTCGTTTTCAAGTCCCGAAATAAAAATTATTACTATCGCTTCATAGTAAAAGAGTATGACAAACCATTTGCGTGATTTCTTAGATCGTTCAAAATAATAACTTGTCTATATAGCTGATTCATTCGATGTAAAATCGCGGTAATTTGAACTAATACCCGGCAAATGAAGGAAACAACATCAAACACTCCAGGCCATTTCGACAATTAATTCGAGCCGTTAAACCAAAAACAAAATTTCGCCCATGGCTAATTTTGCCCAGCTTATAACTCACAGATTAGCAATAGATTTTATACAAGTTAGATTTCGGTATTTAAGAGGGAAGTTTCTGACGAATAATTGAGGTATTTGTTAGGTACTGAACACTACAAAAGGAAAGAATTCGATTGTTATATTCTGTAAAAAAATGCAGGTATTTGTAAATGCTGTCTTCTAATTACCCACGAGGTTGAATAAACTAATTTTCTGCTATTTTACAGAATTGTATTAAAAATGATTATCTGTCACACAAATAAATTATATATCGGAAATATTACTTGTATATTGCTATTAATGACATTATGGAATATGGTGAAGGCGCAGGTACCAAAGGAAGAACCAGATGCAAGTTGGTTGTTTGTATTATTGATACATGTCTAGAACAGGGATATTATAGAGTTATTTAATAATATTTTAATGTGCTTAATTGCAGAAAACGTTTCTTTTATTGATAAATATTATTTTTCGTTGATGCAGGTAGTCATTGCTAAATGGGTGCTCCCGAAGTATGTGTACCGAGTTAGGGTTCGGGTTGTGCGTAATCTTGGTACGAATACTCTCGGAGCGCCGATTAATGACTCCGGTGTTATGGACGCAAATTAGCATTTACCAATGCCGTAAAAATTCAACCATATGCCGCTCACAAATAGTGATAGCTAATTTTAGCCTAGTCTATTCCAGCTTTTCCGGGACTAATTTAATATTGCAACAAACTGAAGCTTCTCAAAAGACAGTGACAATTAAGTTATTTGATTTACAACTAATGTTTGTAAACACAATTAAAAGCTGACAAATATCACGCAAAACCACAAAAACGTGGCAATGTTTACAACCCTGCTCGAATATCTGTCTGAAATCGAAGCTCGGAGAAAAATATCCATTACGACAAATCCGTATTTATTATATTTACAGTTGAGTGCGTCGATACCAAACGGTTTGGCGTATGCGAATTTTTCAAAGATGAAGGATTTTGCAATGAACCAAAAACAATAAAAAAGTTGCAACGAAAATGTGATTATTCTTGTGGATGGTGTTCCAAATGTACGTATTCCAATTACTTTTGCCAAGCCAATGATTTGCACTGGCACACACTTCGAAGAGCAGCACTCTAGTTAAGTATCATTAGTGATAGTTTCGTTAATTTTTCTTTATTTACAATTATTATTAACCAAGTTTGCAAAAATAACTATCAGGTAGGGTTACGCTAGAGGTAAAAATAATGTTGTTATCATATTTTGCATCAGCAAAAGCGTGTGAAGATGTAGCACCTTACATAAATTGTGAGTCCTTGACGGAACAAGAGTGTCGAAGCAATGCACAATTTTATATTACACGATGTAAAAAATCATGTGGATGGTGTGACGGTGGACCAAAAGGTATGCGAGCATGGAAAGAGTACTTTGTGAATTTGAGAACGACATGAAATTCTGAGTATATCTGGCATGTGAATTTATGTGTGTAACAGTAACCAATTTTATAAAATTTACTGAGATAGGGTATATTACTCATTTAGTAAAATTGAATACACCAATAATATACAAACAAATGGTGTGTAATACTAGGTTACTTTCTCCACACATATGTAGAAAAAAATCTATTGCTAAAGAATATTATTTCAAAGATACTTGGGGACCATGGCAAGAATGGAGTGCGTGTTCAGTAACCTGTGGTTCCGATGTTGGAATCAGAAAAAAAACTAGAAAGTGTTTGTCGGATTCTTGTACGGGAAACGATGCAAAGCAAGGATTTTGTTCTGCAAATAAGCCATGTGGTATGTGGATTTACACAACTTTCAAATCTTTTCTTATTGAAAAGTAACACGGGTAAAAAAATCTTGAAAAATGAATGATGAAATATATATAAATAGACATAGCTTACATCATTCAGTAACAAGTCATCATTGTATTAAATATATTAAAGCGGTTATTGAACACGAAATGAATTCTATGGATCGTGATGTTATTATGTTGTTGTTAGAATTCTTTTCCCTCTTGTTCTTGTTTACGGTTGTTGTGAAAAAATTCGCTATTGAACCAATTGCTTTGAATGTTTTAGTAGCTGAAGATTATTGTTGTCATTAGATGGATATTATTAATTTCAAAATTTTCTGTGGGCTCTATGTGATTCGTTTTTGAGGTGACATTTTTTGCGTGATGACGTCATCAACATTAAAAATTACGCACCGTGCCGTGATTCCTTGATCGCATCTCAGCGATCTGGTGGTCAGACTACCGGTACTGTAGTATAAAAATTCGATATTACTTCGCCTTGGCTTCCGTGCCCATATATTTGAGCATTGCTGCTAACTTGTTATAATATGCACATTAGCATAAACAATGATAATTAGAAGATAATTTATTCGATTTCATCGTGCAACGTAATATTACAACGTGACTCATGTATTACCGCGTTAGTTTGTCGCGGGTTGCCCTTATGGTCGTCCTATTATAAAATCTATCAAATATTCAATTTTACTTCAGTTGAGTGGAGCGCATGGAGTGAGTGGAACAGATGTAGTGTAACTTGTGGAAATGGAACAAGAGTAAGGAACAGAACTTGCACAGTAGTAGATGAATGCATTGGACAAAATATCCAGATTACAAATTGCGAACTTCCTGAATGCGTCGGTCTGTATTGCGATACTACTTCATTTGAATACAGCACTGCATCTTCGAATAAAAACATATATATACTATAATATAAAGGTGGCAAAATGTCAAATGGCAAAAGATTTTTGCAAGATTTACGTTAAATTTTATGTGGTATAATCCTGTTTCGATGCTGTAAACCAGGGTTGTGCAACATTTCTTGTCGATGGTCCATATAACCAATTTCAGACATCTGGATGGGCCACATAAAAAAAATTAGTTTCCCGATGTACTCAGCGAATTAATAAATTAGCGACAAAACCAGAGTTTGTTTATATAAATTTGGTGTAATTGGCATTAACAAACTATTTCGAGGCATTATCTACCGAAAAATAAAACAAAAAATGTTTATTTTCGTGAAAGGCATGAACCACAAAGAATGAACAACGAGAAATTTATTACTAAACATAAAACTGAGAGATAATCATCAACAACATTTTATCTACTCTCCCACTGTAAATTAATTATGCAATGCCTGATCTTATTGATTCTTTATTACGGCTAACTACCGTGGTATCCATCATGCATGCTATTGTTTTTCTTGCTGTAGTTGAATTGGGTTTGTCTGACATTGACCAGACAAACGTTCAAATATATATATATATCTGTGTTACTGTGCAGCAAGATTTTCTAATCACTTAGGATAGTTATCTTCCCTCTTGCTACAGCATCTTTAAATTATATGTACACGTGTCGAGCAGCGCAAAAGCATAGAAGAAGGACAAGTAGTTTGTTCTGCAAAAACCCAATCGATAGCTCGAATCATATTATTTCCGTTTGTATTTTAATTGTACTTTGTTTCAATTATAGCCGGAGCAATACCATTTGACGAATGGACGACATGTTCCCGATATTGTGGGGGAGGATCCAGTATTTATATCAAATCATGCCCACAATGGGACAGAAAAATTTGTCCCAGAGAATACAAAGATTGCAACACACATGCGTGTCCATTCAGTGGGTATTTGTAAACCTAGTATTCGCGAGCATATTTACTTGTAGTGTCTGATTGTTACAAGATAGTTTATGTAATTAGCGATTACATTATAGTCATAAAAGGATCCGCTCCAAACTTTCAATCCTGTTTGTAGAAAACTGCATCGAATATCGTTATGGAAGTCAATACACTGAATGCTGTGATCAATCAGTTGAAAAACAATGTTTCAGGGTTGCAAAGAGAATTTTTGGTGGAAGTATCAGTTCAGCTAAACGATTCCCTTGGATGGTAAGTCAATCATAAAATATTTCACTATATCAAACTTGGACACAATAATTCTATTATTAGATCATGTACATAAACCATGATTGAAAGGGGTTCATGTTTGATATAGTGAACAATTTTTCAGGCACGGAGAAATTCCTTTCCGATTAGGACGGCGATCTTTCGTGGAAAAATTTCCTCCGTCACTCGATTTAAATGGATGGTAAGAAAAATTGAAATGTGTGTTTACAGTGACACCTATTTCAACATGGGTATAATAATGATAAAAAGAAGGCATAATACATAGTCAATATACACACGAAATCATAAACGTGATATAACATGGGTAGTGGGTCAAGAAAAGGTTTGTCGGTTGTTGCTGTTGGTTTTGGGCTTTCAATATTAGTCGGTTTAATTAATCCTTCTTGGGCTAAAAGGATGAGGTGTATTTTTCCTAATTACAGGCTCGAATTGAAGTAATTGGAGGAGTATTGGGTCCTAAAGCTAGAAGAACAATATGCGGTGGAACTCTGATTCATCCTAGATACGTCCTTACCGCAGCTCACTGTGTGGTGTAAGTTACCAATATTGTTTTTAAATAATTTAAGGAATTTTCAGACTTAGTCATCGACGCTTGTAAAATCACGATCTAAGACCTCAAAAAACGGGGGCTCCCGAAGTATGCGAACCAAGATGGCGGACATCGGAATGTAATATGTGTACTAGGTTAGGGTTAGGCCATAATTTTAAGTATAAATACTGCGGGAGGCTCTTGACTAGTCTTCGAACTGATAATAGGACTAAAATAAGGAAAATTGGAAAAAAATTATCGCCTAACCCTAACCTGTTACCCATGTTACGTTCCGATGCCCGCCATCTTGGTTCGCATACTTCGGGAGCACCAAAAAACGTACATTTTGAGTTTTAAAAATTTGCTTATATATTAACCTTGGATGGTACAAATTGTTCTGATCAATCTGTATGTGGGAACAAAAATTATTAATACTCCTGTAGTATGCGAACCAAGATGGCGGACACCGGAAAGTAGTATGTGTACTAATTCAGGGGTTCTCGAACTTTTGGTCTTGCGGAGCCCGTGAAGAGGTTGACTATTATTCACGGAGCCCCAGAATAAATTTTAAAATTGTTACTTACCGATTAATATTCCTAAGTAAGTTAAATGTACTTTACGAATTTAAAAGCTAAACATTTTTAATGGGGTTAATACAATCCATAAATAAATCTAAATTTCACAGATAAATTCTATATATGAAGGCTGTAAATTTGACACTTGACAAACATATTAATAAATTAGGGGTTGAATCTTGTCTCTTTTGATATTTTTAAAAGACTTAAAAGGTCGCTAATAACGCGCTCGATTGCATTTTGTTACAATCGCCGTTTGTTTTCGTCAGCGTGGTGTGTTTTTTTTTTAACCTTAACATCTTTACGTCGGTGTTTATTCTCCCTAAAACAAAAATTTCCTACGGCATATATATACATGTATTGTTTCACAATGACGACGATAATTGCTTTTTTGTTCTCGTGGGGAATTATGAGTTCAATGTGAAAATATCGTTACCATATTATAGTCATTGCTTGATCGGCGACGAGAGGCTAAAATATTTAATAAAGAGGTAAATCCGCAACTCAAATTCTTTGATTAAAAAGCGGCGTTATGAAATATTAAAATTAAAACTTAAAACGGAGGATAACACTAAAAGTTTTGTTAAACAGACTCACGGCAGATTAAAGCTTTTTTATACATTGTAAATCCCAAAACTTGGTGTTATGTTAGGTTTTCTTTGGTTATTCATCGTAGTAACTGAAATCGAAACACAGTCAATTATGCGCGCGATGTCTTTTATCAATTCTGAGACTACCGACAGAGCCGCATGCATAACATAAATTTCAATTGTTCGTATTTTGCCCAGATTTTTTAAACGGTGATATCTTTCAAAGAATCTGAGTGGCAGACTTGCGCGGTAGGAGTTAGTGTTGCAAAAACGGCTCAAATTTGTCGAATTCGCTAAATCTACCACACAATCAGCCATGATTACGATTATGAATTAATCGGTAAGGGCACAAATATCTTATCAAACTACTGGCACCGGTAGTAGGTATGTTCTTTTGTGGGCAATAGGACTTTGTTTCTAATATATTATGATACCAGCGTTGTTCAGGATATACGGTAGTCCACAAGAACTTCGTTCACTTAACTTTATTTCTCATTTCATGTCCGCAGATTGCCGTGGTAATTTGAGAAGTAATGATTTATTACATTGAACACCATTAACCCAATGAACAAGTCATTTTAAATATGCCCGCATCGGTCATAGTGCACAATTGTAAATTGTACTTTTTGAGTTTTAATGTCAAACTAGGGCTTTTTGTAACGGCGATATCTTGCTTAAAAATAATCTCGAGTGCGAAAAAACAAATCAAGTTTGACAAATCCCAAGATCGCAAAAATACGATTCCAATTTATTTATTGTTGGCAGTTTATCACGTATTTTATATTTCTTTAGAATAGTAATCTTTTATTTTAGTAATCCTAATAGTAATCTCGAATCAAACGTGAGTAATGATAAGCACAATTAAATCATTTTAAATGTTGCTCGCAATGATCATGGATTGAATATTTTACGCAACAGAAATCTCGTTATCCGCTGGAAAAAAAAATTTTCAATCGCAAAGAATGTTGCACAAATATTTCCGATTCCAATTTTGAACCCCTCTCCCTCTTAAGAATCCTGGCTGCACTATTTCTTATAAGTAATGTCATTTTTGAATTCCGCCTCTTTGCCATATTACGAGTCTATACTGTTGTCAAATTTTATTAAAGCTGTTTTTGCTTCTTTGAACAATTACAAAATTAGCAAAGTCAGTATTTTGAAAAGTAATAGAATAGCACGCGGAGCCCTTAGGTTCCTCCCGCGGAGCCCTGGGGCTCTGTACGGAGCACTTTGAGAACCTATTTACTAGATTAAAATTAGGCCATAATTTTGTTCCAATTGTCCTCATTTAAGTTCTATTACGAGTTCGGGGACTAGCCAAGTGACTCTCGTAGTATTTGTACCCGAATGTATGGCCTAACCTTAACCTAGTACACATACTACCTTCCGGTGTCCGCCATCTTGGTTCACATACTACGGAAGTACCAAATTATTGGCAAGTTGATGTTGTATACCAATTTCATTTTTTTCTGTTAAAATCTATAACTATAAGCTCATAAGGAACGTGCAGCAAAGGTAATGTGTAGCAGCATTACGGCGAATGAGATATCAATGCACAAAATATTTTTCTATTATTAGTATAAAATAGAGGAAACTGAACTATGTGCCAATGGTGGTATATTAGGTTGATTTAGTAATGTACTATTATTATTACAATAAATTCTGTATTTTATTTATCAGAGATTTTGACCCAAAACAAATCAACGTTTTTCTGGGATCCGTAACAACAATTGATTCATCGTCTTTAATTCAAAGAATGTATGCTTCAAATTTTACAATTCATCCGAACTTCACTGAACCTGCTAATGATATAGCAATAATAACGGTAAGGACAAATGTTGAAGATAAAAAATATCTTCTTAGGCTAAAATACGTTCAACTTTGTTATCCTTTTTTAATATGTAAATACTCCCATGATATAAGCTGCATAGGTAAAAGCTTCTAATAGGAAATTTAAAACTTAAGATGAATGTCTTATAACATCTTTTCTTGGCAAAATTTTGTCCAATTGGTAGTTCATGCACGTATAGATCGATCTAATATAAAGAATGATAAAAGTTTAAGATATTTATTCTGTAAATCCCAAATTTTGTGTGTGCTTATTCTCTTATATACTTTTTTCTCATTTTACTGCAGCTGACCGCAGAAGCTAGCATGACAAATAATGTTCGTCCACTTTGTTTGGCGGATGGAGAAATAACACCAATAGATGAGAAATGTTACATCGCAGGATGGGGACTAAGTAAGATGATTAGCTTTTTGACATGGCTTGACTATGTCGTCCATTTTAATAAACAGGCGAAGCCGGGATGAAAATTCCTCAGTTAAAAAAAACTAGTTAACTTCAATGAATAAATTCCCCAAAACCGTGGTCTTACTCCATAGCGACACCGTGTGACCCATCACTAATTAAATGACTCTGCTAGAGCGTTACTTTGTTGGGACACAAGCAAATTCGGCCTGGTAGATATTTAACTCTTATTTCGAGAGGGTTTTTAAAACACAACAAAAAACTGAGGACTATCTGGCCACACCACGAAAACGAGCTAAGTTTACCGCCATGCCCTAAAATCGGTTTTAAGTAAAAAAAAATGCTTCAGATGGAGTTTTGTTTTTTATCAATTCTGAAAAAAACATCGTGTTTTAAAACAAGGGCTTGTTGCGAATCAATTTTTTTCTGTATTTTTTATTGAAATACCTTTTGCATCGCCGCGAAACTACGCCAAAACGTTACATTCTGGCAGTTGCACACGCACCCGGTATTATAATTTCAAAAATGTAAGTAAAATTTTTTCTGCAAAAAGAGTGGGTTGCGATAATAAAGAATATGCTTATATCGGCGGTAATCTACTGATATGAACGATGAGACACCCTAGCCTAGTTTTTTGTCAATTTTAAGAGTCCTCTGATGCAAAGACGCCACAACTAATCTGTTATGACGCCATAATATGAATTTCGAGTTCATGTATTGACATTTTTCTCATAAAATGAAGGCATTATTATGGTTAATACTGTTCGGTTAATTTATGCCTAGCATACTTTGTTTTTATGGTCGAAGTGATAGAGTTTTTCAAGATTATACAAACTCATTTATTCGATCGCATTCAATTTTCGCAAGGTTGTTTCATCGAAGCAGGGTCATTTACATAATGGCTTATCGGTTGCGTCTTACTGCGCCAATCACTGAACTACAGCTTGAGAAGTTGTGCACGAGCCTCTATCGATATTTGTGGCGTTTTGAAAGATTTATTGCAAATAGGAAGCGCTTGGCAATTTTTCACATCCATTTTTCTTCAACCTATTTAATACAGAAAATCAAATAGTAAAGTCATTTTGAACAAAACAGGCAAAAACAAACTTGGTTTAAAACAATTGTTTTACAACAATTCCCTACCTACAGAAGTAAACAGGAAAGTCAATGATTGGGGTAACATCATCTGAATAATTTAATGAAGAATCGTACACATTCATTTATTGAATGTCGATAACTTAGATCAGTCATTTAAATAGTAAATGAAAATTCTTTATTGACTACAACATTTGTCTCTATTTTGTTCATAGTACGCGGTATATTTCTTTCACGCGGCAATTCAAACATAATAGGTTATAGGATTTATTTAGGTAGAGTTAGAAAAAACGTAAAAAAAGAAGTAATTTTTACAAAAAAAATTCAAGAAAGTACATTTTCTAATTTCCTACCATAATATACTATTCATTGTTTTGAATCACAGCTCGATCAGGTGTGACTGCAAAATCATCACCAAATCTTTTAGAAGCCAGAATAAGACACTTACCATTCGGTGTGTGTCAGAACGTGTTCGCAAAATCACAATCACACAGTCCACATATGAATTCTGAAACCATGATGTGTGGTGGAAAAATTGACGGAGGAGTGGACACATGCAGAGTAAGATAATTTCTATGTAGGTTTCCTCATAGCTCGTGATGCCTTGCCTGAAAGTGGGATCTCAAGTCATCCACCGACGTAATTTTTAAAGCAAAGATAACAGTAGTTTAGTTCACATCGGACTTGAAGTGCTTCAAGTCAATACCACCAGGGGGAACAGATAAGTCGGAATATGAATAAAGCTCTTTGCAATTGATCCGTCGGCTACGATTTGGCCATTTTCACAGAGTTTATATTTTAGAAGGACCGTATCCAATCACGACGAGCAATAAAGTACACAAGGTTGATATATTTACCTATTTGGAAATAATTTCAAAGATTTCCAATCGAGAAATGTGCAAAGTCGATATTCTTATTTTGAAAAGTATTCCCAATTTTACACAGGGCGATAGCGGCGGGCCATTTATGTGTCAAAGATGTGATTCCTGTGAGTGGTATCTCGCAGGTGTAACAGCTTTTGGAGGATATCAATGTGGGTCACCGAAAATTCCTGGAGTTTACATGAGAATAACTCATTACGAAGATTGGATAAACGAAGAAGTTGACAAATATGAGCGTTTCGGATTGGACTGCCAATATTATAACCGTTTATAACATGGTTGTATCTATATGTACGGGCTTATACAAGTTGACTAATCTTCGTGGTGATAAACTATCTTTGCTACTAAAACTGTTTCCTGCTGAAGGGGAAGCTCTATATCAAACTTTGATACAATATTTAAACTTTTGTAAGGAGAACGTAGGGCTGGGCATTTCTGAATACTTGATGATTTCAGAATCGAATCTTAACGATTGAATTACTAGAAACATAGAATACATCACTCAGACAGACTGCTGAGCGTCCACACACAATAAGAAACACGTTTTACCAATAACCCACTGCAGAAAATATTCCTATTTCATAAATATCATTGAAAAAATTTGGCTTTAATTAAAAAAAATTGAGAAAATCATCTCGACCATTGGCTGAAAGAAAAAAACAAGATGGCGGGGATTCGTAATTTTGCTCTGAAACGATTCGAATAATTTACTATTCGATTCGAAATGCCCAGGTCTGGGAGAAAGTAATGATGCTTTACATTTAAAATCAGTATGATACTTAGTATGCCATTTACGTCAAATAAAAATGTCGAAAATGTAAAATATGGGAATGCATCTCAACTTGGATCGCATTTACACGTATCAAGGCGAAAAGTCCTAATGAAATATTATAAAGAACACTATCGATAAAAAAATCATCATTCATCACGATAGAAAATGCAGCCAAGGTACAATATTAACTGTTCATTTAATGTAGACGCCAGGTAATATAACGATCTAGGGCAGTGTTTCCTAAACCTTATCCTGCCAGCGCCCCCTCGCACGCTCTAACAAGAATGAGCTGGCAAGAGCAATAAAAAAATAATAATAAAATTTGACCCGATCTCACACGTGATGATATTTTAATTTGATTTTGTTGTCAAAAGATGCAACACTGAAAGACTAAACATGGGTTCAAAGTATAAACCCAATGGTAGTGGAAAGTGGCGCATTTTCACTTCTGGAAATTCAGGGTTATCTAGAAAACGGAAACCAAAATTTTTTTAACTATCTCCAAAACAAATATTTGATGTTATTTGCGCTTGAACTTCTGTTTGCGTAGGATTATACTAAGAAGTTTTGCAAAATTTTTAACCACTCACTTAGTTTTCTGCTGAAGCGCACCTTCTGCTGTCAGGCCATGGAAATGAAAGAGATCAAACGGTGAAATCAGAACATTACGTAGTTGTGCTGAGAAAAATCTGGACATGACTTGAGGGATTGATATATGTGACCAGCAGTGGTTTCAGCATGACGGGGCGAACCCTCCTCCAATACATCAAATCAGACGCCTGCATTCTTGAGGGAAAACCGGTCAGCATTGATATCCACTTTAATTATTGGACTGAAACCTCTCAGATTTAGATCTGTAGGGTGTTCGAAGGACAATTTGTATCAGGACAATCCTCACGATTATTAAACTCAAGGCTGCAATTGCAGAGATAAAATAGAGAAATAGCCAAGAAGAGTGATTGACAATGTTGCAAAAAGAATGCAACTGTTTCTTCAATGTCGAGGAGAGCAGTTGGAACATATTCTAGGAACAACATAATTTTTGCGCAGCACATCTTCGATTTTCCGATACTTTTGGGTAGAAACATGCGCAAACAGAAGTTCAAGTATAGACAAAATTGAATAATTCACTCCATTTCGTAGAAGTAATTGAGAAATTGCTGGTTCTGTTTTCTGGGGATCACGCTGTATAATACTGTTTTTAATATATAAATCAGTTAAATAGGCTGCTTAAGTCATTGTATTCGATAGTTTGACGCAACACAAATGATAATCCGACATCGAACAATGTGAAACACAACCTGATATTACAACAGGCTGGATATTTGGCGTTTGCCAATTCATGTATTACATAATTATGCATATTAGATATTATCCAATGACCCAAGTAATAAAAATGAACCAGTCGAGTCGCAACATGGAGATGGCCCTATTTGGCGTACGTCAGATCGATCACATGCGCAGCTCTCTCTCACGTGTTGCTCCTAACAAAACCAAAATTGTAACATAAGAGTGCTGTACTTACACTACCGCTTCAAATCACCCGATAGTAAAAAGAAAATGTAATTCAATACAGTACAACGAAACGTGAAGTGCATGATGAAGGAAGTATATGACGTTTGACGGTGAAGCGAGAAATTTCCAACACCAAAATCACAAGCAAACTAGTTTGAACCAAAACATAGGAGTATGTGACATAAAATATCACACTTATTGTTAGTTCCCGTATTGATGTCCCGTATTGATATTGATCCCGATTGCCCAGTCCCCAATTGCCCAGTTTGACAGACAGCGTCCCCCCAATTGCCCAAATCGCCATCAGCGCCTCCCAAGTTATCGCAAACGCCCACAAGGGGGCATTTTCGCCCACTTTGGGAACCGCTGATCTAGGGGAATCGGGTTTTGCGTTCAAAATATCTCAGTCTACTGTAACTTTCATTTTGACTAAAAAATGATTCATTGTATACAAACTGAGTTGACAAACTGAAATTACTGAGACTGGTGCTTCAGCGTTAAAAGCATGACATTCATTGTTGAACAAATTGAAGATGCATAACTAAACATAATTAAGTTGTCTCTCTTGAAACTTTCCAAACAAAGTGTAATGATACCATAAAACAATCTAAATATATTTCTTTCTCTCTATAAATAAAGTAAAATATTTAGTTTGTATAAAGCACACTCACATGCTCAATGTTGCGTATACAGCAGAGTTAATGAATCCGAGTAAGACGTTTAGGCATGTACCTTTGACGTACCAGTGAGTACAATCTTTCCGCTAAGCTTGTTTCACAAAAATGTTACAAAACGTTTTGAATGACCCAGCTCAAACAAAAACCTTAGTTATGAATTCCGGATTCTCATTTAATAATGTTCAATTCACATCGTTGAACCCAGTCGTCACGCTAATAACTAAATTGCGCAAGTCATTTTAGCAGATTTGAGAAAAACGTAAAAAACTTCCCATTGGTATTGTTTTGCCATTGAGAGTAAATAATTTCCCATTTATTTTGTTGTAGCTGGATTTGAATTAATTTTCATGACGCAGGCATGTGACGTCATAATCAAGCATTGTGACTTCCACAGAAATGTGCCTATGATTTGGGGACATACGCAATTTCGCAACTTGACTATATCCATCAGTCCTCAAAATCGAACAATCGAAAAACGTATGCGATTTATAGTATCTACGATGTCTGAACCTCGAAACAACTTTTTTGTTTATAACATTATATTTTATTTTAAAAATATATATTTCATCAATATAGCGCCCTCTGCACACCCACCGAAAGTAAGACATTCCAAAGATATTGAATATAAAGAATAAAATTTCAATGCATCCTCAAAAATAAAGCCAACCAATATGAATTGGACTCAGGAAGTGGATATCACAAGTGTCCGCTCTCCTATGCTGTAGTGTAAATTCAAATTTATAAGCGCTAAGCCAGAATTTCGACATACGCAATTTTGCAACACGACAATACCTATCAAAACGCTGTTTGAAGCGCTGAATATACGACATCAAAATACGATTCGATTCTTTATTTCCTCACAACTTTTACCTTGTCAATGTGACACGCTATGCAATTCAACAAACAATTTACTGGATAACAAAAAAAAAATTTTTTTTGTAAAATTAACTCCTCAGCATCAACTATCATAACTTTGCATTTCTGTTTCATGAAAATAGAAATTTAATGTTCTGTGAAAAATACATTAATTAGTTGTCACATGTATAATCCATATATAATAGTTTTAATAAATATTTGTTTTCAAAAAATCTCAAAACACTACATGATAGGCAAACGATTTCAGTGTCGAAAACCCTGCCGTCTGTCAGAAAACATCAAGATCCAGGTCGTTCAACAAACCCTGCTACTGTTATGGTATTTGACAGTGAATCGCGTCTATTCCTAACTCATGGCCGCAAATGTCAAACTTCGTAAATATACGTCAAAGGATACGAGACAAAGGGCATAAAACAGTGGGATGTTTAAAATGTTAACATCGGGTTTTCTTTCGCATAATAGACAGACATGCCTAATATGTATCAAACGTCATCGTCTATTCTCTATAATATGCTGTAGATCAGTCACGTAGCCTTAACTGTCAATCACGCCATTGTGATGACACTGTAGTGTAGAAACTGGGAAATACCGTGATCAAAGTTTCGGAAGTTTACATGCCCGTAGTTATTTCATAGTCAAAAAAATCGTCACACTTATAATAAGTGGATTAAAAACACGTCCAACGAAGCTTGGTACTCGCAAAAAGTCCCAAGTTGAAGACTAATCAGAATCTCCAAACGAAGAGAATGGATAAAACGTAAATCACACTGATATTTGATCCGGGATACTGATCACACCAGTCCCAGCTACGTTTTTAGTTCAATAAAGATATCCTACATTTTTAAACTAATATATACTAACAATAATTTAGACAAATTTTTTGAAAACTTCATGCATTGCCTGACAAATGTAACTATTGGTTTTCGAGTCGCGAAATAAATCAAAATCATTACTATCGCTTTATAGTAAAAGAGTATATATATACACATATATGACAAAGTTCTTCAAATCAAACATGGCAAATAAAGAAAACAACATCAAACACTTCAGGCCATTTCAACAGTTTATTCAAGCCATCAAACCAAAATTCGCCTATGGCTAATTTCGCCTAGCTTATAGCTCACAGATTAGCAGTAGATTTTATACAAGTTAGATTTCGGTATTTAAGAGGGCATTTTCTGGCGAGTAATGGGGGTATTTGTCAGTTACTGAATACTACAACAGCAAGAATTCGATTGTTATAACTTGTTGTTGTTATACAGAAATTTGCGATTGCTTTCTTCTAATTACCCACGAGATTTACGAGGTTGAATAAACTTCCTCCTAAAAACTTTTCTTCTATTTTTTTTTTGCAGAATTGTAATAAACATGATTGTTTTTCATGAAAATAAATTGTATATCGGAAATATTACTTGTATATTGCTATTAATTATATTATGGAGTATGGTGAAGGCACAGGTACCAGAGGATGAAGCAGGTACAAGTTGTTTGTTTGTATTATTAATATATATATGTCTAGAATGGGTAAAATGATGAGTTAATGTGCTAAATTACAGAAAATGTTTTTTTTTTCGATGAATAATATTTTTTCGATGATGCAGGTAGTTATTAAATAACTTTTGTGTTGTAGACGCAAATTAGCATTTATAAATGCGGTAAATATTCAACCACATGCCGTACTGTACTGATAGCTAATTATAGCTTAGTCTATCATAGCTTTTCCGGGGCTAATGTTTCAATATTGCAACAAACTAAAACTCCTCAAAAGACAGTGACAATCAAGTTATTTGATTTACAATTAATTTTTGTAAACACAATTAAAAGCTGACAAATATCACGCAAAACCACAAAAACGTGGCAATGTTTACAACCATGCTCGAATATCTGTCTGAAATCGAAGCTCGGAGAAAAACATCCATTACGACAAATCCGTATTTATTATATTTACAGTTGAGTGCGTCGATACCAAACGGTTTGGCGTATGCGAATTTTTCAAAGATGAAGGATTTTGCAATGAACCAAAAACAATAAAAAAGTTGCAACGAAAATGTGATTATTCTTGTGGATGGTGTTCCAAATGTACGTATTCCAATTACTTTTGCCAAGCCAATGATTTGCACTGGCACACACTTTGAAGAGCAGTACTCTAGTTAAGTATCATTAGTGATAGTTTCGTTAATTTTTCTTTATTTACAATTATTATTAACCAAGTTTGCAAAAATAACTATCAGGTAGGGTTACGCTAAAGGTAAAAATAATGTTGTTATCATATTTTGCATCAGCAAAAGCGTGTGAAGATGTAGCACCTTACATAAATTGTGAATCCTTGACGGAACAAGAGTGTCGAAGCAATGCACAATTTTATATTACACGATGTAAAAAATCATGTGGATGGTGTGACG